ATCTTGTGTCCTTACGCAAGTACGAGTGTATTTTCGACATGCACTCACACGTTTTATTTTTCCTCTTTTCCAGGACGGCTGGAAAAGAACGACGAAGTTTCGCAAGAAACCGAAATTTTCATTGTACTATATTTCTTTATTGCTATGTTGTACATTTTGGTCCCATAGTTTAAGGAAAGACGACCAGATGCTGCTAAACGAAGCAAGCTATCAGAACAGTGTTTACCAGCGACAAACTCGTTGGGTTTAAACTTCTGGCTGGTCACGTCTTAGGGGCATCACTACCTCACTAGGGGGGGAGTGATCTGTAGCTGTAAATAATTCCCCAAAATCAATAGTTCATTAAGTGTTCGACATTGGATGCTGACCACGTGTTTAAGTGGACTTGTTTAGCTGAAGGCTTTCGGTCATGCATCCGCACCAGATCACGTTTCGACTCGGCGTGGGACACTGCTCCTACGTTTCATTAGCCAGCTCATAGAAAAGGTCCTCGATATATTGGTAACGAATCAAATATATCTTTCCTGCCTCTTCTCGTCTGACTTCTGATTTCTATCTGACTGGGAACAATCGAATTTAGAAGGTGCTACTGGTATTTAGTTGTAAAACTAGAATATCCGTTGCATCATCATTTGTTACATCAATCTAACTACGGAAATCGATATCGGTGTGCCATCATCTCCTATATACGGCAGCTTTTCGACTCCAAAAATCAACTCATTTGTAAGGCACCACGTTTGCGTACATAAGAATTTAATCAGTGTAACAATCAATAGTAATAGACTTATGACAAAGCAAGCACATACCATTCTAAAAGGCACAATCCGTAGTATAAAACATGAGTTTACGGTTAAGACATTGGCCAGATACGGCTATTAAATAGATAATGTCGGTAAAAATTCATGCAGATATATCGATAAGTTAATAAATGTGTTTGTATCGGTACCGTATTATGAGTTAACAGTCGATATATTCTCCTCAGAAGTGGTACATTGTACAAATCGTGGCCTTGGCGAACACAAACCTGCTCCAAATCTCACCTTTGAATATTGTATACGTGATGCCGAACAAAGAAGAGAAGAATAGCGCAGAAGAACTAAATATAAAAAGTGATTCATAAGAGTTCTTGCAGTGGAAGTGATTGGCGTTTGTCCATTTGCGAGTAAAACTCAAACTCAAAACTCAAATTGTTCAGATAAACCAAAGGAACTAAATACAACGTTTGAAAAATTGTAATGGGAAAGCAATGGAAGAAAAGTTAGAAGGTGAATTTGGATAGATGTTTACGGATTTTGAAGGGATTAACGATGATGTAAATTGTTTAAATGCTAATTTGACTTTAACACCATAACGTTTGTTTGTTGCTCTTTCTATTTATTTACTATTTTTTTCTTATACCAACCGTCAGGCCGTTCTTAAGCGCCTGAAAATGCACATGACAGGATGACTTGTACAATAACAAAACCAGTATTATGTGGACATCACGAGCCCAAGAAGCAGTAAAGATGGGATAACAACCTCAACATCATCGAATGGTTGCTTCAACGCCAGTCAAAAAAGCCAAAAACAACCAAATATTCTGCCCCACAAACATGGATAGATTGAAACCATAGCTCTCATCATGTTTGTTGGTCAGTCACTTCACCCTTCCTCCTATTTTGATATTGAGCTCTTTTATGGTATTCGGTTGACATCAGTTATGTCATAACTCCGCTCTATGCTATACACATTGTTAAAAAATACCAATCCTACAAGTACCTTGAACAAGAAAATCGGATAGCTAGAGCTGATAGACGGTTGGTAAAGCAACAAAACTAATTCACAATGGCATATAATACAGTACGGTTCTGGGGACAAAATAAGTGAGCAAAAACAAACCAGAAAACATGGAATCTAATACTTTTCAGGAGATGAGTAGAGGTTTGAATGTAAATGGTCAGACGGTGACATACATGAGTAAAATTGAAAACTAATTGGGAAAAAAGCAAGAAGAAACTGAAAACTCCATAGTTGAAAGTATTTCTCGTGGACAGTTTCTGAGTGTCTCTGGTTTTCCACCCAAGTAATTTCTAGTTGCCTTGAAATTTAATTGGTTGTGGTCAGAGGAATTTCTTTGGCCCAATGTGTCCAACGCCATCAACAATTGAGCAATGTGTTGTGGAGTTCAAAAGAATACTCAAGAAACATGTTTTATTGTTAACTATGAGAAACTGATACGAAGCATCTGAAAAATTAGAACGATTAAAGCACATGGCGTTGAGGCTTAGGGTGGTCAGATGTGGCTCATCATAAAATGTATCTTGACCTATGTAAGCCGCACCCAGCATGTAAGAAACTCTGAATTGGTTCCCAAAGCAGTTTAAAGGAGATTTGAGTTCAGTAAGGTTTTGACGTGACCGGGTAATCACTGGTAAATTACACCAGTGGCTGACGCAGCGTGTATCAAGGAAACGTGACCTTAATTCGCTTGATGTTCTTGAAATATCTAGTATTGAGCCGTGATTTCAAAGGCCGTAGTTAAAATTTTTGGGGAAATTTAAGGCTCAACTTTGCGGGTGTGGTCATTCTTTGTAACTCATACCTTTCAACATTGAGTACATTATTATATCCAAAGCTGAAAAGCATTCTTTAGAAGTACTGAATATCAGATAACTGATTGTCACGTAGGACGGGTCGATATTTAGCGATTTGGATTTCACTCAAGGTCTTATAGATTAAGTAGTCACATCATGGCGAAATCTACAATTTAAGAGTTGGATTTATTACTCTAGTAGTACTACGGAACTAGACCATGATTCAATATTGGTGAGATCGACTAAATAAATGCAGCCTACCACCAACTCTTATATTCACTTTAACTTGGTCGGTTTATTTCTACTTGTGTTAAACTATTATCTAATTATTTCACTGATTAATACTCACGTGTATTGTATTGCGATGTTGTTTAGTATTCACAGTCACCTTGCCAACTCGATCGATACTAATAACCGATCATTTATGTTTAAGATTCGCTAATATAGTTCATGAGTACTCAACGTCATATTGCTGATTGTCGCGTACAAGGAGTCAGCGAGGAGAATGGCGTGACTTCAACGTGAGAACATAATGGCAAACTTAAAATTTTGGGATTACAACTACTACTATAGTAATACTAATACCTTACTGGACAATATATCTACAGACTAAATGTAACAACATACATACAGCCTGATTTTTTAGTATAAAAAGAGAGAAATTATGCATGATGTCAGCCTTAGGGCTTTCTCAGGTCTTTATGCATCGCATGGCTGATATGTAGACCATCGGTTGGGCGGACTTCACATAACACTTTGGATTTGTCAGCAAATAAAATGGTTCTGCCAAGTGTAAATCGATTACATACGTCATTAATATAGATAATGAATAATCAAGAATGGCGGCCTTAGCTCTTCCACGAGAGTTAGCATTTGTAAGTAAAGTAAGTAGGTAAGCGCGAAAAATCATTTATTTGAACGAATCCTAATTTTCTTTAGTGCTGACAAGCAGTACAGTCAAAGCAGTTACTCTGGCTGTAAACGGCAAGCATAATCACTCGCAGATGTAACGATATGAAATTCGTGAGCAGTGTTTAATAACACGTATGATTATTACCACTGTGTGTTGTCGTTAATTAATTAGCAATTTATAAGTTTTCCTCAGGACAGAATGTGTTGGAGAATGCTGGTGAGTGGCCTATGCTCCACGACGAGGGGTAACAGGCGTAAAGAAGTAAGTTTTGCTTATCTCCATCTTTCCGTATGGGCTTGTCAGCTGCAATGGATTTTGATGTATTAGGCTGAAAACAAAATAATAAAAACTTGCAATCACAAATATACTGTAAAGCTAGTGAAATGTTACTGAGCCCTAGACAAATCATCCGGCAGTTGAGTCACTGAATATCGAACAGATCATCCCTTTTAAAGTCAAGGACGACCGACGCACATCAGTTCATCATACGCCATGGACTGGCGGTGGTCGTCTCACCAACATTTCTATACTCATTCCTACTAATGATGCCCTTTTTGTTATGCAGTCTTCAAAGCAGCCATAGTACTTTAATACGTCGAAGTTTTGATCCACGTCAGATGCTAACGGCGAGGTGTGAGTTTGAAGTTAGCTGGTTCATCACACCGCTCCCGTCTAACTCTAGTAGGCCTCCAATCATTCGACATGGATCATTAAAGTTCATGGTCTAGAATGCAGTCTTAAAATTTCTGTTCATCGTTTGTCGTTTATTAAAGTTTTTGACGAGATCAAAATTAAGTTTCAGGACAAATAATTGTCAAAGTTTGTTAGTGGAATAATGCTCTTCAAAGTCCCAGAATATGCCATAGTGAACTTGTTTAAAAGTGAGATTTTATTTGTACCATGTGTATTTGACTTAAAATGCAAAAATTAAGCTAGTGTAATAGTCTCACAGACCCTGTAGGGGCAAATGAATTAGGATTAGTTTTAATGGACTCAACTAACTGAAGGCGCTCGTCACGCATAGGCACCAGGTTACAAGTGGGGACGCTGTGCCCAACTTGTCCTGAAATCGTTAGTCAGTTTAAATCAGTCACTTCTAAATATATTTAAAATCTGTCAAATGTACCTTCCAATTTCTTGGCTTTTTCACTTTGATTTCACTGGGTGTGCACGATTCAACTCAACGTCTTACTGGTTAAGGTGTCGTGAAACTACATATACCTATGGCATCTTCAAACCCAAAATAGACAACTATTATCTCTCAAAGTCAGATATGTGTATGAAAATATCTATTAATCAAAACTCTTTCACATTCATGTCCACGAGATAAAACTGAAGCACTGATAATTATAAGCGATTTCATTCACTGTAAACACTAGATCACTGCGTTTATGAGATGTAACTATAACCTGATTGATCGAATAAGCAGTTAAGTTTGTTTCATATTTGTGACTTCCATGGTTTTATAACTGAACAAAATTCTAGTTTTTTATACACCAGAATGTTGTTTTACTACATCACAGTGGTCAACTGACGCGGTCACTTGTGCCCGCAATATTCGGCTTCTGACTAAAGTTCGGGAGACTAGCAATTTCCTCCCGTGCCGATGTGTATGTCAATATGATTAACTAAATAATACCCAAATCACTTGATTGTTTCGCTTCTTGCAGTCTGGGATTTTCAAAAGATCTTTCCACTTCACTTAGGAGCACGCGTGTAGGGTGTGTTGCTAAACTTTAGGACTTGAAACTTGAACATCTGCTGATTACTGGTGAATCGCAAATCGGTGAGATGTCCTAGAAGGGCTTGAAGAGTGCCTATGACATTCCGTCATTTTGATTCTGAGAAATCGTTGGTCATAGTTCTTCCTGTCAAATGTTGTTGCTTCTTTCAGTGGTTACGATAAGCAAGCTATGTTTCATATAGAGTATACATCCTTATGTACACAGACGCTCTCATTATACCCAATTTCTACAGAGCTACACTTTGTCGACATGGTCTTCAGTTTTGTTCGGAGTCATAAGAAAGACATTCATATTCATAGGTTTCAAAAGCCTTTTATGATTCGCAAAAACTGATTTAAATCCTGACAATAACCAAACTCATTGTTTCTCCTTGTTTAGAGTTGGAATCTCGTTCTGCACTTACAGTATTGGTGGCTCCTTGAAAATTAGCAACGCGATCATCTCATAAAGTCTACAGAATATCGATAACCACCGAGCTGCACCCTATTTCTTAGGTAGCTTGGTTTCCAATCTTTTGGTCACATGTCCGATCCCCACCTTGCTTACTTTGGTTTTCGGGACCAGGTACTAGCCCCAACACTTTCGAAAACTCAATACACAAGCCTGTTCTTTAGGAATAAATTATATCATCCGAGGAAAAGTAGTGTCTGCCTTACCTATTTATAACAAATGTGTCATCACGTTCAATCCTTGAGACAAAGTCGTAAACCGTTTTCTTGAAACCGCACTCAACATCAAAATCATTTGCTCGTTTACTGTGTTATTGGTTAGTTTCTTAAACGGATACATACTACTTAGTCAGATCCCGTTAGTTTCTTAAATATTATGTAGGCAGATCTATGGTATGATGGAGGTACTTGATTACTGCTTTAAAGACAGACTTATCCTGTAAAAGGGACCAAACGACAACAAAGTCTAGTTCTACATATACTCATTATCATTTCTACCGTTGTGTAAAATATGAGATTTTTGTATTTCCACATTTTCGTGATTAAATCTTTAATAATGTAATATTTTAGCTGAATGGGACCGTTGGGTTATAACGACTGATGACAGGGTTAAGCATGATGCTCAATTTCAGTTTCTTAAACCTGTTGGTGGTTATATAACCGGTAAGTTGTGTGTTCATTTGTAAACAGACGTGGTTCACAAGGTGATCAAGCAAGAGTCTTCTTTATGAAGTCAGGTTTATCAGTTATGGTTTTGGGGCAGATATGGTATGTTATATTGCGTAGGTTTCATGAATATTTCTAGGGCTCTTGCAGATATGGATATGGATGGAAAAATGGACAAGAAAGAGTTTTCGATAGCTATGTTTCTTATCAAAAAAACATTAGAAGGTCTACCTTTGCCTTCTACTTTGCCTCCAGGTCTCAAGAATGATCCTCAACCCGCATTTATTACTTCAGGTGTTACTCTCTCATTGAGCTTAGTGAGCGATTCAGGTAATTATATTTAATGCATCCTTTATAAGTTTAACCATGAGAACAATTTAAATGTAGTTCTCAGTGTTCGTGAACTACTTTTCAACTTGTCGAAGTTGATGAAAACACTAAGTGACAGTGATGTTTGGTTCTATTCAAAATCCCAACATTTTAATCAAATTCCTTATTAATTTACAAGTCCACTTCATATTAAATCGATGACCGGGATTCCACCTCATGAATAAATACAACCGACATGTCACATTCAGTGTAAATCGTTTCGTTCAAGTGTGAGAACATATTCATCGTTCCACCTGACTATGTTCATTCTTTTAGCAAACCTTACGTTTTGATATTTTTATCCAATACAATAAAGCGTTTGTCAAGATTCTCTTCACCATTTAGCTTTTATGTCGTAAAATAGTACCGTCTAGTATACAAGTTCTCGGTCAGTATACCTCTAGGGTTGGCGATCCCAAACACTTCCTTTGCAACCATATTTGGTTAGTTGATCCATAGTAGCATTTGCTCACATTCAAAATGCTCGGAAGTTTTTCATCGAAATATAAATACTCCCAAAGTTACTTTGAACATGTTTGCAAATTTATGACCTTTTTTCTGGGTAACTGTATATCCTGCAACAGCCGTAGTCAACAATTTGTACAGATTGATTGAATACTCTTATTCTGCCAAAATGTGTACCTTTATTATCATCATAGTAATCTGCCATTACTCCTATCTAGTGGTTACTTGGAATCTTATCTTCACTACTGTTTTCTCTAAATAAGGACATAATGGTCTTTCTTCTGTGTCATCAATCGAGCAAGATTCTAATTCAGCATCTACCGCTTACCAGGATTGGATTATAACATCAACCAATCGTCCACGCTATCGACTTCTTTTCAATCAGCATGATCGAAATAAACGTGGTTTCCTCACGGGTGTAGAAGCAAGAAGTATCCTCTCACAATATGGCCTTCCAAATCCCATACTTGCTCATATCTGGTAATGTGACTACATCTATTATCTATCTAGTAATGCTTTTAATCCATTCTTATGTTGTTAAATATTCGCTCTGCAGATGGTAAATGTCCTTGTAGTTTCACTTTCTACTGAGTTTGGTTCTTAACAACCGTAGCTTAATCCAAGTTAATCCAAGTATCTGAGGAAATTCAAAAGAAATAAAAGTTAGCAAATACTTCATGATTATTTATAAGAATGATTAGTATATAACTGAATAACAGAGTGGCTGGTCGGTTACCACTTTCTTTTCTGTAGCATCGAAAGGAAACTGGGTTTTACTTTGTGACTACCATATTATTGTTAATTTATTCTATCCACTAGAAATAGTAAATCCCTAAGTGTTCAAAGGCGTATTCCATCCGACTAGGATACAAATGGTGACGGCGAAAAAACGAAAGCAATGGATAAATGCATTAATTAATGGTTAATGACATCTACACTCATCGAACAACAATGATGCGTCAGTCACCTAGTTATTCAATGGGACAATATATTTGACCATAAATGCTAAAGAATAAATTCACTTGATATTGTTTGTTTAAATCTTCCCACTGATGTTTAGGACTGTAATTGATCAGTCTCTTATTGACACTGAATATTGTCGACAACCATTAATTTTTTCGAGCAATTCAAATAATTGGCAATAATATACACAATGTTTTCTTCGATTCGACTGACGTAAAAATCTCAATATAGGAATTTATACAGACATTTTAAACTTTTTAATATGTAGTTCCAGCTTATTCCGTGATCATATACTCTTTTTTCTTTCTGTAGGAATCTTGCAGATTTGGATAAAAATGGCAATTTAAACTGCGATGAATTTTGTATTGCAATTTTTTTAATTGAGAAAGCAATTTCTGGATCTCAACTTCCAAACACACTCCCTTCTGGTCTTCTTCCGTCAAATCAACCGGTATATATATATATATATATATATATATATATATATATATCATATTTTTATGATATTTACGTAATTCTCCTCCATCTTAGTAGTGCGTTCCCACGTTGTTAAGCCTCGGTATCATTTACAGGATGTTGATGTCGAATTCAAAGAATCCTTTGGAGGCAATGACGTCTTAAGACTGGGAATTGTCAGATATTCTCAACCTAAAGACATTTCACAAACTGATGTAGAACTATTGACATTACTGGTCTGCATGTTCACCCACCTTTAGGTAGACTGATGTCGTGATCTTCCCTCTTCCAGGGAAGTCTTACTCACTGCCTTTTCGTGGCAGGGGTGTTGTTTACGAAACTGAGAGAACGAAAAGCGAATATCCGGCGCTTTAACCGGGTCAGTGGACACGGAAAGTTCACCTAGGGGAGTTGGAAAACCCTGATTCCAAATCAATGGTGCACATGGGCTCCAGTATCCTGATGGAACGAATGGCGGACGAACCTGTCATTGGTCAACGGCTACTATGGGACTGCATCTCCTCACGATGCTCCACTGCCTTGTGGATCAGACATTCAGGTCAAAGGCTCCGGGTGTGGCCCCCTAAGGAAACCACCTGCTTCAGTCTGGGCACCTGGGCAGTATCACAGCCCTCACACAAATCGAATGAGATTTGTGAGGCGCATATTTATCTGGTGCTTCATTGTACCAATATTTATGTGTTTAAATAAATAAATAAATAAATAATAATAACCAAAGTTCCTATGAATCACACAGTTAATATTGTCTGCCACCTATAGCTACCCAAGTACACGAACATCTCGACTGTTTCGAAAATCTTGCTGCCTAAGGAGAATATTGGCACCGAACTCCAACCTTGTTATATTAATAAACATATTGATGACTAAAGTTACAGGCCACATCCATTGACATTGGTTGCTAAATTCTTATGTGCCATTTGTACAGTTTGTTTATCATTTCACATTCAAATATCATCGTCATCCTATCTGTCTATTCTACCACCAAACAATTCCGTCAAATCTGTTTTTAGGATATCAGCAATGCAAAGTTCAAGAGAAATGGGAAAATTAAAGCTGTTCATTTAGACATAGCACTAATTTTTTTATTTCTTCCGTGTTCCACTTGGTTAACCTGTAAAAAGTAACAACGGTAAAACACCGTTCCTCATATCAGTAACCTTTTATTTCAGTTAAACCTCTGAGTATCAGAACTTAAACGGTTGTCAATAGGGAACCATCCAACTAATTTTGTTTTGGCTCTAGCATTTGGGGCAACACTGGCCAGATATTGCTGTTCGGTTTGCATAGGAATCTAGGCATTAAAAGTGAGGAGTTTTAACACCTCACTTGTCATCAAACTAGTTACACCAAAAAACGTTTTGGGTGGTAGCTCTCGTGAACCGATCATTCTGGCAGCATATGATTGTACAAATTAGAAAAGAGCTGCTGAGTAAACTAGAGATCAAAACTGGCATTTAAATATAGTTTATATAAAATTGGGATAATATTAAGGCATGAAATGAACCTGTTTATAGTAGTACTGTATTCTTCATTTTTAACTGCGATTATTTGTGTGTGGGTTATTATATTGTCGAGGTGCACCTACAAATCAGTTGAGTGACGTCAGATTTTACATTTATGTGGGGGCCAGTGACCATTCGATGTTTAAACACTGGTTACCTCATGAATCCATAGCCTATGTGAACCGTTTTATGATGGTACAATTATTTTAATGGCCTATGAGAGTGACTCACGTAATCAGACTTACCAAACTGATCTACGAATTTCAAGCGAGTGGGTTTGAAAAGACAGAAACACCAACTGTATATGCTAGGGAATCAAATCTATCGGTTGCTTTCGTGGCCCAACTATGAATTATTTATTAGATAGCAATTTGTTATTAGGGAACGAAGAAACATCGTTCCTATACTTATCAAATCACGTTACGGATTGTTAGCTATAATTTTTAAACCATTATGTAGACTACCCATATACATCAAAGCAGTTTAATTGTCAGACATTTGCCATCACCATTTTACTTTTGCAAGAACAATCCTACGATTTCACTTGGTTTTTCGATAACTAATAATTTCGTTCTTATTACTATTATTACTATTATTAGTTGCCTAATATTTTCATATGTTATACAAAGTATTAATAATAATCTTCATTCTGTATCCCAAAATCAGCGCACATTTGGACACACATCTCCTAGCGTCACTGCCAAACAAGATAATGAATTCAAGGAAAACAGATCATGTACGATCAGTATTTTTACATCCGCTGTTTTGCAATTGAACAAGTTTTTTTCTCATTCTGACATAATGTTAATAATGTTGTCAACTCTCTTTTACTTCTAAGCTGTACTTTTAATGAAGTGATAGTCTCGCAGTTCCTGTGTGTTCGAAAGCAGAATAATCAATGCCGTTTGATTTTTCATTAATACGCAGAAGTCTAATTATTTGAAGAGGAAATTTAGTAAAAATGCAGGACGAAACCACTATCATTTTTCTTAAAATATCCATTTATGTATGATCTATTTTCGGTACATTTATCAGATGTTAATCTAGAAATAGTGTTTTCACGATGATAATTTTTAAGCTTAATTAACATACTGATTAGATTATAGGGGATATTTGTTTAGAATCAGGATTTTGAAGGTTTTATGTTCTCTGAGTTGGATTATTTACCTGTGAAACTCTCATCGTCTCTCGAAACATTATTGTGAATACATATTTACTTTTTAGGTATTTGCTGATGATGTACTAAAGAACAATGACGGCTTCATAACTAAATCATCCAGCTCACGAAATACAACACCCTCCGAATGTTCTAGTGATATCATCTGTCTTTTGATGAAATATTGTATTCCCTAACATTAAGTAAAAGTTCTAAAGCTTGATAGCATCATAATTTGCTTACTCTGTTTAAGTTATAATCAGTTAATCATTTAAACTGCTATTATTGTTGCTTGTACTATTATGGTTAATTATGTGACTTAATTCTTCTACGGAGGCTTATTTTTGTCACCTACAATTATATAAATGTATTTCGCAACAGGTGGCCTATGAAGTTTTTCATGTTGCACCGTTTAGCCTATTGGCCGCATGCGATTACTTGATTGGTGTGTTATCTAAAAGCATAATAATACATGTTATAGTTTCATACAGTAAATCATTTCCAGTCCTAACAAGTAACTAATAGGATCTCGTTTGCAGCACTAGATGACCTGGATATAGGTTTTATGTGACTTATTAGTTACCAAGCAGTGTCGTAGATAAAACGAGTGTAACCAATCGTTTTAACATCATTGGAACTGGATTCCCACAAAGTATTATATTTTACATATATTCAAACGGAGTACGTTATATTTTTATGTCACAATTACTTATGGCATTATTTAACTGCTTGTTCAGTGTTCGCAGAATAATTTAGCTATAGACTCATAATGATTATCTTGTTGAAATATGACAACAATCGGTTCCGTAGTTCCTCCTATGATCATATTAAATAAAAACATTCATGCCATAATAATAAACTAACTTTTTGCTCACAGTTCTCCTCCATGTTGAGTGTGTATGAATTTGAAATATCTTTTTAGCTCTAAGTTTTGAGGATAAACGGAGAGAAAATTTTCGACAAGGTCAAGCAGAACTTGATAGACGAAAGCAGGAGTTGGCTGAAAAAATGCGTCTAGACGAAGAAATTCGTCTGGAGAATGAACGATTAGAAAGGGAAAAGCAACAGAAATTACGGTATGTTTTCGTTTGTATGTGCTTAACATTTGTCAATCGGGGTTTTTTAAATAGTACATTATCATGATAATATATCAGTCAATTAGTCACTTGTCATTAATTGTTAATCAGTCGATAGCAAGCAGTTTTATACTGGCCTTAGAAGTCATCAGCTCATTTTGAAGTTGTTAACTAATCTCAAATACTACTTTTTAATTTCAAGCAATTCAGCAACAAATTATTCTTAAAACCAGTCATAATATATTGATGCATTTAGTTTTCTCTTTGACATTGTATATTTTCGTATATGAGTTTATTTATCTATTTAAATCACGACACAAGTATTTAGGTATATTTAGCGTCCTCTAACCTGCTCTACCAAAGTTCCAAAGAAATGTCTACTACTTAGTTTTTGAGGTCGTTCACACTGCAGCATTATCATTATTTTCATTTTATTTGCCCCCAAATGCCATGGTATGGCTGAGGGTGGGGAGAGTCAGCTCTCCCTCTCGAAATGCTCTAACATGTTCACCGGTATATAGCCACTGTCAATGAAGTCCTACTCACTGCCTTCTCGCACCGGGGGTTTTGTTTTCGAAATTGAGAAGATGTAAAGTGAATGTTCGTCGCCTTAAGCGGATTGGTAGACACGGAGGGTCCACCTAGGGAAGTTGGAAAACCCTGGTTCTAAACCAGTGGTACACATTGGCTCCAGGATCTCGAAGGAACAAATGGCGTATGAACCTATATTTGGTCATCGACTACCATTAGACTGCATCTCGTAACGTTGCTCCACTGCCTTGTGGATTAGATCACTAAGTCAAAGCCCGACCGTTGCTTCTACCTTGACGTGGTGGTCGGGCTTGCCTATCGTGATGATCCAATCGAGCTGTGCTGGCTGGAACAATCGTTCCTCAAGGTCCTACCATGCCAGACAGGTCGGTTGAAGAGCGGTGAGACTAAAAGCAGCAATCCCGAGGTCCGAAGGCGAAGTCGTATTGCTGACTGTACAGAGGTGTGACAGCAGTAGGGTGTTTCCTTCAGACAACCAGCATGACAGCGATGCTGCCTTCCCACAAGGAGGGGTGGGGTTAGAAAAGGTCGACCCTAAAAATGCACACCTCGCCTTATCCCACGGATTTCCGTCTCCGGCGGTAAGGACTTTTGAAGAACGGAGCTAACACGTCGAAAATCCCCCCACAAAAAGGCCGTGCGTGACCGGCCTCAAGCAGATGTCCCTTGGGCACTGCGGTCACGCTCCCAGGTCGTTAAGACCAACACTAATCCAACTTCTTTTTCAGGTCCCTCAAGAAATACCCTTCCACGGTGTGGGCAGCCGGGAAGTGATATTAGCCCTCATACCCGTAACTGCACACGAGACCAAGTTGGTCACTTTCAAATCCTTCCTACACCTCCTAATAACTCTCTTATCTCCACGACTAACCCTTCCCACGTCCTTTTATCACCTCGCACCGCTAGGGCAAACGATTCGAGTACACAGAACGTTATTCCTGGTCTCCTGAAACCACGCTCTAAACTACATATAGGAACTTTTAATGTCCGAGCATTGTGCCAAATAGGACAACAGGCTTCCTTAGCTAGGACTCTAGAATCTTACACCATCGATGTGTGCTGCGTCTCCGAAACGCGCATACAAGATCCGAGTTGTATCATTCATTTGACCGCACCTAATCAAAATAAAGTTTCATCTCGATACACGCTTCGTGTATCTGGAAGCCCTGACGCTGCTTCCCGTGGCCTCGCTGGAGTAGGTATAGCATTAAGTCCTAGGGCAGAACTAGCTCTTTTATACTGGATCCCAGTAGACAGTCGTCTATGCGCTGTCCGACTAAACGGATCACTAAGGACCCGGAAAGATAGGGCAACTCGTCGTTGCCTCTTCGTCGTCTCTGCCTACTCTCCCACTGACTGCAGCTCAGACGATATAAAAGATGAGTTCTACAGGAAACTTTCTGACCTTCTCCGAGAAGCTAGGCGTTCTGATGTAGTAATAGTAGCAGGTGACTTTAATGCTCAAGTAGGTAAACTAAGTGAAAGGGAAAGACACCTGGGTGGATCTTATGGTGTCATGGCGAAAAGAACAGATAATGGCGACCGTCTGTTGCAGATATGCTCAGATAACCGCCTATTTCTTGCAAATACTAACTTTAAGCATAAGGAAAAACATCTTTTGACCTGGCGACCCCCGAATTCGTCCCAACGTTGGACCCAACTAGATCACATCGCTATCAGCCACCGATGGAGGGGCTCGATAGAAGACTGTCGCTCATTCTGGGGCACATGTTTAGATTCAGATCATGCTCTAGTGCGAGCACGTATCTGTCTGAGTCTTACTGGTCGTGGGAAAGACACTGTAGGGAAGCCTTTAAGGATTCTACTTAATGATAGGCAAGCTAAGAATATATTTCAAGAACAACTAGAAAAACAGTTAGGCAGCCATGTAAGTTGTGTCCACCCCGAGCCAGCGTGGAATGACATCCGAAAAGCTGTGGAAACAGCAGTGATATCCGCTAGTAAGGTAAACCATAACGTTAGGGAGAAACAATGGATCTCGGCAGCATCTACCGCACTGATAGATGCTCGAAAACTCATCCCACCTGGCTCTGAACATAACGAAGAGCGGAGTCAGCTTAAGCGAAGGCTAATAAGAAGCCTACGCAATGATCGTGAACAGTGGTGGGTAGCGAAAGCAAGAGATATGGAAAAGGCAGCGGCAATAGGTAACAGTAGGCAGCTATTCAGACTCGTTAAAGAAACCGGTATTAGGAATCCAAGTATCAGTGAAACCATCTCAGATAAAGATGGACATATCATTCATTCTCAATCCAGGAGACTGGATCGATGGGCAGAACATTTTAGGGATCAGTTCAACTGGACTTCAGCCACACTGCAATTACCCACGATCCCCAGTCGTCCTGAATGGCAAATTGATGTAAGTCCTCCAACCCTCTGCGAGGTTGAAAAAGCTATAGGAAATCTGAAGCGAGTGAGAGCAGCAGGCCCTGACAGGTTGACCCCTGAGATTTTTAAGGATGGTGGTCCAGTACTAGCAGTGAGATTGACTGAGGTTTTAGGTAGAATCTGGGAACTGGACGTAATTCCATCTGACTGGTCCCAATCACTGATTGTGCCAGTCTATAAGAAAGGACAAAAGTCCTCCTGTGACAATCACAGAGGGATCAGTTTGACTAATATAGTGTCTAAAATATTAGCTTCAATAATACTAGGTCGCCTAACCAAAGATTGTGAAGAGCAGACTAGAGAAAACCAGGTTGGTTTTCGACCTGGACGTGGTTGCATAGACCAGATATTCACCCTACGTCAGATTCTAGAACATAGACACAAATTCAGACGTCCCACAATAGTAGTATTTCTTGACCTTAAGGCGGCATTTGACTCCGTTGATCGTGAGGTTCTATGGCAATGTTTTTCACTGAAGGAGTACCAAAGAAGTACATTAACCTCATAAAGGCTCTCTACTCGAACACAACTGGTCGAGTTAGAGCCTATGGCGAACTGCCATCAGAACTGATTACTACAAGTGGCGTTCGTCAGGGCTGTCCACTCTCCCCATTCTTGTTTAACTTTGTCATTGACATACTTTTAGAGATAGCACTTTCATCAGCTAAACCTCCAGGAGTTGAACTTTTACCAGGAGGCTCACTTGTTGACTTAGAATACGCCGACGACATAGTTTTACTCGGTGAAGACGCTGACAACATGCAGAGTCTTCTGACCACTATAAGCAACAATGCAGGCATGTTCGGAATGCGATTCTCTCCCTCGAAGTGCAAAATGTTACTTCAGGATTGGGTTGCATCGACACCTGAACTAATGATAGGGAGTGAAGTAGTTGAGCGTGTAGACCACTTCACTTATCTTGGGAGTCTCATCAGCCCTTGTGGTCTGGTGTGTGACGAAATCTCAGCAGGGATACAGAAGGCTCGTCTAGCTTTCGCCAACTTGCACCATTTATGGCGTAGGCGAGATATTCGTCTAGCAACCAAAGGACGGGTTTACTGTGCAGCAGTTCGCTCCGTCCTACTTTATGGCAGTGAAACATGGCCAATAAGAGTAGAGGATATTCGTAGGCTACTAGTGTTCGATCATAGGTGTCTTCGAAGCATTGCTCGTATATCCTGGGACCACCGGGTAAGTAATGCAGTTGTTAGGAAACGAGTACTAGGTAGGGATGGCAAATCGATTGATGAAGTAGAGAAACTTAATCAGTTGAGATGGCTGGGACATGTGTTACGTATGCCCGACCACCGACTGCCCCGACGTGCAATGTTTCATGGTGTAGGAGTAGGTTGGAAGAAAGCTAGGGGTGGCCAGACCAAAACGTGGCACAAATCCATGAAGTCACTGACAAGTGGACTTGGCCATGTTGGTAGGTGTAGACTACCTGGTTGGGATTCGCGAGATGACAGCAACCGATGGTTAGAGACCTTGAATGACATGGCTCAAAATCGCTTGCAATGGCGAAGATGCATCCACTCTTTGTGTTCTACCAAATTCTAATCTTCTGAATTCCTCATGTCTTTATATTTTTCTCTTTCCAAATTTATTTCACTGTACTATACTCCTTCAATAATTTCTTCAAACCCTAATCTTTTGGATTTCTGATTATACTCCTACTACTTCTACCACTATGGGATTTGAATGGACAACTGCATCTCTGTGCTAATGTGGTATGGCAACTCGAACTGATGTACGTACGTACGAAGTTCTACGTTGTGACTGACTGACTGACTGACTGACTAAGTCAAAGGCTCGGGGAATGGATTAAGAAAACCACCTGTTTCAGTTTGGGCACCTGGGCAGTATTCCAGCCCACACATAAATCGAATGGTGTGTGGCACATATATATTTTGGGCTTTCTTTCACCATGATTTATGTTTAAATAAACAGATTTTTGAAAGACGTAATTCCTTTTTATAGTGTGATAATACTTTCATTTCTGTTCGATCCTTGGTTACGTTTTTTTACGTTCAAAGGACAATAACGATTATTAGAGTATACTGTTCACTAATCAACTTTTATCATTGAGATGGTTGGGATATGTCATCCGAGTGCCCACAAACTGTTTTCATAGACATAACTCAATAACACAACTAAACATATAAACTGCTACTACTACTACTACTACTTATTGTGAACAATCAGGATGAATAGTTCATAATTTCCATTTTAAATCATTATCTTGGGTCTAAGTGATCACTGTGTTGTTTATCTTTTCTAAATACTTCCTTGGTTTGTTTCTAAAACAGGTTTTCTTCACACTAGGACTAACTAAATACTTTACTTTAAACTCCATTAATGTCCGGAATTCTATTACTTAACTGGTACTCCTTACATTTTATTTTCCACTTTACATATCTAATTATGTAATTGTTTCAATTTAAAATATTTTATCTCATACGGTACCACTATGTATTAAGAATTGTACGACAAGCCATAATCATTGTGGTAGCTTATCCTAAATAATATGTTTATCGACTTTATTTTACGAATTGATCTAAGTTAGACCACCATTAAAAATCCCGAAGGCATTCGACAGCTGTTTAGTCCTAGTTAGGGACATCTCAACGATTACTGATCCGAGAATCGAACTCAGGATCTTCGGACTTTCGCGCGATCGCCCATCCAGCATCGGCATCCAGTGGTGCCGATGTCTAACTCCAATCATTTCACGATAGTTCACGACCATCTTCTATTGCATGCACTGGATAACTGTTTCATACCTGATGTGGTTTAACTCCACTGGTCATGGTTTTTCACTAGAACTTGAGGATTTACATCTGTAAGCTAGTCACTAGTGAGCGTATGTTTCTCATCAGTGTAAGGTTTTGTAATGACCACAAAATTTTCATAAACTGTATATAAACGGTTGATCTTGTTCACACAATATCGTGAATTTAACACCGTTGCATGCCGACTCAGTGGTCTAGAGGTTAAGCTTTCGCCTGCGAAACCGAAGGTCCTGAGTCCGATTCCCGGGTAATTAGTCGTTGATGATCACTGCTAAGAAGCCCCACACTAGAATGCAACGCCTGTCTAGTTCTTCCAGTTTTTCGATTGTAGTCTAAGGTCTGAGAAGTCTAATCACCACCTGACTACAGCAATAAATAATATTTGCTAAAATCTGAAATTTACTGTTCAAATGAGCATTTATATCATATGTATTGATAATTCATTCTTGAAAATTCGTTGTTATTTATCATAGTATGGAGAAAGAGCGTCAACAAGCTGCGGAAGCTGAAAAACAGGCAGAACTTTCAAGACAACTGGAAGCTCAGCGAGAACAACGTCGTCGTCAAGCCGTTGAACAGAGGATGAAGGCAGCACGTGATTTAGAAAAACAACGTCAAATAGAATCAGAACGGATTCGAACTGATGCTCTTTTGAAGGAGCGTAATCATATGCAAACTTTGCTCGAGCAGGTAAGCTAGTTTTAAGTGACGTTCATGCAACGACACCATTCTTTTCCATATTTGTTCCAGAATTTTTCAAGATTATTACATTCCAATCATGTTATAGTGTTGAAAGATACCTCTCCAGTTAACTACTAGTTTGAGACAGTAAAGTTATGTTGAGTTTTACAAAATACATCATTAAAGTAGAACTAGGTTGATTTACTCTAGTTTTCAAAATCAAAACATCTTTACGCGTTTCGAAATTCGTATGTTTCATTTTATCTGATAGCGAATTGTGTTTTCTCGAAGTTGTATTCAGTTGTAAAGAAAAAAATGACTGGATCGGTAGTACCAGTGAACAACATTGGTTGGTTAAACTATTGTAATTGATTTATTCCAAAAAATATGGAACAAAATGTTTCTTCGTTAGTAATGCTGTTAGTGAGCTATGTTGTTTGTGTACGTTGCTTTTCCAAGTTTCCTTTCCGTATACCCCTGTATAATTAGTTTTAATATTTTACTTGTTAAGGCTGTTGCCCATCGTGCAAGTTTACTTGAATCAGCATCATCTCAACAACAACGGTTATTGGAATTGGACTCCCGTCTTAATGTCGCACAAACTGAAGTTGATTCCCATAAAACAAGTATTAATGAAATGCGTAGTAAACGTGATGCTTATGAGCGTGATATTCGAGATATGACTGAACAAGTGGAAGCTGCAAAAGCTGAACTTACTCATTGGCAGAGAGAAAAAGAACAATTAAGCTTACGAATGGCTGCTGGAGTAGATATGAATCCCGTTATGGAACAGTATAAGACATTACAGTCAATGCGTGAAGTAAGTCTGGTTACCAACTTGTTTAATTCCATATTATAAACTTCATAACTGTTGTACTACTTAATGGTTAAATAATTTGAGATAAATCTGAAGAAGACATTGTGTATATCTATTCCAATTGATTAAAATGTGCCAGTCCGAATTGATTGTAAGTAAATAATTAGTTCATGTGTTTGGGAAATGGTTTACATTATGTGAAGATGTTTGTGATCCTTATATGTTATAGTACAGTATCCTTAATTATCCGTTGCTAACTATCCACTTCATTCATATCTTTCTCCTCGTAAATCTTCTAGTAGAACGAGACGTCAGTACATTAGAATCCATGCACTCAAGCAAAGGTATAAAAGTTCTTCAATGCCTTGTCTAGCAAATATGCTATGTGACGAACAGGTCGTTAGAAGTGATCTAGTCAATAACTTACATTCTTAAACACGTTTCTAATTAAAATAGTTGTACAGATTTCAGTCTTCTTTAAAAAAAACATTTCATTTAGTTCGAGGTAGTTTATCAACTTAATTTATATACATATATGTATGCAGTTATCAGTTTCTCTCACTTTTTTTTGTAAAAAAAACTTGTTGAAATATCTTGTGCTGAGAACTCCATATCGCACCAGAAATATAATATTGAATAAGGCCAATAATAATAATAATAATAATAATAATAATAATAATAATAATAATAATAATAATAATAGACGATTTCCCGGGTTTTATGAACAAATTAATGATTTACAAATTTTATCGTAAAAGAAAATACCAATTTTGTATGAATTCAGGTTCTCTTTATTGCTTATTTTCCAAACTGTTAAAATAAATAGTCAGTTTTCATTAAGCATGCTTCATTTGAACTTTGAACTAAGTCTATAGATAGGTTGGTTCAGTAATACTCTTACTCAATGAATAAACTACTTCCTTTTCACATTAAACTTTAAACTTCAGATTGTCTAAAACTTTATGCGTATATTTTGCTGTTTATTGATATTCTCACTTATTATAACCATCTCTATAAGACTTAGTTGTAAACCACTATTTTAGCCCAATGATCAAATACTTAACTTTTAAACACTGGATTATAGTTTTGAATTCTGTCCTGCCTACTTTGGTTCACATAGCCATTGCATAAAAGGTTACGGCCCAAAACTCAGCGCATGATTTTGCATTATATTATCCTAATGGTAAAGCTTAAATTCGTCAGAGAATCTATTTACCTCGTTTATGTTTCACGGTTTAAACATGAGATTATCGTCATTGTTAATGCATTTGTACTTGAATTTACTTTCAAATGTCTCTATTAGTGAGGTTGTTATAAATTTACTTATTGCATTTCTAGATATCACAGTATTTAAAATGTTTTCGTTAACACCTTATCACATGTACATCACTTTCCTTATTTATTGAAACAACACTAACTGAAGTCAATAAAAGCTCTATCTCATCAAGTTAATATCACATCAACCCTAACTTCTTCAAAATACTTCTCATTGATGGCAATACAAACTTGTTCCATCTCTCCCTCCGTTATTGTTCATACGAAAAGAAATAATTTTTCGCTTTCCTGAAATCTAATACGATAACAGGATTATACTACTACTAGATACACTAGGTGTAGATTAGACCACACCACACTATGGTACAAGATAATTAGACCGCTGCTAGATCACCTTATATATATAGATTTTATGATGCACGACCAGCTATGGGGAACCAGATAACAAGCCAGAAAGAAGTTCATTTAAATACTGGTAGTCCAAACGCGGAATAGAATCTAAAGTAAAGTCAAATTAGACACCTAATAATGGAAAAAGAACTTACATTATTAAATAACACTATAACGTTTATCAAGTTCTATTTGTCTTCTCTCTTTGTCCACTCAACATCTTACTTTCACTAGCAATTAATCATTAGCTCAAAGCGGAGTTTAAACTATTTAGTTGCTTTGTCATTTTATGTTTCACCTTGCCAGAATCCCATACATGGAGTATTTTCGTGAATTCAGTTCGGCTGCTGGATAGTGAATTAACTGTCAGGATGCACAAAAAATCACCTACACATCCAGTGTTTTTACCCACGCTAGTTCTCTATGGTCGCTCTTTTTTTGTATTATCCTTATAGTTTTTACGATCTTCAGTAATCACTTGACTAACTTGCATTTATCTGTTTTTGTAATCTCTACAAACAGTTCTCGAAATTTTATAAATCTCAAGTTTTTCAAAAGTTTAGTCAAAAGGATTAATAATTCAATTTGCGTATTCATTGACGATCAATTTGATTTAGTTTAACAATCCAGTGTAGTTTTACCGGTAAGGATATAATCCATGAATTTTGTTCAGGTGGCGAAATATGTACTACGCGACTACTGTTTAGATCAGAAACTAATTATAAAAAATTCGCCCTCGAAGTTGTTAGTCCATTGCAATTTTTATTTCACACTAGATTTTACCCTTTCTGTTCGGCAAAAGTTCGTAAACAAGTATTTAGTTTTTTCTTCAGTACTGTAAATCACACTCAATATGATAAACACTGATGGTTTTCCTTAGTTAAACAGTATAATTATTTTTCTACATATCGTTTGCTTTTCGACCACTGCTTCGTTTTTCATCTTATCAGTAAAATATGGTGCAGAAGTCATATACAACTTTATTCGTATGCTAGATTTTTAATAGCTAACTGAACTACCTAACAGTTCAGATTATAGTACCTGAATACGTGATGAATCTACCATCTAGTTGCTAACAACTGTCTGTATAGATTACTGAATTTTACAGCTCCATGCATAATTACGGGAATCATCACTCGTATAACATCCTTTTGAAACAAATAATTTTAACCCAGTCTCAGACCTCACGGTTCCACTTTTAGTCACTTGTTTACTAGGTACTAAAGTTGGCTTTATTTTCAACCTATAGAAGTGTATAATCTTAATAGACTTATAGTGAATAGTAGATCTGTTTTACAATGTTGTTTATCTTGTTATTAATTATAGTCAAACTGCACATCTATTGGATCAAAATATTGCAAACCAGTAACAGTGTCAGCGATGTTAATAAAGTTTTGTAAACGAAATACATCCTAGTGATACATGTGTGTTTCTCCGTATGTTTGTATGTAACGTATAGATGTTTAATTTCGATTAGAGAGATTAATTCATAGTCGAATCTCTATACGATGTAAGTCACACGTTAATTACTTAAATAACCAATCGTCTAACTTAAATGTTGCCGAATTTTTCATGGACTTGTTCCTGGATTAATTGACACAATTGTTTCATATAAATATTATTAAAATGAACGATTTCGTAGAACAACATTCAGTATGATGATATTAGATCCAAGCTGTTTCATATGTATATGTCTATGTTCGTCGTTACAAACTGTAAATAGTCCATTAGTTTTAATCAATAAATTGTATATCTTGGTTTCTAAATTACAATACATTTTTATTTCATAGTATCGTTATTTGTCGTTCTTTAACATTTGTAATCAGGCACGTATTAAAACAATTGAACAATTAAGAAATAAGTTAAATGAATTAGATCAAAATATGACCCAGCAAGGTCATGAACTGGCTACTAGACGTAATAAAATCGACGATTCTCAAGATCGCGTCACACGGACAATGCTTGATTTAGTTGATTTACGACATTCTGTTGAACAGAAAATGCAAGCATATAAATTAAAAAGAAAATCTACTGATTTATCCACGTAAGTTTTGATTTCGTTGTTGAAATAATATTTGTTTATATGGGAAGCATCGATTTTTAGCTTCATAATATCTTTGGGATACTTCTGAAATATTTACTCGAGTGACTTAAGATTTGTTAATATATCCCTTTAGTTATGAACATTAATTTCCCGGGAAGCATATTACTTAGTGTTTTACTTATCTTACCCTTCTCATAGTTTAAGTAGTCAATATTAATGACAAAAGAATATTTAGTTTTCAATTTTCAACTACTTTACAAACATGACTCGTAAATTCCTTGTTTTGTTTTTTTGGTTGCATAAGTTAGTGTTTTCTAAGCTACTGAATCAGATTGCTAGTAGCATTCCTTATAGAAATGTAAAATTGAATCATTCATCCTCCAGAGTTTATATGCCTTTAAAACTATTTGATTGATTGATTGATTTAAGCACATGAATATTCGTACAAAAAAGCACCAGATACATATGCGCCGCACAAATCTCATTCGATTTGTGTGGGGGCTGTGATACTGCCTAGGTGCCCAGACCGAAGCAATATCTTCAAAACCATATGAAGATATTAATTTAAGTCCTTATGCTGTTTTGATTTTTGTTTTGCAAATACATTATTGACCTCAGCAGAGATTATAAAGCAAAACAACTTTCATCCATATTGAATGTGTCTTCTGAACTTTTCATCACTTAAAATTGAGGAGGTGGCGTTAAATTTTCAGCCACGTGAAGTTTCCGTTTCATAGCCTACCCTACCTACTTCAGTTTGGGCAACCGGGTAGTATCAATAGCGCTCACAATGTGGTTTATGCTAAAGTACTCAGTAAAATAATTGGATATTTTTTATTCAGCTTCAGTTACGACATTAATTATTGTGTAAGAAAATACTCACTGATATGAATGTATACGTTCTTTCGCATTCAATAAAATAATTCTATACATCATCTCTATTTTTTTTCTTCATTTTCCTCCTTCGGAAGATCCACTTCAACCACACAAAAAGAGTTATATGAAGCAATGTTCGACTTCACTGCTAGACATCCGGATGAATTATCATTTACAACTGGAACATTAATTGATGTAAGTTATCTTATTGCTAAATGTTATGACAATTATTTTAAGTACAATAACTCATCAATTCATGATCGAACTTTATAAATGGAGTGTTTTTAAAAGAAATTACACTGTTTAAACTATTGCAGATATACGTTTTTGGAGCTATTGACAGTAAAATAAAACTACTCGTAATTTTTTTTTGAATAAATACTGGGAGGTGATTTATATCGTGTATAAGGTCAATCAATTCTACCTTATCTCTTATCTGTTTCGTTAATTTATTGTAGTTACCATTAGTTTAAAAAAATATTTACATATCGCGAGATTACAGACAATAGGTAATAATATAACTTGTCCACCACTGCTCGTTTAGAAAGAATTAGTTGGTCAGATAAATTTAGATAATCAGGATAATATTGATGATGTTTTAAGAACATTCCGTAGACAACACTTCTAGAACTACTGACATAAGCTTGATTCTTTAAATATTGTAAACGTCACTAATTTCTTGTCGAGTTTTAATAAGATTTCTTCATTGATGATAATCATTAATAATATTAGACTCATCCAGTATTATTCTGTTTTATATTTGGTTCCAGTAATACTCCTAGTATTATATTTCACAAGTTTGTAAGATTGTTCATTATTAGTTTAAATACGCGAATTTACATTTACAAACTCTGCTTCACCTACTCCCTATTTTAAGCAACTAATGGTTATTATTATCACCATCATATTTACACATAATGTCATTCAAAGTTGAATACATAAAAATGTACCATGTTTTTTAAATGAAAAAACCCTAGTCGAATTATTCACTTATAATATGTACACATTTACTTACTTAACGCAATAAAGTTAATCAGGAATTATGTAATATAATACATTTCAGGAAGTGTAATCACAAATTAGTGATCGCATGCATCATATCCCAATTTATACATGTGTATCAAAAACATAAACAGTAGTACTGGTAATAAGATATAATTAAGATTCATTAAACATATAACTGAAATAGTTATGAAAACAAGTAAACTTCAATTTTCTCCTATAAGAGTAGGCTGTTTTCTGCGTTCTATTGATTTATATAAATGAAATTTTAATTAAATGGATATACTTTTTATTCATTTAACTAGTGTATGTAGTTAAGCAAACAGTTATATTTGATAAAATTGAAATGGTATATCAATAAACTTATCAGTATTTCATATTACACAATAACCTTTGTTCTTTTCTCTATCAGGTTTTTGTAAATGCTCCGATTAATGTTGGTCCAGGTTGGTTGTATGGTCAAATTAATGATAAAGTTGGCTTATTTCCTGAAACGTATGTACGAAAAAAAGTTGATGGGAAAATTGATCCATTTGATCCTTTTGGTGTTCACAAAATAACAAATACTTGTGTATCATCGGGAATGATGACAACAACAACAATACCTACTACAATTAATACGCCTAATACATTTAGTGCAATAAATACTAATAACAGGTAACATTTAACTACATTATTGCATTTTAAAAAAACATCTGATTTCAACCATATGTTTGTAATAGCAAATGCTGCTTTACAGTATTCTTAATTTATTATGACTAGTTAAAAACTCAAACAAACAAATAACTATAATTGTTTGTTAAATATGTTGTTTAATATATATTGTGGGAGAGTTCGCTCTCCCTCTCGAAATGCTCTCACATAGCCACGCGAATATATAGCCTCTGTCAGCGAAATCCTACTCACTGCCTTTTCGTGGCAGGGGTGTTGTTTACGAAAGTGAGAGGACGAAAAGCGAATGTCCGGCGCTTTAACCGGGTTGATGGACACGGAGGGTCAACCTAGGGGATTTGGAAAACCCTGGTTCCAAACCAATGGTGCACATGGGCTCCAGTATCCTGAAGGAACAAATGGCGTATGAACCTATTGTTGGTCACCGGCTACCATGGGACTGCATCTCCTCACGATGCTCCACTGCCTTGTGGATCAGACCTTCAGGTCAAAGACTCTGAGTGTGACCCCCTAAGGAAACCATCTGCTTCAGTTTGGGCATCTGGGCAGTATCACAGCCCTCACACAAATCAAATAAGATTTGTAAGGCACATATTTATCTGGTGCTTTTTTGTACCAATATTTATGTGTTTAAATAAAAATAATAAAAAAATTGTACTTATTAAAGTCTCAATTTACTTTCTTAGCTATTCCCATCTTAGAAATTTAACTCTCAAGCATTAGAAACTTCATTAGATTTATGAATATAAAACGTTGTGTTGATTATTTACTAAACATCTTAAAAAAACTGAAAATCTATATTTTATGCTTAGAATTATTCATCGGTAGAATCCTTCTCACAACCATAATCATTGAGTATTTTAGTCAACTTAACTCGCTAACCATTTACATAAAAGAAGTAAATTGTAAAAATAAACTCTTAATCTCTGTTTTCTATACAATGTTTCATTGTATTTTATTTGATGTGGTTCTATAGGTGAAGGATTTGATGTTTCTTTTCGCATTTCTGAGGCATCTATAAAAATGATTTTCTTATTAATCACAGTCATTCAGTGTATTTCCTTTTTTCGAAATACAATATTTGTTCTCATGTACTTTGTGACCTTTCAGCAAAAATTACCAAGATATAGAAACAATTTATGAAAGTATTATGTATCATCCTCTTATCTTCAGACAGTCTTTGTCAAATTTTCGAAATGCAAACAACACAATGCTTACCACATCAGTATGATACTTTACGAATTAAATATTTCAACAATTTCAACTAAATAGCTTAATATTCAATCCTGTTCTGTGCCAATTCCATTTGATGGTGTATAAATATTCTAATTAGTCTACTCATTATTAATATATTATAATACTTGCTACTGAACTTACACCAAACAGTATATCTTTGTTGTGTTAAGTTTTGTTGATATGTTAACTGAATGTTTTTTTTGGGGGGGGGAAACAGGATTTTCAGTCAGTATTTGTTTTTTCCTAAATAGCTCTCATTGCAATAAGCATGTACTTGCAAAAATGCATGCTATTATTAATTATCATTACCCAACACTTCAAGTTCATAAGATGATATTTTTCATTTTACTCTTTATCTTTCTAAAACTAATAATTTGAAATCTATAATTTTTAACAGTTTGACTGAGCCAGCAAATGATAATTTAGCGGCAAGTAAAACAACAACAAAACTCAGTGATATTACATTTCCTAACAATGATTTTTATGGTAAAGTACAAGAAAATTGGAATGTATCAATGTCTACAATAACTTTACCTGAAAATATACTGACAGACCAATTTCTAACAGTAACAGTTGACGATCACGTGAAAATTATCAAAGAAAACGACAATAATAAAGAATGGTATTTTGGTGAAATTACTGATAAATCTGGTATTGTGAATAAAGGATGGTTTCCAGCTTGTTGTTTAAAGCCTTCTACTAAGTTCAATACGTCTAATATAAATCAAAATGGGTCAGTAATTTTTGATATACATGAAGTTACATATAAATTTTTTATGAGAATCATTTAGTGGCATATACCTTTATCAACGAAGATGATTTACACCGCAAACTGATTATTACTGGACATTTATTCGAAACTAAGAAGCATCTAACTGCTTTTTGATTTTAGCACGAGACTCTTCATCATAGAGCGCTCATAACCCCGTCAGGAATTGTACCTACGTTCATCAGATTTAACAACTCAGATCTGTAGACCTCCGAATTGCCGTAAAATGGTTAGCGTTTCCAACTCTCGTTCGTGTTTTAAATCACCAAAATTTGAATTCATTCGTTATTCTGTTTTTCTGGAAGGTAGTTTTAAAGTTACTGCTTTCTTAGGTTTAGATTGACAAGTATCAACAACCCATCATCTATAGCGCTTCATTGTTATTCTGTTTTGATCGGATACATAGTAGGGGTCTTAACGCGAGTTCTAATTGTTTTCTTTATTCCTGCAGGTTTTCTTATTGAATAGAATGATCGTGCCCATTTGATCTCAATCTGTTTTACCTATGAATCTAACAGTATACCTTTGAGAATGTGTTTCACATATCTTTTGATGGACTGTTGATCTTTAGTACATTTTGATGTAAATTACACATCTAACATATTGAACAACTTACAGTTCATACTTAATTGGATTTCTGTTAAACAGTTTACTTGAATTTTTATTGTAACCATCTGTAAACAATCTTCTTGCACAGGAAAACAGAAATAGTTTTTAACGTCATTTGTCGATTCATTAGATGCTCGAATCGAGCCACCTTGTACTTTCAGTATTTTATAACAAGTTGAAATTGCTCAAATATTTCGTGTTTTATTCTCAGAAGTCGTCTTAATTAAATGGTAAAAGAAAGTCAAAAAGTTGTCCAGTCCTTTCTGGTTTTTAATAGCTTCATAATAAATGTTGCTTTCTAGTGATTTAACCAATCAGACATTAACAACATAATAAACCTGCCATAGATATACATTGACACAAGTAACCATATCTCATTAACACATCCAAATGAAACGAACAAAATAAATTCCAAGTTAATGAGTGTATTAATAGTAGTATCCTGTGATAGTAAAAGATCGAAAATAGCAAATATACGGTTCGAGTCTACTGAAAACGATGTTTACAACAAAAGTATGCAATAGTGCTTTATGAAAATTTTTTTAACAAATTATTCAGTATTTCTATTTTCATATGTATTTAAATCATTTGACTTATTAGTAACTTCATATAATAAATTTCTTTTCTGTTGACCGAATAATGTAGGCTAAATATCTCTTCATCATCAAATAGCTCATCAAAACAACCGGACATTCTATTTTCATGTATTGCATTATATCCGTATGAGTCGAATGTACCAGGCGATTTGAATCTTTCTGTTGGTGATTTGATTAGAGTTTGTGTTATAAAAGATGATTGGTGGGAGGGTATTTGTGAACGAACTAAACTCAAAGGTTTATTCCCAGCTAATTATGTTCGTAAACTGAGCAGTGAAGTAAGTGATATGTATACATACTTATTTTCTGTAAATATAATTTTTTCGTTTATTTCTATCACTTATTCTCCTTTCATTCTTCAAAATTGGGACAATGTTCCTTTTTTATGTTTACTTGTATTTTAATCGACCTTATTGTTTAATAAAAAACCCTGCAAATATTTGTAACTAACAAAGTCAGTTGTACATTGCCAGTGTAAAATTTGGCATCAATCCACATTTATTTATTTATTTATTTAAACACATATATATTGGTACAAAAGGGCACCAGGTACATATGCGCCACACAAAATAATGAAAGTAGGAAGAGAAGGGATGAAAAGATAAGGCGGGCTGAAATGTACAACCAGAAGACTCTTTCAGTTAAGACAGTTAGAACCATTCTTTATGTAGAAAGTAAAAGAAGGTTGCAGCAGGATCGCCACTGGCTTCTATTCTGAGCCATATCTGATAACGTCTCTAGCCACTGTGTTGCACTATCTCTCGGACCCCAACCAGTGAGTCGTGAAGGACCAACAGAAGCTAGCCCTTTGCAGCTCTCTTTCATGCCACGACACCATGTCATACACTGACCTCCTCTCCGCTTTTTCCAACCAGTCCCAGGGTCGGCAAATAATGCACGAAGTGGAAGTCTCTGGGACGACATTCGTAAAACATGTCCAAGCCACCGAAGTCGGTGTTTCAAGATGTTGACACCAATCGAATTATCGTCTCTGCGCCCGAACACACGATGCCGAACCTCTGCATTACTAACATGGTGTTGCCACTGGATGTCAGCAATCCTTCGGAGACAACGATGATCGAACACAGAGAGACGTCTAACATCCTCAACTCGGAGAGGCCAGGTTTCACAAGCATAGAGCAAAACTGCTCTCACCGACGCGTTGTAGATCTGACCTTTTACAGCCAGACTAACATCACGAAGGCGCCAAAGATGGCCCAGATTGGCATAAGCCGCTCTGGCTTTCATTATACGTGCATCAATCTCATCACTCACGCCACCACCAGCACTTATATAGCTACCTAGATACACGAACTTCTCAACTACTTCGATCTCCTCACCATCCAGGGTGAGTACTGGATGAGAATCCTGCCAGTCTTGTAGGAGTACTTTGCACTTGGAGGGTGCAAAGCACATGCCGTACCTGCGGACACTGATTGCCAACTGATTAAGTGCTGATTGCATGCCTTGGGCATTATCGCACAGTAAGACAATATCATCCGCATACTCACGGTCGAGAAGTCGTTCCCCAGGCAACATATCCACACCGCCATTTCTTACATCCATCAGAGCTGTTTCCAGGATGTCGTCGATGGCAAAGTTGAAGAGGAATGGTGAGATCGGGCAACCCTGCCTAACCCCACTGCTCGAATGGAACAAGGGAGAAAGATGGTTGTATGCCCTCACTCTGCCTGAGGTGTTCGTATACAGGGCCTTTTAGATGTTAATGAACTTCTCAGGCACACCCTTCTTCAATAGACAATCCCAGAGAACAGTCCTTTCCAACGAATCGAAGGCCGCCCTGATATCAAGAAACACTACGATTGTTGGCCTGCGATAAGTATGACGGTGTTCTAACATTTGGCGGAGGGTGAAGATGTGATCAATGCATCCTCGACCAGAACGAAAACCAGCCTGCTCCTCGCGAGTCAATCGTTCTCGGGTTTTAAACAACCTACGAAGAATGATAGAAGCCAATAATAATAATAATAATAATAATAATAATAATAATAATAATAAAGGTAATAATAATAATAATGTTAATTGTCTTGCTTTTAGTATGAGCAGGGATATTATCGTCAATAGAGTTCATCATTTCATTCATTTGTGTGTGGGCTGTGATACTGCCCGGGTGCCCAAACCGAAGCAGGTGGTTTTCTTAGGGGACCACACCCCGAGCCTTTGACCTAAAGGTCTGATCCACAAGGCAGTGGAGCATCGTGAGGAGATGCAGTCCCATGGTTGCCGTTGACCAATGACAGGTTCTTCCGCCATTCGTTCCATCAGGATACTGGAGCCCATGTGCACCATTGATTTGGAATCAGGGTTTTCCAACTCCCCTAGGTGGACCCTCCGTGTCCACCAATCCGGTTATAGCGCCGGACATTCGCTTTTCGTCCTCTCACTTTCGTAAACAACACCCCCGCCACGAGAAGGCAGTGAGTAGGACTTCCCTGGCAGAGGCTATATATTCGCTGGCCATGTGAGAGCATTTCGAGAGGGAGAGTAGACTCTCCCCACTCTCGGCCGTTCCAGGGCATTTGGGGGCATCAATCCAAATTGTGACATATTACATCATCAAGGCGCGAGATGATCAGCATGATGAAGAAGCATAGGATAGGTGATTAAGTATGCAATTTTAAATAAACCCAACACTTTGATGAAGGCATAATAATATTTCGTGGTTTCTTTTCAGCTCCTTATAACGGTATTCGTATTTGAATATGACAGTGAGTTATTATATATTGATATTGGTAACGATAAGAAGCAGAATAACCACGATTATCAGTATGCATGAAATCATTTGAAGATAGAATTCAAAAACATGTAGGGGAGTGACTCAATAGTTGTCTGGGAACTGATCAGATAGACTATAGGACACTTGAAGCATTTACTTCAGTTTCAGGTATTAGGCAAGTGAAAAACACGTATGACTGAAAAGATAATTTTAGCATAAATAAAATTTCAATTGGCATAGATTGCATAACAAAATAAACACGATAATAAGGTGATTATAATCAAAACTGTGAATTTACCTCAAGGCAATAATATTTCGATATCTGTCTCAATCCGTACACATAATTCCGGTTTTATTTTTTCAATTGCTACTTGTTCAGAAAGACGTAAAGAAACTGCATTATTTCTTCTGCTTATAATATTAAAGGATTGATAAAACTGAATAGTATGACCGTTATGAATTAAGTACTGAGATTCCACATTTCTTAGTCTAAAATCCTTTAGAGTGGTCTTCGGAATGTGAATGTTTGCTCTTCTCTCTGTTCTCTTTATCTATTCACTTTGGCACGCACATAATTATTGATAAATGCAATTAAAGGAGGTATTGAGAAAAAAGATTCTTGTCTGTTTTTGTCGTAAGAGACAATCATTTTCACAATTTTTAAATTATATCCACAGAGTGTGAATGGTTAGTAGTTCAGTTAACTTCTGAAACAGCGCAAAATTTATTAAGTTGCTTTAAGTAATATACACTTAGTTTTTAGTTCAACTTACATTTCAACGTTTAGTAATCTTATGAACTACGATTTGTGAGTTATCTGGATTTCATATTTTGAATAATAATTTAGGTTGTCAAATTCTTAAGCAATGCATCCAATAGTAGTTAATCTTCACCTAAAAAACAAAAAAATAATATTTAGAACAGAATCATTTTATATATTCCGTAGTGTGTGCTACTTATGTCGACAGATATAAGTGGTATGTAACACCAATCAGAAGTAGAATGCCTGGCAGCAGAAGGTTGAGAAGATCGAATAGAAGAGAATGGGAACAGATAGTGATTAGTATAGAAATGAAGTGACAACAAAGTCTGAGACAATCAATGGACATTTTAAAAATAAATTATTGAACGTGTGGTATTTACATTTTACCAAATAATTCTGTAATTTTGTATTCAAATATACTTGATTATCCCCACTTGTGTTCTCGTTCACTGTAATCCCATTTCTTTTTCTTTCTACAAATATTTATATTCTATCTCTGTTGATTTGTAAACAATTTTCATAATGCATTTTTCTTCTTCATTAAATAGGAAACACGGTCAATGGAAGAAAAGTTAGACATAAGCGGATCAACTAATAACCAAATGGACCATAATGACACAATTGTAAGTTGACAATGTTTTAGATAAAATTTCTTTTCATTTCATTCTTAAGCATGAAACACAACCACTGTTAGGAGGCGGATTTTTCTAGATTCAGTAATAATAGATACTGTCATATCTGAAGCTTATATTCTTGCTATACTGCGTACTGCTTGAGGACCCGAACGCTAGAACCCTCCAAGTTGCAAGCTAGAAAACAGAAGGGGAGTGAGAAAGAATGTTATTCCAAACAGTGTAAAATATGATACAAAACTCTCAGGTATTTATAGTTTTTAGTAAAAACGAAATCATCATTACAGTCGTCCAATCCGCATACTGTGGTTTCTAGGATTTGCACAATAAGGAAACTACGTGTCGAGATTCTGGAATGTTCTTCTAAAAGATAATATGATGAAATGTCTCTGGCTCTTTCTGAGCTTCTCAGAGCTTCCTTGAGTCGACTAGGTTATTGACAACGTTACCGTTTACATAAGACCACTGAGAATAACTTTGTATGCTGCTATAGAATATTGAAGTATTTGTTTGTGAAAGAGTGCATCGACATTGTAGCTTGATGAGTTACATTTCAAAAGTCATATTTTTGTATAAGGTTTTTAGACTTTCTTGTGGAAAACACGGAAATAGATTGCTTACTTTTATTGATAATTATAAAATAATTAGTGTTGTTCTTTGTGAATCGTTAAACTTGGTGAATTATCATACAGTTTAGTTTTTTTGTTATACTTTTCAATGTACTTTACTATCATATGTTACACTAGAATCCTCCATCTCTATCAAAAATAACTCCTATATCATCACCAAAGTTAATGGAAGCTAATCCTAATAATTGTATGGCTAGTTTACTTTCTTCATCAAATACATCTTCGACTTCATCATCTGGTGTTATTGTATGCACTCAACCAGAGTTCGCTCGAGTAATTGCACCATACAAAGCTACTTCAGCTGGTCAACTAACTCTTCAACCTGGTCAAGTTGTACAACTTCGTAAAAGATCACCTAAAGGTTGGTGGGAAGGAGAGTTACAGGTAATAAGCAAACTGTCGAATAGATTTGTTACATAGACGTTTCTTGTACTTTGCCACATATTTTATCATATTTAATTGCTAAGAATTTATAATTTTGGATGTCAAGCTTTATTTCAAGCCGTGATTGATGATGCATCACATTTAGCACAAATTTTTGAAAAATGAGCGAAGATATGGTATCGATTTTACAATCTCACCAATTCGTAATTCATCAAATTTTTAAGAAAATTAATTGGCATCTCCTTATTGTTACATCAGGAATTAGTGCAATAACATTTCATTTTCGCAAATGTGTCTCCAGCCAGACAGTCAATCTCTAAAATTGTCAGACAACAGTTGTCATCTGTAGAAACATATTTATGTCAACCTGTGAAAAATAGAAATTAGACAATAAATGCAATATTTAGGCAACGCATAACCATAGATTATTTGTTTCCCTTAAAATGGTAGTACATCTGAAGTACTGAAAATACAAGTGGATTGGGTTATTAAAAGTTGTTAATTTTCACCTTTTGAATAATAAGTACACCAATTGTTAACAGATGACCTTTTCTGTGTTACTTTCGATCATTAGGTTCTCTAATACTGTTTTAAAATGTAGTATTATACATATTGAACCATAGAAAATTCAACTCATGTTTCTCTATATTACACTGATTGTATTCATGAACCTAGTTCCACAACCTAATGTTATTCGTCCACCCTAACTCTCTTCCATGATCAAAGTAACCAAACTGCATATGGTTAAACTATCTGAGCATATATATGGCATTCTCAGTAAGCTTGTCTATTACCAAACATAGTAACTTAGCTAGCCATCGTTTAATTAATATGATGAATTTGATTTCCACTCTAAATAACTTGGATTTTTGTTTTGTTTATTGTTAAATTATCATATATTCCCTTTGGGTTTTCTCCTACTTATAATCTTATCTGCATTAGTCTCTTTAAATGTCATATTATGGAAATATATGAAACGTCAGTAATTAGTTATGAAAGCTTATCATGCTAACCTTTAACCATTTGGAATGCAATTGTTTAACATCAATTCAATTTGCTACTTTTTCCAAAGAAAATAAGTTTCATAACATCACAAAAGTCAAAATAATTTTTAAATAACAAACCTATGCATTCCTAATAAAGTGCAACTCAAGCAACTATGTAAAGTTGGGGCCAAGATATCAGTGAACACAGATTACCACCGATCTCTAATTAATATGCATTGACAAAAGCTACTTTACTATAATTTGATTGCATAAATATCTTTATAAGTTGCGAATATTGACTTCATACTGTTTAGTGGTTGAAAGTAGTCCACATGAAACCTTGAACCTAGATTTTGTGCTAGACCAGAAAAATACATTTGTCAATGACTTGACGACTAATCAATTATAGACTTCACGGTAACTATTAGTTAAGTCGCTTTAGCATATCTCTTATTTCGATAATGCGATTGTTTTCTACGATTTCTAAAAATATATGTTATAAAATCTACAATAACCGTTTCGTAGATTGTACTAAGCACATCAAGGTTAGTCATTCTACGATAAACAATTGTCTAGAAAGCCTAGTTCATTGATTTGCTTGTAGCACAATTGCCTACAAATACAATTAATCTGTCATTAAACTTACTTGTCTGTGAATAAATGAAATTTTCCAAATAAATGTCATCTAATATTGACCTATTTACTGTCAGGAAATTTATAACTTTTATTTCCTCAATCGGCTAATCACAGTTCATTATCGGAATAATATGTAAGAGTTTTGTTAATAAAATCTGAAAATCGGCAATTTAAACTATGTTACTGTGCAAATTAATTAGTTTATATTTGAGTGATATTTTATAACAATTTACCCAATGCTCAATGTATTCGAAATTATCAAGTCAAACCTTGGTAAATGATACCTATTTCTGATTCCATTCAAGTGATTGTAGATATTTATGAACATCATCATTCAGGAGTCTTACAGTTATTGTCGAGTGTTATCGCAGCTTCGGTTGATATCATGAAAATTACCAAAAAGATGTCACCAAACCAATAATTTGCTTAAAATAGCCAGTACCCGCATTAAAACCGAATAAATTTTAATGGATAAAACAAATAACCAGGTCGATTGACAATATCACTGCATTTTAAGACATCAAAGCTTTTATTCATAACTGTTGATATTGAATAGTTTTCATTAGTCTAAAGGTAATAAACACTGCCTGGGCCCTATCTATCTGTCTAATTCGCGGGTGTAGGAGTTTTATACTAGATAAAACACTTATCCAATGCCAAATGAGGCTCAATAATTCTCTTACAACAGTGTCAAACCATGACCCTTTATCTATAAAATCCTCAGCCAAATGTGTATTACTACGAGTTATATACAGTTAAGAAATGCGTAATCAAGAATAAAATTAAAGACCACAGTGTAACCAGTGGAATTCACTCTTTATCTTTCTGTAACACTAAGAAACTCTAGTTTATGACCTGAAGTCTATCCAGTGTTTCATGATTTAGGTTAGATCTGTTCACATCAACTATTTTTATGTATCTATTTAATTATCATATTCACAGAGTATCGTGGAAGTTTCCTGAAATCTTTTCTTAGATAAAATAGTATTCGATTCTTTTATCGTCCTAATATATAAATGATAATCATATTTTACTGTTATCTACATTTTTATAAAGGGATTTATTTTTGCAAGGGCCCCCAAATGCCCTGGTACGGCCGAGAGTGGGGAGAGTCACCTCTCCCTCTCGAAATACTCTCATATGGCCAGCTAATATATAGCCTCTGCCAGGGAAGTCCTACTCACTGCCTTCTCGTGGCGGGGGTGTTGTTTACGAAAGTGAGAGGACGATAAGCGAATGTTTGGCGCTTTAACCGGGTTGTAAAACCCTGATTCCAAACCAGTGGTGCACATGGGCTCCAGTATCATGATGGAACAAATGGCGTACGAATCAACCGTTGATCACCGGCTACCATGGGACTGCATCTCCTCACGATGCTCCACTGCCTTGTGTATCAGACATTCAGGTCAAAGGCTCTGGGTGTGGCCCCCTAAGAAAACCACCTGCTTCAGTCTGGGCACCTGGGCAGTATCACAGCCCTCACACAAATCGAATGAGATTTGTAAGGCGCATATTTATCTGGTGCTTCCATGTACCAATATTTATGTGTTTAAATAAATAAATAAAATAATAAATTTATTTTTGGTAGATTACAAATAAGTAATATTTCGTAAAAGTAATGCTTTAATTCACCTTAGATTATTTTAAAGTCTTCTGATCAGAAAGATATTTTGAACATTTCGTATAAATCCATACTTTTGGTTCACAAGTTGTTATTATTTCTGTCCATGTTTTACATTATATCTTCATAGTAGTAATCTACTTGTAAATGACGTGAAAACAAAGTATAAACCAACTTGTATGTGGTTATTGTATTGCTTCATTGAATTAGTATGAACACATCATTAAGTTCTGTTTTATTTAATACACAATACTTTTCCGTTCTCTTCCTTTATAAAATGAATCGGCTTAAAATCAGACTTAATACAATTTCATTATTGTTATGCTTTCAGTTTTCAATCGTTCGTTATTATAATTTGTAAATTATTTCGATTGTGAGTTATTGTAGAGCTCATGTCGACCGGTAAATTGTACTGAAAAGTCCTCTGTTATTAGGAATTTAGTCCCGGCATGTAATTGTATATTCCATAACCATATCCTTGGATGCTTCTGTTAATTTGAAGATCCCAATTTGGACAACTAGTCTTATACTAAATGTGTATGACCGAATAGTAATTTCGATGCAATCCTCTCAGGATAACCCATAGATTAATAGAGACATCGTTTACAGCCTGTAACTTGAACGGTGAAAAATGCAAACGCTTATAAAGAATAAACCGATAGTTTCCTTCTTAGCTTGTTGTTTAAGTCTTTTGATTCTCGCCCATTAAGTTTGATGTACGAGCTCTTCTCCACCTACTCCGGCAACCGGATGATATCAATTATCCTCACACTTAGAGTATGCTTCACACCCAAATACCTGATGGATGAGTCTAATTATTTTGTTATTTCTACCAACGATTGCGCTTCTCTATATATACGAAAATCATTTTCACTAGTCCACGTAATTAGTACTTTATCATCCCTTTTATTAATAACAGTATACTTTTAAGACAATATGAACAATTCAGCTAACTTTTTCACTTATTAATTGTTCTCTTTTCTGTTTTTCTCCCCTTTCTATACGTTAAATATCTAAATCACCTTATTTCGCATGTATGATTACTGTTTTGTTGGGTTATTTCATAACTTATATTTCCATACTATCTTGCCTATTCTCTCTTCAATCAACATGATTATTCTTGTTACGGATCACTGGCATCAAGGTGTTCTCTGGATCAAATTTAAACTTGATTGATAATGAAGATTAATTGTTTGCTGATTAATTGGCTGTTATCAAATTTATCATTAATTATTATCTGCAATCTATTGGCTGCCTCTACTGATAAATACTATGTCTTTTTTCCTCCTTGTCATTTTCCTTTTCCTTGATTTAAATTGTTTCAATTATTTAGTGAAGTAACTGTTTTCTTACCGGTATATATGAATGAAACAAGTTGAAAATATAAGAAAATTGAACATGCCCAGATACATTTGTCTTATATGATTTCGTTTTACTGCGTCTATGTGTGCGTGTTACTTTCTAATCACTTGATCCGAGTCATTTTTTCTTCAATTGTATTTTTATGCTAATTTTTCGATTTTTCTTAAAACTGCATTTTTATTTTACATCATTCACAGAAAGTATAAAAACAGCTTGTACGGTGGTAACATTTTTTTTGATTAAAATTGATTGAATTGTTTATTCTTCGTTAGCTACACATATATGTCCAAATTAGTCTGCATTTTTATTGTTTTTCCATCATCACCTTCATTGTACAATCGCTAGTTGTGAATTATTGATTCAGGTATTCGAATGTTATTTATAAGCACTCACAAGTTTATACTTGCTTTGCTCACTTCATTTGGCTCAACTACCATCTGGTTTCACGTGACTCACTTATCACGTGTATACAATCACTGCGTTGGATTCATATTTATTGAATAGTGACTTTTGGCTTTCCTTCCATGTCAAACACCATTCACTGTTAAAAGCGCTAGTAAATATTCCTTCCATAGTATTGTAGTTTAATAGTTGGAACATTAATCTTTCAACCGATTAGTCTGAAGTTTGAACTTCATTCGTTAAAGCTGAGCTACGCTGCTGAGCCAATGTTGAACGTCCGAATATATTCCATGTCGATCATTTTAATTGTTTAGCCAGCTTTAAAGGGATGTGAATTTAATAGTCTTTCACATCAAGGTAACTTTAAGTGAGGCGAATACGATCATGTACTTGCAAAATGTTAGGGAAAACGCCCATAAATCAGTGTCGGAATGAGGGGGAGCTGAATGTATGTATAGAAACACTAGACATATTATTTGTTAGAGTTTAATTGTTAACGTTAAGGCGTTAGAGTAAGAGAGCCAAAGACAACTTAACGAAATAACTTATGTAAAGTTAATATATACCCTTGAAATCTTTTCATTCTTAACAAGAAACTATTTATGTATTTTTGCTTTTATTTGACTGTGGAAAACTAGTTCACCTCTCAAGCTCGTTCTGGAGGTATAACTGAATTCCACCCTTCATTGCACTGACTTTGATAGCTGTAAACATCTCACATCTAACTGTTTTCTGGATGCTGACCTTCAATCTCTTTTGTTAGCTTCTGCAGAACATACTCATAAAATGTAATATAGTTCCTCCTCTTCGTGTGTGCTGGTTTCAAAAAAAGCTTCACTAGCCCTTTTATGAGTATGTTTTAAATAGACTAATTAAAAATATGGTTATACAAACTAATACTTAGCACGTATGCTTACAGTATACACCTTTCTGGTACAATTATTCCCTGTTATGAATAAAACTACATTTCTTTTCTCTACAGTTGTATATCTATTATCGTTATTTCACTTTTTCCTAATCACTACTTTAGTTTATCGCTCTTATTTCAACTAGTCCCCTCCTTAAATATATATTAAAAATGATTTTAAAAACGTAGTACCTAGCTTGTCAAATCTCCTTCAACAGTTCTCCGTAGTGATGTATTCAGATCGGTTATACAGTAACTTCCAATGCTATAGCTTTGTTTAAATCCAAATCCAATAACCACATACAAGTTAGTTTACTTTTAATTTACAAAGTTTCAAGTAGATCAGTCTTTACGAATTTCCGTCTGATCATAAAATATTATACTTTAAATTGTTTGTAAATTGAAAATAATTCAAAGCAATTAGTCCCTTTGATAAATTTCGATAATGTAATAAGAAGACGAAGATTATCAGAACTATGTGATATATTAGCGCAATACATTTCGAACAATCTGATCACACATATACTTGTTAAGAACATTTATATATAAAAATAACAAGTATATGTGTGATCAGATTGTTCGAAATGTATTGCGCTAATATATCACATAGTTCTGATAATCTTCGTCTTCTTATTACATTATTGAAAATCATTCATTTAGAAAGTAGTCATAAGTTCTATAAAAGTTCAAATGGCAGTTTGTCTAGGGATTAGCTGACCATTTATGATAATTATTTAAATATGTGACATTTCAACTTATTTCCAAACATCATGTTTAAATCTTTTCAATTTTTCATTAATACTTTTTTGAAATAAAAAACTCTTTTTAAATGTCTTAAAAGTAAATTCTACTTTATAGTATGTGTTTTCCAAGAGGAAAAGAATCAATTTACGAGTACCCAAACTTCTATAAAACAAATGATATTACAGTTCGTAGTTTTATATAGATTTATGCTTACATAATACATCTCATGTGAATCTATCCAAAAAGTTTCTAGATTGGTAAATAAACATATTTTTTTCTACATTTCACATTCTATTTGACCCTTTCAGCTACAATAATTTGACTGGATTGTACTAAAATTTTGACTATATCCTTTGAAACCTAGTTATTCTCATGGAAATAAATGAAACATTCCAAAATTAATAAATAACTGTTTCTATTGGATGATATAGATGAGTGTAGGGAAATCTTATGTTAGAAGTATCAAATAAATATCACTTACTGTTCTAAATCCCTACACAATATGTCAAATAGACAGTCTTTTCCTCCTTTTATTTTAAATATTTATCATAGGATTTCATTTAACAATTTAGTGCGATGTGTATTAATATTTGATCGGACTGAAGCGTTTGTTCAATTAGTCAACGTTTCACTTTCTACTGCTACTCCTTGCTTATGAACAGTGATTTTATACTATAAAGCTGGAATTTTTTTTATCATCTTAGCTTAATTTAAGCAAATAATTTGCATTCGTCTCAAAGTGTCATTTATATGCATACACAGTAATCATTTTATGTAATGTTTTCTAATTGATGAATTGCTTATTTCTTTTTCAACTCCGGTTACGTATATATATAATTTCAATGTTAGCTTTGTTATAGGGAGAGTCCTATGGTCATCTCCATTGTAAACTTTGTCATTTTATCTACTTTTTACATAGCAAAGAGGTCATATTCGTCAAATTGGTTGGTTTCCGGCTGATTTCGTTCGACTTATTACACCACTGTCAGTGAATGGATCGTCTAACTCATCTGGTAAACGTTATTTTATTATTACTTTTTTTGCTTTCATTAATTTCTCCTTAGAACTAATTCCCGTCTAATCTTAACTCGGTGAATCTTTATTCCCATGGTATAATAGTATCTTCATTCGATTTACAGTAGCTGAATGAAGCATTATGGTCATTTTATATCATAACATCTTTGAACATTACAGTTTGGCGTAGATTCGTCAATTCATTTCAACTTACTGGGTGTGGTTTTGAAGATTTTATGATCATGAGATGTGGGATGTTCTCAAATATAAATCAGAATTTTGTTTTCCTCCTCCTCTATGTGTTCATAATGTTATATCTTCAAGTTATGCCTATTGAAATAACCTTCGTGTGACAAGCCTGTTTTTTCGATCTAGTAATACCGTTCTAAAGATGCCTTTCACCACCACCAGTAACATTCATAATAATCAATTTCATACAATACAGCTCAATAACTGAGTTTACGTTCTCTTTTGAAAATATTTTTTATGTGATTGGTGAGATTACAACCCTTAAACTTGAGTAAAATGTCAGTCAACCGGCTTGAATTTCTAAAATTAATCAATGAAATCTCAATCGATTCAATCATCAAAAATAGAAAGATAGTTTGTCAAGTATTAATTGTTTAATATGAAATGAATAAGTGCATTTGTGTATACTGATAGACGTATGCATTCAATAAATGCATTTATTATCTCAGCAAAACTGCTTATTGAGTTCAATTACACGTATTTTCGAACTAAATTGATATTTTCGAAAAATCACCAACTCATTCAATATAGACCAATGTAGGTCTGAAAACTTTTGATTATAAATGTTTTTGAAGTATTGGTCGCGTATCATGGATCGACAGAGTTAATTTAAAGAAAGCTAGGAGCAGTCAAATAAAAGCGATGACATAAGTTCTTGAACTGTACCGCGTAGGTGAATAGAGATTACCTGGCTAGCTTCTGCTCTATAACTGCGATCAGTTGTGCGAGAGTTTTAGTGAGTTTACTTAGAAATCGGGTAGATTCATCCTGATTCACATTATTGCTTCATACATGGCTTTCCACTCTTCCTTTTAGGACCATTTTCTTAAATCTCCATTCTTCGTTCGCATCATTGTTGGTACATTATTTTGATTCTTCTGTAATTCTTTTTTATTCAAATTCGTTTTATCGTAATGTAGTTTGTCGATTACTGTTAGTGATTCTTTAACGATCTATCACCTGTAATTATTATTTTGTTTTCAAATTATCTCCTCAAAGATCAAAAACTTTTATCCAAACTGATAAGTCCTACTAATAATCAAATTGAAAATACTCCAACTAGTTTGAAAGCATTAGCATCAAAAGCAATTACTACATCAAATTCTGTTAACGATAATTCTGTACAAAGTCAGCAAACACAATCAAATCGTGTGGAAATGATGCAAACTATTTTTAGTTATAAAGCTGTCCATGCAGATGAGTTAACATTTGAAGAAGGTGCTATTATCACAGTACTAGGTCGAGATGAACCTGAATGGTGGCGTGGGCGACTTCAAAATTCTGGAGCAGAAGGACTTTTCCCTGTTAATTATGTACGTCCGTACAATCCTCCTTCACAGACTGAAAAATCTTCGAATTCTGTGAATCAACATCCTATTGTTCCTGCACAAAGTAAGCTAATATTTTTTTATGAAATGTGTTCCATTTAGATATTTTCACAATACATTCGCCTTCCATTTCGTTTGTTCTTTTCTTTCTTGGTCCTGTTTAACAGCAATCTTGCCTTAACTAGCCTACTGTGAAAATTATCATTTTCGCATACGGTTATATTTCTAACTATTGATATCCTTAATATAATCACTGTAGTCTTTATTCTTTCGTAACACCTATTGTTCAACATTTAGGTCATAAGTTAAAATTCTGACCTGACATATTCGATCAACTTATCAGCTACCATAGTAGCTGACTGCAACCAATGGATTTCATTTTTATTGATCGACATTTAATAATCTGTGGTTTTCAATGTCCTAGATGTTAATTTAGCACATCTTATGTATTCTTATGTTATTGACTTGCGTCTTAATATGGAAGACTTCACTTCGAATATTTATTGTTTATATGTCTAGTGTTTTCCATTTTCGCTATCGTAACTACAAGTTTCTTTAAGTATTGTTTTCCTGATGATGTAAAGCATTTTCTTCCCATTGATGTCTAGTTACACATACTGCTAATCATTGACAGTCATTATCATTTCAAATTAATTAATATAAATAAATAAATCGATAGAACTATCGAGTGGGTAACCAAGAAGCATTGTTGTTACTTGTTGCTAAGACGTTAAGTTTCCCAGACGTTGACTTTAAAGTTTAAATTAACCATTCTTTTTTAGAGTGAAAACTCATTTCCATAAATACTTGTGTCTTGAGGGAATCTCAGTATAATATTTTTAACCTGAATAGTATTCTTTCATGATAATGTATCTGTATTAGAAACTACTCACCTTCCAGTTAGAATAGTTAATTTTGAAATCTTTCAGATTCAAATATACCTATACATCTATTTTATGTTTAATATCTGTTGACAACTGTCCAATAGCATTTACTTAAACTTCATGATTGTTATCAAGAATTTAATGATTTCTAACAAACCAAAATCTGTTTTATTTTAAATAGTAGTTATTCACATATCCTCAACATCAATTAGTACTTCATCATTTACAGTAATCAAACACGTTTTGCTTTGTGACTTGGTAAATCTGCAAAATATTGAAATTTATATCATACTCAAACTATGTATTATAATTATTAGGCATAGATGTTTCATAGTGAGAATCGAAATAGGTCAATTATTATTCCAAAGTTGAGACAATCATAAACAATGATGTAACTGAAGCACCCTTAATCAATTCTCACTATCAAGTCTACCGACGAAATTTGCTAACTTACCAAATTTTGCCTCTATTCACTAAATATTACTCCTATCCTCAGTGAAAAGTACACTATAAAATGGGTAATCCTGACTTATTGCTAATTTTGTCCTAGTTTAAAGATCACAGACTGATTCAGTAAACTTTTAAATCATAAATAATAGTGGTTTATCCATGCACGTAAGATAGATAAATAAAGTCATCTTATCGCTTCGTGATTGTTTCATGTGAAATCCTGAGTATTGACTATTCTGCATTTCATTTATCTATTTTCTGTGACAAAAAAACGGTTTCAAGCTTCTCTGTCTCAATATAGATTAAATCATAAATAGGCTCTAGTTTATTCGCTAGTTTTATTTGTTCAAGGCCAACATTATCATTTGTATGTGAACGTATTATTGATTGCATATTCGTTTCATCAGTTTACCTCCGTCTTTATGTGAAATTTGATTGTTTTTCATCCATATTCTTGTTGTTATTCTAATGCATTGTATGTGTTTTTCAAATCGATACATTTGTGTGTTTGAGGTTAACTTAATTCAATAATTCAGTCTAATTGTTATTTGACAATTTATCATACTCACAATTTACATTGCTTGTCCTTGCATCAATTAAATGTTCATGTCACACAGATAGATTTACTGTCAAACAAAACCGCTCTTTGGGAGGCATTATAATACAACAGCGTCATATTACGTATTAGTAATCAGGGTTCATCCCCATTTCTTGTATCTCACCGGTCAAACTAATTATCGACAAACTGGCCGTGCTCTTATTTGTCGAAACGTATTTTACAACCATTTTGAACATATCATTTTTTTATGTTTGACTGGTTAACGATTGACTGTTGTTGTCTTATCGACCTCGAATGTATGCTTAAATTTAACGGCCAGGAACAAATCCACGTTGTCAAGTCATCTAAGTGTATCGTAGTCAGTAACAAAGGTTATGTTCTCGTTTTTTTTAGTCACTCAATTGAAGTTATTTTGAGGTAATTTATTGGATATATGTCTTTCGCCGTGTTGTAATTTTTTCCATCTTGACTTAATGCGCTTTACCTGACACGTTCTTAGAATGATGAAGTAATATTTTGTTGTAGGACACTAGTTTTTTCATGTTAGTCAGCTGAAATGACAGAACGAAACTGTTTTCTGACTCAAAACCCCAGTGCATTATTTAAATGAATTCAACCGTTATTCTTGTGAATCTGATAATGGTACAGTGTCTCATCTCTAAATATCCAAGTTTTAAATGCTTTTTAGAGATACGTTCTTTACACTAAGTGGTTTCATCTCATTGTCAGCACATGTCTTTGAAAGAAATGTAGTGAGCACAGCATCTCCGAAATCCCTATTTTTAAGTTACATTTTTATCTTATCACTTTAATCTTATGAACCAGTTACATCTATCTATCTGTCGTTAGTGTATCGTTGAGCTTGTTAAAGTCTAGTGGTTGACTTGTTCTATTAATTCGATCAGACAAGACTATAATTATGCTCTTCTCATTTGAACCCCTATGGTGTATTTGACGGACTATTCAATAGATTTTTTTCTTGCGTATGTAATTTTTATTTATGTCAGTATCAGTTACTGAAAATACAATCAGTAAAACAATATTATTATTATACACATACCATACTTTATTAGTAGATAGCGCTTTATAAAAGACGCGTATAATTAATCGGAGCATGGAAATTTCAGTGATTGCATTCATTTTTGTTGATTGTCAGAAATTTATCACTCAATCCTGTCCTTTCCCACAGTATCTAACATTTTCTTAATGAGTTTTATTTCAGTTGTCTCAATATGCTTTTTTGTTTTGTTTTTTGTTGATTCTTTACTATCTATATCTTGCTAAATTCGAATTCAATCCTGTGATCTCCGTAATTTCTCACTATCTGTCTATGTGTTTGTGTAAATCCGCCTTACATCAATCAACATTGACTACTGGTTAATACTTCTATGTGAATCACACGTCAATATGCGCTGATATTGTAATGGTAATTCATATATATATGTACGTATTTTTTATGTTATTAAATGCAATGATTTTTCCTCCAAAATAACGTAAATTATACATCCTTCTAATTGAACTTATCTGCTTGTACGCTTATACTTTCTGTATGCTTTGCTCATGTTTTCTTTTTTTATCAACTTGTTTCGGTGTCGATGTTTGTTAACCTAATTATATGTGTATGTTTGTGCACACTAACCATTCCATTATATATATATATATATATATATATATATATATATATATATATATATATATATATATATATATATATATGCATTGTGCGTTACTAACCACCATCTAATCTATTTCATTTTGACAAGTAATTAATACAGATCAATGAAAAGTGGATGTATTCATTTATATAAATATTTATTGATTGATACTTGTTCATTGTTTTATGAATTTCGTCACTTAGTATTGTTCTTATTGTCGTGATTATTGATCAGTTTCACACTTTCATTATTGTGATCACTGTTGTGACAACCGGTTTCATCAATAACGTTGCTTTTTAGCACTACTCCTAAGCTATATGATCTTCATTTTTCTTGCCCCCTTTTTTTGTTATTCTTAATGTATTTTGAAAGTATCAGAGGAAATGAAATTACCAAAGAATATTTTTATTTTTCATTCTCTTTGATTACAGTTGTTTTCTTCTTCGATATATAAGTAGGGTGATTTCGTTTATAAAATGCACAGCCACATAGGTTAGTTGATCAGTTTCTGTTTGCAAAACAATTGAAGTGACATGGTATATACACAATATATAACTATCATTTATCCATATGTATGAAATAGTTGTATATATTTTTATGAGATGTATGCATATATATACTTTAATGATATATGTTTGTTTTGACGAATTCTGCATGATTATTTACTTAAAAATGTAATTTTATCATATCCATCTTTAGAAGTTGTTAAATCTCATCTTTGTTGTTAACTTTTTTCTCGTACAATACAGTACAAAACATATTACTTCTAATCAATGCATTATATACTACAGTTAATGACAATATTATTATTATTATTATTATTATTATTACTATTACTGTTATACTAATTCAATTCACATATTTCTTTATTTCAGCTTCAATGTGTAAAAAGTTTTATGTTTCAAATAGTATGAGCAAAATAATAATGGTGATTATTATACAAAATAAATACTCTTGTTTACTATCCTCTGTTTAGCAGTGGGAAACTATAAATCTAAGATCGCTTGTCCATGACATTGACAACTCTGATACGTCTACTATATCCATGATCTGTGAATTAGGTACCTACGTCTTTGATCACAGACCCCCACCGCCAGATACAATAAACCACTTTTAGTGTATATAGAAGATGTAATCCATATCTCAGTCCATAAACATTATACTGGACACAGGAATAATTATCAAAATTCTCATATTTTATTTGTAGTTTGCATTTTCAAATTTTAAAAAATAAATTCTTGGTAAATGTTATTTTAACCGGTAAAAAGTTGAACTAATATTTGGCTACTGACAACTTGCTTGGAGATGAGTTCTACATAAATAACCTGTTCCCCGAAGTCTTTTAAGTGCCTGATAAAGTTAAATGCTCTCTGGCAACATCAAATCTTAATTTTGTCGATAATGCAGTGTTAATTATTAAATTGCGTTCGAGTGAATGCACCTTATCTTGTTTCCAGTTACATTTAATTGTCCACGGTTTTACTTCAGATTTATTGGGGAATATTGACCGGTACATTGTCACAAAGTAGAATAACAGAAATTCCCAGTGTTGTTAGGTTTTCATTATTTTCTTTTAAACTGAGGCTTGTTACCGTTAACAGTGATCGGCTAATTGACTGAACATTAACCGATCGCGACTGATATATATATATATATCGATTTTATTATCGGTATGGTAATATTATTCATACTTATTATTGAATAGATTTGCCAGCATATTTTAGTAACTGGTGACAAAGTTGCAATACTTAGTGATAAGTCAAAACCATTCATATAATGATTAGTGCATATTCTAAAGACAGTTTACTTATCATATACGGAAAATCAATATATGTATGTAATTTATAAATAATATCCTAATAAATGGAATATTGATCGCTACTTCAGAAAACAAATAATCGAATTTAATTAATACATTATTCAAACTTGTTTTAATATAATGCTTTTATGAATTTACCCACTAAGGCAACAATCTAAGCCACATTACGATACGTTAAAAATCCTAACTTCTACATCATTAGACTATAACAAACATATCATTATTATTTATCATTTGTCTAATGCTGGGTTTATCTTTCTAGTTGGCAAGCTCAAAATAGATCGTATTTATCATACAAGTAATGATTCAAACAAAATGTTAAATATGATGAATAATTTTTTCTGGCTACAGTGTATACTTGTTTACCAGCTGAGTTTTCTTAACTGTTTTTTTTATGGATACGTTCCAATGACAGGTTGATTGCAGAAATCAAACAAAAAGTCATGAAAATATACATGTTGTAAACCGTAGTTTTTTTCAATAATCTTCTGATTGGCTATCGAGACAACTAACAATGTTTCATCAATCTATTCATTTCATTTCTGTTATCATTAATTGATCGCTACTTCTTTAATTTTCTCACTGTTGTCATATTAACAAATATTAATACCGTCTAACATTTGTTGAATATCTATGGCCAAGCGAGATGATATCTCTACACTAAAATAATTTCACTCTATTGAGTTTAAGACAGGTCTTATTTTCAGTTCATTTGTTTGATTTTTAAGAAAAAACGAATTGAATCTCATATACCTATTTGTTGATCGGATGCCTGAAGTTTGGGTGAATTTAAATTTATTCACTGTTGTATATTTACGTAAGCATCCCAATGCGTGATTGTTTGTTCTGTTTTTACAATTTTTCCTCCATTAGTTTGATGTCATAAACTACTATATTTCTTTTATTTACATAGGTTTATATTTTTATTTATCCTAAACTTCGGAATAGTAGATGTTTGTTCTATTCGCAACTACTAATATTCAAACGTTTTTACCAAGGTTGCTACTATTATGGACTACATAATATTCATTTCTTTTTGTGGTGTACTATCCTTTTAAGCTTTTTTCTTACTCTGAAAATGATATATTTGTTATGGTGAATGTTCGTTTCTCAATTGCTGAATGAATCAGTGTTTTCGTCAATCACCTAGTTTTTGTAGATTATTTGAATTATAAACTGTATGTAGTTTTCTATGCAGTAGTATTAATCATAAAATGTTATATGGTTGACCTTTATAGGTCCTAATTCAATATTTATAAGAATCCGTTGTGCTGATTACTAAGCAATCTCATATTTAAATGTAGACTTTATCAACTCTTTCCTAGTTTTCGTCTTAATACTTGACAAATATCATTTGTTTTCTGAGTATTTTTCCAACTTTTTGATTAAAACCATTATCATAACCATTACTATGTATAATATAAAATTGTCTATTTGTATAACATCTATTGCATCTCTCATCATTCATCTTGTATCAACTATTATGTCTTACGTAACTTTCTTCTATGGACTAACATAAGATGACAAAGAAATTGAATGCAGATAATCAACAATAACTATGTAAGATAAGTTATTGTATTTTTTGTTTTATAAATGGAATTTATAATTGGATAAATTTTTTTCAATATTTTAGGTTTTATTATTTAAAGATATACTTTCCAATTTCCTCTTAGGTATTTCGTACACTTTTTCTACTATTTTCAGTATTATTTTTATATATTTTTCATCTTAAGTGGATACTGATATTTCTAGAAAACTACGTGAACGTGATTTTGCTATTAAAGAACTTATCAAAACGGAATTAGCCTACAATAATAGTCTTATTGAAGTGAGAGATGTAAGTTTGTTCGAATTGCTTCTTTTTTCACTATATTTTATTTAGATGTTTGAAACTATTTATACTTATATTTAATTTGTGTAATTTATGAAACAACCAAGTTTAATCGATTTCACTTCCAAATAGACCATATCCTTTGTTTTAGTTATGTAATATAACTAATATGTCATAAATAGTTAGTTAAATGTAAACTGAGTAGACATTGTCATACGTCAACGGTACATTACTGAATTTCATTACTGGTTATTTTGAAATTGTGCTACAGCAAAATATTATGTGAGGTTTTGTTGGAGATGTCAAATCCCCAGAACTTACTTGGTAAATGGCTTAGTTTTGTAATTTTATTTTGAAAATTTCAATTTAGCTGTTTTCGCGCCAAACGCGCTCTTTTTACCTTCACGTCATATTTCCCACTTGTAAACTATCTTAGACGCTGTTGGTCCATTGTTTCTTTGTGTGTGCTATTTACTAATGATGCTCAAGGACAAATTGTTGCTGTATAAATGCGCTTGACTTTTTAACTTATTCGATTGCTTGTACTCGGCTGCTTACGGAATCCATATATATTCCCCTACTTGCCTTGGACTTCTTCATCTAGTTAGCGGGGCCTGGGACAACAGATTAGAATAGCTTATCGTGTCATTGGCTTTCGTTCGTTACCGCGGAATCGATTTAGCTTCAAGCATATCAGGTTTTTTTACAAGTTAATATACACATGTGATGTTAAAGCTAAATGAACTGGTATTCATGGTCAAAAGTACATATGAATTAGTTTCAAAGCGTCACTTTACAATTGTTATTCATTTTAGTTGAATAGTTCCTTTTGTACGTTAGTGAAGATTACGATTAGTTTGTTAATTAATCAGTCAAGCAGTCGCAAATCGTAGTTATTTCACTGCATAAGTTAAATACGTTAAATGTCTATTAAGCCATATATGCAATCCATTTATAACACGTAATGTGTTTTATCTCTGAATAAGGAAGTGGTTTTCACAACTATGGTGTTATCGAACACAACACAAAGAACTATGATATATATTACATTTTAAAAAAACAATGACATTTCAACAAAGCTGTACTTGTTTACTTACCTAATCATCAAAATGGTTGTGACAGTTTTGACTATGTAATTACAAGTGACTAATGATTCATAGATTTAGATATTTTGATAACTTCACTGTTAATTGTGTAATTTTTTCTCTATTTCTGGTCTACATAAGGTTTTCTATAAACCAATGAAGGCATCAAAAATGTTAACTTTGCAGCAGTTGAATGACATTTTCCCTCATTGGAATGAATTGATCGATACTTCAACTGAGTTTTGTCGGTAAGCTAAATAATCCAATTTCTTTATCAATATTTATTCTTAGCACACTTTAATGTATCAGTTGAAATAGGAACCATATATATATATATATATATATATATATATATATATATATATATATATGTCTTATTTCTTTTATTCACTGTCTTAATCTCATCTAACTGTGCTGACGGGATACAAGATCGAGGTGCTGAATCCCCAGAAACCACTTAGCAAACATCTCTTTATTGTAATTTTACTTTCGGAATTTGAATGTCCCATTTTCGCTCCAAAAGCCTCTGCTTTTACCTTCAGTTTATATTTTCCATTTGAAAGGACCTTAAATGTTTGCTTCCTCTCTTAGTAATCTATTTTGTAACATTTTTTACTGTATATATGTGCATGAGTTGTGTACTTGTTTTTTTGTGCTTCCAACTGCATGTGGAATGTATATTTTCCTCGACTGAATTTTATCTTTTCCCTCTAGTTAGCAGGGCTAGGGCTCAGTGGAATAACTTAGCTTGCCTTCTTGTTGTGTTTCTGCCTTTCATTCCGTTCGCCAGTTTTAGGCGATATTGTAATATTTTCTAACGTAACAGAAACTTAGACACATCTGTCACTACTGACTTTATGTTCACTATTACTGATCCGCTCCAGTAGTCATCACTTTTTATCCGCCGATGGATTAGAATAAATAAACCAACCTCAATATTTGTTAATTGATCATAAATGTTAACTATTAATAGCCTTGAAATATTTTGTATATATATATATATATATATATATATATATATAGAGAGAGAGAGAGAGAGAGAGAGAATGCAGATAAATAATTTCCTTATATAAAATTAGTATCATAGTAATCCTGGAAGTAACAAAGAGGGATGTTAATATTTTTTTCTACATATAATTAGTTCCCTTTATACGTTTGACTCAATTAACAGCAATAACAATTAATCCTAATAATTCGAATGATCAATTATTCAATCATTGTACAAGGGAATGTAATTTCATTACTTTGTTGTAGCGTAAATCTGATTCTGTCTATACTCGTATGTAATAAATGACTTTATCCGCGTTGGTGAACAACGGAGTTAAATACGTCAAATATGAGAATAGATTTAGAATACATATATTTTCTACAGTCATTGATCTGGCCAGATAATCAGAGTGATGAAGCGAATAAAAGCGAACGAAGCGAAAGATCATGCGCAATGGAGATTGGCTGGGAAGCCAACTCGAGAGCGAAGCGAAAGATAATGCGTATTGGAGATGGCTGGGAAGCCAACTCGACTTAAGCAAGCGTTAATCAATATTTATAGTCGGACAATAATGAATGACAGACATGTGATAGGTAGGATAAGAAGGGTACATACACATGCGCTCCTATAACAAGGTAGTCAAGGTTAGTAAGCGAATAATTAACAAGATCAAAATATGACTCATAATGGATAGGCGAATTGGCTTGGCCAGCAACTAGAATAAAGTATATGGGCTTAACATAACAACCAATACTACATAGCCCCCTTGTAGAAAATAGCACATTTATAAAAAATGTCTGTTTTCGAAAAATGACACTGAAGCGGTATGTATAAAACGCCAAAATGTTGGAAAAAATGGTACAATACCTGATAAATTACAGTGTCATGTGAGGGTGAGCGTATTAAGCGAAAGCGTCATACTTATGTAAAAATGTACATGAATATTGTCAATATGCGGACAAAAAATTGAAATGCTAGCATGTGATTATGAGTACATTAGTAAGCGTACGAAAAAAATTTAACATGCATATATGTGGTGACTGTCTGAATGATAAAATAACAGGTTCGTGTAAGCAATTTGAAATATCGTGAAGATAGAATATAACAGAAATTGGTCTATAGTGCCGACTGAATATGACGATAAAGAACAGTGGAATATGTTCTGATAAGCTGCAGTCGAGTAAATAGGGTCGATTGGCGATGAGTGGATTCGAATTTACATAACTGAAGTTTATGTGGGATAAGAAGTAATCCAGCCGTAGGAAGATGACTGCATCAACAGGTGGCATTCATTGCTGTACTGCAATTGATTATGATAATAAAATGCGAAGTCAGTGTGCGTTGTCGCTTGCGTTGAGTTATCGTTAAATATGTATTAGTAGAATGACCAGAGGAACAGGATAGTGACTGCTTAGACGAGATATGCGGAGTCGGGTTCCTTTATGGTCATGCAGCCTAGCGTGGTTTGTGTAGTTAGAGGGATATGCGTTCAACCTCATTTGTTACGAAACCGTATTAAGGCATGATGAAAAATACCAATACATATGATTATCAATGACGGCGAGTGAGACTGACTTGAATGTGACGAACAAGAGTGTATCTTTGAGAGACCAGCTCTAAACTCTATGTTCTTGTATGCAGTGCTATGGGGATAGAAAATCAATTGCAGTAATCGAATTTTGATTATCGGTAATGGATGATGCAGCATTCAGATATAAATGTGAATAAATAGATAATATGAAAATAATCATTACTAATCGGCTGGTAATGCGGCGTCAAATACTTGATTTGTGTATAGGCATTAAAGTAGGGATCATCGTGAAACAAAAATTGCGGAAGTTCTGTTTAGATTGTCGCTGAAAATGTAGGAAACGACGGTTGCTGCGTACCAATGAAATGAATGAACATTAGTTGTATATCGATAACATAAGTTCCTACTATCGGGAGTATGACTCCAAACTTATGTCTATGATAGAGTGTAATATTAGACCGAAAATGACATGAAAAAGAAAAAATTGGAACGAACTCACCTAAATCAGCAAAATTTTACGTCATTGAATGATAAAAATAATCCAGTGAGTTTCGAATATCATAACGTGTAATGTCGATATAATTATAATTTGTTCGATTAGTGATTTCACTGCGTACATGTCATAGTTTAATGTCAATAAGAACAAAAATAATAATTCCACGTTAGATGATGATATGACATTATTGTAATAATGAGCATATGATGATTATTCGAATCACAACGGAATATGTCGTCGGCCGTTCCATTTTTGATATGCGTTCGCTCGTTGCGGTCGCCAATTATGTTGTGAGTTCGTACGTAGAGGTTGTCGATTCTGGTCCGGGTTCGTTAGGCGAGACATCCAATTCTGTAGCGTCGTGCTCGTTCGGCGAGATATCCAATTCTATTGCGTCTTGCTTGTTCGGCGAGGTATCCAATTCTATGGCGTCGTGCTTGTTCGGCGAGGCCTCCAATTTTGTTGTAGCGTAAATCTGATTCTGTCTATACTTGTATGTAATAAATGACTTTATCCGCGTTGGTGAACAACGGAGTTAAATACGTCAAATATGAGAATAGATTTAGAATACATATATTTTCTACAGTCATTGATCTGGCCAGATAATCAGAGTGATGAAGCGAATAAAAGCGAACGGAGCGAAAGATCATGCGCAATGGAGATTGGCTGGGAAGCCAACTCGAGAGCGAAGCGAAAGATAATGCGTATTGGAGATGGCTGGGAAGCCAACTCGACTTAAGCAAGCGTTAATCAATATTTATAGTCGGACAATAATGAATGACAGACATGTGATAGGTAGGATAAGAAGGGTACATACACATGCGCTCCTATAACAAGGTAGTCAAGGTTAGTAAGCGAATAATTAACAAGATCAAAATATGACTCATAATGGATAGGCGAATTGGCTTGGCCAGCAACTAGAATAAAGTATATGGGCTTAACATAACAACCAATACTACAACTTTTCTCGGTCTTTATTCAAGAAATCGCTAATAGATCGGATAATTAGAGACATCCATTCGATTCGTAGTTCGTTTCTATCCGTTTTTTTTAACTGAATTTTGCTTTTAATGCTTTTCGTTTAATTAGTTGTCACCGTAAAGGGTCGTTTTGTTTCGTCAATGAGTTCATTTTTGTTATTATTTTGTTTGTTTCTTAGTGATTTAAATGATTATGTTAAAGACGATTCATCTCCTCAGTTGATTAGTCGAATCCTTTTGAAACATGTATGTAAGTGTTTTTTTCCTCATTTATTATTTCCAATATTTTCCAAACCCCACCGTTGTTGCTACCTTGACGTGGTGGTCGGGCTTGCCTATCGTGATCAGCCAATCGAGCTATACTGGCTGGAACAATCGTTCCTCAAGGTCCTACCATGCCAGACAGGTCGGTTGAAGAGCGGTGAGACTAAAAGCAGCAAACCCAAGGTCCGAAGGCGAAGTCGTACTGTCGACTGTACAGAGGTGTGACGGCAGTAAGGTGTTTCCTTCAGACAACCAGCATGACAGCGATGCTGCCTTCCCACGAGGAGGGGTGGGGTTAGAAAAGGTCGGCCCTGAAAATGCACACCTCGCCTTATCCCACGGATATCCGTCTCCGGCGATAAGGTCCCAACAAGTACGGAGCTAACACAAAAATTACCCACAAAAAGGTCGTGTGTGACCGACCTCAAGCAGTTGTCCCTTAGGCACTGCCGTCACGCTCTCAGGTTATTAAGACCACTTCTAACCCGATTTCTTTTTCAGGTATCTCTAGAAGAACCTGTCCACGGTGTGGGCAACCGGGAAGTGATAACTGCCCTCATACCTCTAACAGCACTCAAGACCACCGTATTCATAATCAATCTCCTTCAATTCCTACTATTCCTTCTACTTTGACTTTCAACACTAAACTTCCTGTTCCGGTTTCCTCCTCAAGTGTCACCATGGCCAACGATTTTAGTGCGCGAAACACTGTCCCAGGTCTACTAAAACCTCGCTCCAAACTACACATTGGAGCCTTCAACGTACGTACCCTAAGTCAAATCGGTCAACAGGCCTCCTTAGCTAAAACCCTAGAATCTCGTACCATTGATGTATGCTGTGTCTCCGAAACACGCATACAGCATCCCAGTGTGGTCATTCACTTGACCTCACCTCGCCAAAATGGACAGATAACGAAATACACCCTCCGTGTATCTGGCGACCCGTTGGCTAGTTCTTGCGGACTTGCAGGTGTAGGCATAGCATTAAGTACAAGGGCAGAACAGGCACTACTAGAATAGATTCCCGTTAACAGTCGCCTGTGTGCTGTCCGGCTGAATGGCTCCGTAAGAACTCGAAAGGATAGGGACACACGTCGTTGCCTTTTCGTCGTTTCTGCCTACGCTCCCACTGACTACAGCCATGATGAAGTGAAAGATGACTTTTACAGAAGGCTCTCTGAGCTTCTTCAGAAAGCTAAGCGCTCAGACATAGTAGTCGTAGCGGGTGACTTTAATGCCCAGGTAGGCAGCTTGAATCAAACCGAAAGACATTTAGGTGGGTGTTTTAGTATTCCGGCTCAACGAACCGATAATGGTGATCGTCTGTTGCAACTATGCTCAGACAATCGTTTATTTCTAGCAAGCACTAATTTTAAGCATAAGGAGAGACATCGTCTAACATGGCGACCACCTGCACCAAACCAACGATGGACTCAAATAGACCATATTGTCATCAGTCATCGTTGGAGAGGCTCAATAGAAGATTGTCGCTCGTATTGGAATACTTGTTTAGACTTTGATCACGCTTTAATACGAGCGCGCATTTGTCTGCGCCTCAATGGACGCAGGAAAAGTACACTAAAAAGACCCATTAGGATTGAACTGGAGGACGAGAAAGCCAAATGCGAATTCCAGAAACAACTGAGTTCACATCTAGGCAGTTCTGTAAACAAGACTGACACAGATGCTGTTTGGAAAGACACACGAACAGCTGTGGAAACAGCAGTTACATCTATTAGTCATTTAAACCATAGGGCTCCAAAAAACCAATGGATTTCTTCTAAGTCTATTTCACTGATGGATTCGCGTAAACTCATCCCATCAGGCTCTGAACATGACGAAGAGCGTAGAGAAATTAGATCTAGGTTAACTAAAAGTCTAAGGAACGATCGTGAGCAGTGGTGGGCAACGAAAGCAAAAGAGATGGAAAAGGCAGCGGCTGTAGGGAACACCAGGCAACTATTCAGACTAATAAAAGAAACCGGAATTAAGAAGCCAAGTGTACGTGAGACAATCTCCGAAAAAGACGGAACCCTTATCTGCTCTCAACCCAAACGTTTAGAACGATGGGCGGAACACTTTAAGGAGCAGTTTAGCTGGACTTCAGCTACTGCACAACTACCCACTATCCCTAGAAAACCTGAATGGAACATTGAAGTAGGCCCCCCGACCCTACTTGAAGTTCAAAAGGCTATAGGTAATCTGAAACGAGGAAGAGCAGCTGGTCCAGACGGATTGGCTCCAGAGGTCTTAAAATATGGTGGTCCGATTTTAGCGATTAGGTTGACTAATATTCTGGCTAAAATCTGGGAGACGGATGTAATCCCATCCGACTGGTCACAATCACTGATTGTCCCAATATATAAAAAGGGGTCAAAATCATCCTGCGATAACCATAGAGGGATTAGTCTGACCAACATAGCATCTAAAATACTAGCCTCAATAATTATCGGGCGCCTAACTAAGACTCGTGAACTGCAAACACGAGAAAATCAGGCTGGCTTCAGACCTGGTCGTGGCTGTATCGACCACATATTCACCATTCGTCAAGTTTTAGAGCACAGACACGCTTATCGGCGTCCGACAATGATAGTTTTTCTTGACTTGAAAGCAGCATTTGACTCTGTAGACCGAGAGGTTCTGTGGCAGTGTCTGTCATTGAAAGGTGTACCTGAGAAGTACATAAACCTTGTGAAGGCTCTTTACTCGAACACTACCAGTCGAGTGAGAGCTTATGGCGAACTGTCATATGATTTTACAACCTCAAGTGGTGTCCGTCAAGGTTGTCCACTATCCCCATTTTAGTTTAACTTCATTATAGACCTGTTGCTGGAAATAACACTCTCTTCGACTGAATTTTCAGGAATTGATCTCCTACCAAGGGGACCACTAAGCGACTTAGAATACGCAGATGATATAGTCCTGTTTGGTGAAGACACTGACAAAATGCAGAGTCTTCTGTTGGAACTCAGTAATAATGCCAGGATGTTTGGGATGCGATTCTCCCCATCCAAATGTAAATTGTTACTCCAGGACTGGCCTGCATCAACACCTGAACTAAGGATAGGGAGTGAAGTAGTCGAACGCGTTGACAACTTCACTTATCTTGGAAGTCTGATCAGTCCTAATGGGTTGGTGTCTGACGAAATCTCAGTACGGATTCAAAAAGCTCGTTTAGCTTTTGCCAACTTACGTCACCTATGGCGAAGACTAGATATCCGTGTATCAATTAAAGGACGAGTATACTGCGCAACAGTTCGCTCTGTTCTACTTTACGGCTGTGAAACATGGCCATTAAGAGTAAAAGACACTCGTAGGTTACTATTATTTGACCACAGATGCCTTAGAAATATTGCTCGCATCTGCTGGGATAACCGGGTACGTAATAGCGTGTTTAGACGCAAGGTATTAGGGCATGATGGTAAATCAGTTGATGAGGTGATGAATCTTCATCGACTGAGATGGTTGGGCCACGTGTTACGTATGCCTGAACACCGATTACCACGACGCTCTATGATGACTAGTATTGGGGATTGTTGGAAGAGAGTTAGGGGCGGCCAAACCAAAACATGGTATCAGTGTTTGAAGTCACTAACTTCTTGTCTGAGCCATGTTGGCAGGTGCAGACTACCTGGTTGGGGTCCGCGTGACTATCGTAACCAATGGTTGGAGACTCTAGGTGACATGGCTCAGAATCGATCACGATGGCGTAGGTGTATACACTCTTTATCTTCCCTTAAACATTGAGATTAAAATTGCTTCAAAACTTTCTTCCTTCCTATACTATATCCTTACATACAATCTTTCTTTATATACTACCACCACTAAATTAATTACTTCTATGAATCTGGTGTTGATCTTGTTATGCTAACGGGCTGTGACAACTTGGACCGATGCATATATGTGCCTGGTTCTACGTTGTAGCTTACTGACTGGCTGATATTTTCCAGATTTCCTCATCGTTTTGATGTGGCCGATTCAGGAATATTAAAGCTTAGGTTACTAAAATTAACCAATTGTCATCGAAATATATACGATCAAGAAATATCTTATTCAATCTACCTTCTTACAATAGGTACAGTATCAAAAAACTGTAATCTACAACAGAAATAAAGAATGTTAGACGCTGGCAGATAGCTAAAGCTTCTAATCATATCTCTACAAACTCATACACGATTGTCCTGATCATCTGTCATAAAATAATAGCTACTCAATGGACGAAATTAATCACAACTAAACCTCTAAGATCCTCAATAGTATCAACATGTGAATGACACTGATAATATTTGCAGCAGATATAAACACTTGTTTACCTTAAATTATTTTGAAATGACATTTATCCCCGAATAATGGCACTTTCCTACAAAAAGTCATATCCATCAACACTTGGCTATTGTAACTGCATGATTACCTGAAAATTGTAATTCGTTTGTGACAAATTCACCTAGACATTTGTTTGTCATTTTCACTGCCCACCTCCCTCCTTTCCAGGTTTTTTTCTCCCTATTGCCAGACTTTCCTTCGCAACTCGAACCCCCACCTCTAAATGTCATCATCACTAACCTTCCAAGACCAAATATGGGATCATAATTTTTTGAGAAAACTACAATAAAAGCTATTTTTCAACCTTTAACGTTGGTATTCAAAAAAGAAACATCTGTAACTAAGTATCTAGTATACTGCTTGGTAAATAAATTCTGTTTCTAGAACTCATATGAAGAATCCAAGTGTAATCCATTCATTTGAATTCACTCTGTCATCATAATAAACAGAATGGTTACTTCTGAACTGTATTCCAGTCGATACTTATCAATTTGTTGTTTGGGTAAATGGAGATATAAAAAACTGTAAAGATGTGACCTTTAATGTATATATAACCTATGTATAACTGTTAAATCATTCAGTCTTTTTACTTAGTATAAACATTCGTTTGGAAATTCTTCATTAAATGTTGGAGAATCTATACTTAGATTCATCCAATTGTGTTTGCGTAAATGTATTCACTCATTTGCAATCTTTACGATACATATGATTTTCTAGAAATATAGTTTGTATTTCGCTTCCTAACTCGGTTCATAGCTCACACATGTGATTAAACATTTTTTTTGTAACCTGCTTGTATATATCTCTGTTTTTAGTTTATATAGTGTGAATGTAAGTTTTGTGAAAATCGTGTCATATTGTAGATTAGTTTGAAAAAGAAACTTCACTATTTGTTAAAAAAATAAATTTCATGGGTCCTTACGTAAAATAAAACCATTATGCAAAGCGATCTTCAATCCTTCCATCTAACAATACTTCCAGCTGATTTCTGTATATTGATGATCATTAAGATTCTCTGTTATCTTTTATGCTTGAAATAATGCTTTATAACTGTTATTCTGCACTAGAGGCATTATCTATGTTCTATGTTTCTTTTTTTAAACTGAATATTTGGATTCTTGAAACGTTTCTATCTTGTTCATTGTCTGTGATTTGTTTCATTTACATTATAGATCCTTAAATTTAAAGTATATCGTCTATATTGTATTCAACAACGTGTTGCATGTGAAACTTTACAACATTGTCTATCATCTAATTATCGTTTAAATCAATTGGTAAAAATATTTGAAAAAAATACTAAAACCAAAGGTTTACCCCTATCTTCATATCTGTTGAAACCAATGCAACGTATAACAAAATATAAATTAATCGTTGAAAAGGTATGTCTTAAAATCATTGTACATTATTCAAGAGTTTTATACATAGATGTTAACCTCTTAGATAGTAAGATAAAAATGCTCATCAGAAGTTACTTATTTCATGATTTGTGTTTTCCTATTGTTGATATTTTCGATTTAAGTAATCATTCTCTGTTGCTGCATATACATTTTGATCGAATGTTTTGTTGTTTATTTACATTTAAAAGTTGATATTTTGCGATATATGTTTGCTATAGAACTGGTTATTTGAAATGGCCTAAATTTCAATATTGGTTTTCACACTCAGACTCGAATTCGATACTCATCTCTTAAGACTTCAGAGTTCTATTCACATAGGCCCCCAAATGCCCTGGTACGGCCGAGGGCATAACTATCACATAACTATCATTTGACGATCCTATACCCCAATAAAGATTCATCAACCCAGTCCAGAATGTAATACCATTTGAATAGTTATCACTTATCCCCTAGTGTTCGTATCATTTTGTAGTGCGTTATTGGCATCACCATTGGGATGTAAATAAGCTCAGTGACTGGATCTCCAAGGAGGATCGGAATTTTTCTTGAAATTCATCTTATGATTACTGTATGGAAGAATTATTGTGTTCATCGTCTCAATACATGATAAAGTTATTGATTTTTTAATTTTTTACTTGAACCATAGTACATGTGTTGGTCGGATGATGGTTTTTGTCATGAATAAAGTTATGCATAGTAAAAATGAGATTAATGTATTAATTCTTCTGCCAAATATGACATTTTTACAACACCCTTGTTTGTAAACTACTATATACACTTTGTTGTTTCCATCAGCGCTTGTTAGAATCGGTCATTTCACTTTCAGAATATTTTACTTCAAATAGATCGATCATACTGATTTCAAATGATGAAATTAGACATTATGGATCGTTTGCTTACAAAGCTTTTCAACTTGTCCACGCAGAATTGTCATTTCATACAACTATGCTCAAAATGAAAGTTTCATTTGTTTAGCGTCCGTCTATGGATTTCATCTGTATGCCTAGAAGTCTAGATGTTTATTCATTAACCTCAATACCTTACCATCGAAACCTTTATGGTTGATACTCTGACTTATGGTGTTTTGTAAGTATGACAAGAAAGGCTTATTCGAAAAATAAGATAACCACGAAAACAGTTTGAACTCAGTTATAAAGTTATTTCTTTGTTTTCCTCTTCGTTTAACGCGTCCTTAGAGTAAATTTGAATTACTCGACACTGTAATATGATCATTTAAATTATGAATAATATGCTTCAGAGCATCGAAAACGTAATATGTATAATAAGAAATGTCAGTCAAATTAATCGAATGTCTACAATAAAGTTTTTTCACCTTGCATTTGTGTGTATTTTGCTATACGTTTAATCTATTTATGTAATATAACGTCGATATATGATATGATTTAGTTTCTATGTCTAGTGTTCATTTCTTCCTTAAATTAGATTGCAACAAATACGCATATTTCATGTCCCGACTACGATGACGTTGTTAAGGTGAATAATTTGATGTCTGTGCTTTTAAAGTCAATCGATGATGCAATTGGATCTAAAGATAACCCTAATCGGATCGACTGGTTCCGTTCACGATTAATTGGCGCTGATAAATGGCTTTTAGATTGGTTATCTGATAATACAGCTCAAAATCCTCATGAAAGACCATGTTTAGTTCATTGTGGTACACTTTATAAAGTAAGCTGCGATATATTTATTTTTTTGTATAATAAAAATCCGATGAATTGTTATGTTCCTCGACGGAGTTAGTATTCTGTTTCGACTTATAAAATGCTTCTCATCGCCACTTTGACATGATGTCAATTTTTGGATCATACTATTTTCTACTGATTTTTAATGAAATTTAATTCATTTGATCAGAAGATCACTGTATTTTAGCTCTATTCATTAAAAAACATCCCATACTAGGACGAAACGGCTGTCCAGTGCTTCCAGGTTTTCAATGGTGGTCTTGCTTAGATTGACTTACGAATTCAACTGTGAAAAAGACATCTGCTTTAAATATGCCGCAGATAAACCAGTGTTCTGTTATCGTCTTTAACATTGTTTCTTATGCCTATTATTGTTCCTTTCATTTATATATTCTTTGTACTATTCATCATGTGTATGCTGGTTTCGATTGCACTGAAATTGTCTCCTGGGTCACTTTTTAGACTAACTAAAATGAAATCGTCCCCTTCACAAGCCGGATTATGTAGAACAAAATGCATATACTAAGTTAAATAACTCAATGTTCATTCGTATAAAAATCACTTTAAGCACAAATGTATTTTTAACATAATTTTTCTATCATTTATTATCTTCAGGCTAAAAACAACCGAGAATTTATTTGCTTCTTATTCAACAAGTATTTAATACTAACTACACCAAATTATAATACTAATGGACGGTTATTCCAATCTCCGTCTACAAATCAATTGAATGAAATAAAATGGTCGTTTATATTATACAAAGAACCATTAGCATTGAATCAAGTGAGTAGTATCTGATTGGTTACAAATATGTATGTTGTTTACTTTATAAGAAAATAACTATATGAATAAATTATTTACTAGTCATAGTAAATCTCTTAGTGACGAGTATAAGTAAATAGTTTGTTTTGAATATGGGTGTATTCGAGTTTGTATGCGTATACTAACCACTGGTTTGTGTGTGGTGAATGTGCACAGCGAATTCTACGTAATGAATTTTAATTTATAATCCGGTCGATACACAAATTAATGAACGTGTGGAATATAACTCTTTTTGATGCACATTTGACGTCTTGGTCAAACATTTGGTTCATTTGTTTTCCAACTGTACTAAATATTACAAATAAATTACGTGTTTTACATTTGCTCGATTCAAATAATTATGAATGTTAATTATGGGTACTCACGAGCAATTGTCAAAAGCTTAAAACTTATCTCGATCTTTAATGCTGAGAAACTCAGATTAAAGCATATGAAACTATTGATGTATCTTCTTTATTTTCTATCCTTTCAAGAAAAAAAACTAGTGATGATAACATTGAAATTCAGTGAATTATTTGCTACATTGTGTTAAATATTTTGACGATACTCACTCTTGTATATGTAAATAGTAGTGTTTACCATAAGGTCGATTAGGGATTTGGAGTTATTTTATAAAATAGAAGTTTGAGTTGTCATAATAAAACACTATTTTGTTGATACTTAACGTATTGCGATTTTGTTTTTTTTTTAGAAAATAAGTTACATAAATGTATACTGTACTTCATGAACAATTACCGTTTAAGGTTATTATAAAGGTTAAATTAAACAAACATAATGTAAGAGTGTATTTTCAGGCTTGTGACACCATAAGATCAGCGTTAGTGGAAATTAAGGGTAGGCTTTCAAAGGAAGAACAACAGAATGTTGTCTATGAAATCAACTGTCGTGGTTGTAATGTAGCTTATGTGGGAGAAACTTCAAAACGATTGAATGTTAGGTTGAAGAAACATAATGTCTTAAAAATGTTCCCAAATTCTCAGTTAACCTGACACAACTTGAGGATAGGTCAGTGGTATAGTTACATGCATTAAAAACAGGACACATGACCGATTTTCGAAAGGAACAACATATTTCATAAAGGTTTTTAGCACTCATAAAGGGAGATTGACAGCAGAAGAGCTGTATATATGGGCCAACAAAAACAGTCCAAAACCGAAAGGATGGTATTCAATTAGCAACCCCTTGGTAAATTTTCATTAACAAGTATTCGGGTCTTTTCTCTATCCAACCTGTTTATTTCACATGCATCGTTATTCTGATTGAAATTAATGTGCGTTATTTTAGCAATACAATTATGTACGTGATGGTTCTCAATTTACAAGCACATCGACGATTTCGCCCCCCATTTTTCATGTAAAAAAATTAACATCTAATATCAACTATTAATAACTCAATCTTACACATAAATACACACATTTCTTTCATCATTCATTTATCTTCACATTGTGAACTTTTCGCATTATCCTCATATAACTGACTCATGTTATCCTACTTACTAAAATCGACATCTAAGTGTGATTGGTTAGTCACAGTAAATATTTGATTTGATTGTTAAATGTTATATATTTCTAGAAGCTCTAGTGAGAAGCAGTGACCAGTGGAGTTCAAAACCACGTCTGTTGTGAGATAGGAACTCACTGAAGACAATTAGTGAATGGTTGCTCAACTTCGTGGATCAGTTGAAGTTAGACATTATCATCGTTGTATGCCAGCTCAGTGGTCTATCGGTTAAGGGCTTCGGCTCGAGACTGATAGGTCCTGGGTTCGAATCTCGCGAGAGCGGGTTCGTGGATGCGCACTGCTGAGGAGTCCCATAATAGGACGAAACGGCCGTCCAGTGTTCCCAGGTTTTCCATGGTGGTCTAGCTTCAATTGACTCATGCTTTCATCTATGAAAAATACTAAATCTCCACAAAACCCCTTCTGATAATTAATATATTTCTTTGATAATTTTGGTTATTGTCGTAATTAAGTCCAGATAGGTTTGCGGAATGAAATGGAATTATTTAAATTTCAATCACTAAAATTATTTCAAATATAATTTTCACATTTAATGGCTTCTCTATACTTGACATCCAATATTTGTCAAACTATTCATTCTAATATTGACGAATATTCGTATACACAATATCCTGTTATTTTAGAAAAAGTATAGCATTCATTTTCAATGCATTCGTCGTTAATTAAACGTTTCTCATTGTAATTCGTTTAGATATATGTATTTAAAGGTGCAGTCAGACAAAACTCTGAATCAACATCTTCAGTTTTTAGTAGTTACTCAATAACACCTCAGTCAGCACCATACAACAAACCTACAAATGATGAACTTGTACGATCAGTATCCACTTCTACATTAACTGAATCAACCGAAAATTCCAATATGAATATTAGATGTCAATCTGAAATTGTAAAATATTCAACGACAAATGTATTCTCATTATTTAAACGAAGAAATTCTTGGCAACCTATAGTGACTTTAAAAGCTCCATCAAATGAACTTTGGTAATTTTATAACTTTTGTTTAATCTCTACATTGTGGTATTATTTGTTTTCATGGTAACCAGTCGAAAACATTGAACTCGGATCATATTTTCATTAAGAGTTTTTTGTCAAGTGTATGTGTAACCTATGAGGTCATTTTAAATTAACCCTGGTCATCAAGTCCTCATTCTTACTAGATCAGTAATCTGTAATATAAATTGGTGATCCTTTTAACATCTCGAACCGTTGTAATCTCAGCAAGATACATTTTTTGGTCTAAAACATTTTACTCCCGAGATTTCAAGAACGGTGTCATTTCGTAGTTTTACTTTCAACCTTACTTAAACAACCATTATAAACCAGGAATCACTGGACAATTGTTTTGTAATGTGGGACTCCTCTAGAGTTGCATATCCATGACCCCGAAAGGGATTGAACCTAGGACCTTCAGTCTTCACACATGACAACGGCTTAACTGAGTTGACATCCAACAGTTTAGATTTCTTACTTCAATCTGTTAGGAATATTTTATGACTATTATTCATTGGTTGTGGTGAAATTTGTCTCCGATCTGATACTGCTGAACATGTGTTGTTCTAATGAACATCAATTTGTCGTAGTTTCTCACTTACCTCTTGAAATTATTCCCTTGTAAGTATATAAAGATATATAAGTATAAACAGTTGTGCAGATTTTTAGACTTTGCAGTTTTACATTATGAACTGATCTCACTTATTTTATTTTGTAAGTTTACTAAACTTAAAAATGTCAACTAGCAAAGATAACATTTCAAACAGATCAGTAATGATATTAGTCTAAATACAGAATTAGAAAATTATCTTTATTTACGTGTGTGTACAAACATCCTCTTATTATTTCTTTTTTTTGTATATGAATAACACAGTGATCTTTGGGTATTAATTTTGAGAGATCAAATTAAAGCTGGAAGTAATTTCTCTAACTCACGTTCTTCTTATTCACCATGTAAGTTAAATCTTCTATATGGCTATTTGTAATCGTACATGACATAATTACTAGCTTTAACACATCCAACATATTCATTTAAACACACATTCTTTTTCTCACTTTTTCTAGTCTCAGTTTCTTCAAAAAGTGTTATAAGAATTTTTCGTTGTTACATTCCGTCATGTATTGTATTTTTTTGCTTAACTCGAAATTAGTGTCGTTTTTATCATTATTTTACATAACTTTTTCTAATCTATCAAGTACAAATTCGTCTACTTGGCTTCGGTCATACTCTAATCATATGATCTGGGAATAATGCTCTGCTCCCCAACCTAAAGTAGTTAGACCAGCGTTCGAACTGTCGATTGATAATATATAAGTCGAATACTTTGACCGCCTTCATCATATAATAAAACCCTCATCATTATAAATAAATGAAGATCATAATTAGTATCATAAACACATGCTATCTACTTGGTGTTATTCATTTGAGTTAAATATGTTCGGCTATTTCAAGATCGAATAGTGATGAAGTTTAGGGACCTCAAGACTCAAATGCCAATAAGTTAACATTTATTTCCGTTGGAATCTTACAAATCAAACAGATATTCATTTCAAAGTTTGTTAAAAATATGGCACTGAATTTTCCGTTTCTAATTGAGGAAATTAGTACACATATTAAATCATATTGTGTTAAAAATTAATAGTTTATGAAGCTGAAAAACATCATTTGTTATAGATATTTATATTTGTTCTATGATAATATTCAAGGTTATTTTTCTACGCCCATTTACTCATATTTTCTTTCTGATATTCAAAATTATGATCATATTCCTTAGTTTGTTCGAAGAAATGATTAGTTATTTTCTGGTTAACCTCGTCAATTTATCTGTTTCTTTTCACGATTCAGTTCTAATTTTAGAAACAATATGAAATACATACTTAGCGTCCATTTGTTGCGTAGGTGATAGCCGATAATGTATTGAATTAAGAAATTGATAGACATGTCAACTTAATACACATAAATTGATCAAGTAATTTTCATTGGCTGTCGCCTTTGTGGCAGTTTGTAGCTGACGGTATCTGTCGCATTCTCATTGTTATGTTTTATGTCTAGCACTTTCGTCCACTTATTTGTTCACCAAATGAGTGATCCCTACATATCAGTATGATTTTCATTAGCGATTTCATTTCAACCTCAAGTTTTCAATCTATTTCGATGTATTGATCCTGAATTTCCGGCTATGCTATACTCACATATCCATCTCAGACAATTGTGCATAACTCCAGACGCTTAAAATGAAACCCTTGATGTAATTACATTTTAGTATCTAGTACTCATCTCTTAAATGAATGGGAAAATAACTGAAAATGCTTTGCATAACACATTACCTCATTAAAAGCGTGATGGATAAAATCACACTAATCTCTTTGGGTGTCGACATAAATCTGGATCAGTCCTTTGCTGTGTTCTAATTGTTCTATTCAAAAATCAGCAGATATTTTGAACATATGATCTATATCTAACTCTAACACTACTAATATTATTAATAATAGTGATACTAATCCAGTAAATTGGTTAGTGTACCTCATATTGATTAACTCTAAACTTTATTAACATTCCCACCATCATTAACCAATCATAACTCACCTATAAGTTTTTGCTTCTTTTCAATGATTCCCTGCTAACATTTATTCTCTAAATACTGAATTATTTTCCTTTTTGATGTTTTCTTTTTCTTTTACACTTTTATTTAAAGCATTGAAAAATGATTACCCACAACATTTACTGTTTACGGTTTCAAAAGTTTGCACTAACTCACAAGGTATTTCATAATGTTTCTGAAGAGTAATCTGATATTTTTTTATATAAGCCCTTTCCAATAATCACTGTTACACTACATTGTACTTTGCGTAGCTTTCAATTTGAATATTGCGATATTTCTAGAAAATGTAATGTGGCTTAACAATCTATGCTGTAGCTAGCTAGCGAGAGAAAGTAGACACACATCTGATGCATCATCTATACTTGACTAAATTTATATTTTAAATTACTTCATTCAGGTTTGTATTTGTACTAGTCTTAATTAAACAGTCGAACAAAATTGTCCGCGGTTACATGATTTAGCAAGTTATCACAGAATGGTTTGTCAACTATGGTTATTTCAACATTCGACGTTCATAGCAAATCAGGATATCTATCTTATCTGATTTCGAATACATTACTATTTATTATTCGCTCGACTATTTTCCAAATTTGGAGTTGTATGGTACCATTTCCTTGATGTAGATGTGAAAAGGTTGCTGATCATATTGACACTCATCTGTATTCCTGGTAATTATCACTTATAAATTATAAAACCGCATGCTCTAAATTATAAAATACACTAATTTAGTCTTTGAAGCCTTACATCTTAACACTCAAATAATTTGTTCTTATCAAAACAAAATGTTCGTCTAACATATTTACAAAATACCAGCCCCTTGGGATGCTTCTCTTGTTTGATTATCACAGGTGCTGAATTTTCAGCATCTAGTAAGCAAAAGAAAAGTCCAATAAGTATCAAATCCTGTTTTATAAAACACCAAAACACAAATCTTGGCAACTTAACACCATTGCAGATATCAACTGATCTATTTGTTTATTATAACTATTGAATTCCATTATTTTTATCTAAATTAATTGTCGCTGAATTACGCTCATTCCTCTAGTTGTTTTCTCGTTTAAAAGTCTTTATAATATTAGAAATTCACTTACACAATGGTGAAAATATGTTAATGAGTTTTGGTACAATATCGTTTATTGACCTTCATCGCTCATCACCTACTTACGTACTCTAGAAATCGTCGCTAAAACTGTTTAGCATAATGTAATGACTACCATAGTCTTCCTATTTAAAAAAATCACAGCACTTATTCACTTTTAAAACCAAGAATTGTTAAGGTTAGCGTTTTATTAAGTACCTCAGGAATACTAAAAATCATCACTACCAGGCATCAAGTAACAACATACTATTAACTCAGATTTCTTTCATTAAACCTGACTATTTGCTAATGTACATTTTCTTTGTTTTAAAAAAATAAATAACCTTCACTATTATTCATATTTTGTCTAGTCTCACTTCCCCATTTTATTTTAGTTTGTTTTTCGCACAGTTTAAAAATGTTGCCACATAGAAAACTATTCATCACTTTATCACTTCAATGATTCATTAAAAAACACTTCCTATGTCTTATTATTAATGTGGATGCATACATTATGTTTGTCTGTTTCCTTTTACATATGTTTCATTTCAGATCAATTTGAAGTTCACTTCAAGATCAGTATCACCGATCAAATGTGGAAATTTTGTCAAATATTTGCTAATCAATCATTAATAGAATTTAAAACTTCTGAAACGTTAAATTTTCTGATACCGGAATCTTTAGAAAAGTGTCTACATATCACTGCCTTCAAATCGTTACCATTTACTAATTCAAGTAGGTGATTTCGTTTTGCTGTTGGCTCACAAATTTATACTCAGTTGTTGAGTTATGTTTTCAAATCATATAGAGACGGTATTAATCTATAAACTCATTAACTCTTAGACTATGTCATATAAACTTCTTGAATAAAATCTGCACGTTAGTCTTGATTCAGTCAGTAAAGACATTGCTCAAAGTCAGTCCCGGGAGGCCATATACATTCATTCTTTGTGTTCCTTTAGATCTTCAATCTCAACATAATATCATAATTTGCATCCCACAAATTCATTCCTTCTTTACAAATAATATTCTCATATATTTAATCTTTTTTTTCCTGATTACGGGCACAATACTCAATTATACCGACTTCTTTGGATGGTGGAGAAGATTTGTAGCTCAGGTGGGCGATTTTGATGTAGGTTTGTTCTCTGAGATGGATGGTTTGGTCGTGGAGCTTTCATCGTCCTTCTGAACAACATCATCAGCACAAACTTCGGGTAGAAGTGAATTGTTTGAATTTCTCCACAGGCGATTCAAACACTTCACTTCTACCCGAAGTTTGTTCTGATGATGTCGTTCAGAAGGACGATAAAAGCTTCACGACCAAACCATCCATCTCAGAGAACAAACCTACATCAAAATACCGACTTCTTTTTTCTATGCACTTTATTAATGTCATCTCGATGCGTTGAGCCAATGCACAAATTTACACTGAGACCTATGCTGTTTTAACTAATTACATTTTTAATATAATTTATGTATATTATATATATATATATATATTTACTATATGCCTATTTATTCTATAGACGCTTTATGAAGTATTACTGTATTAATTTAATCTTACTATATTACTATTTAGATATAATTGGATCGTGTATTGTACCATTTTCAAATATATTCATTAATTTTCCACCAACTTCATTTGAATCATTTACTAAACAAATTGAATTGAATCAGTCTACCGGTATGAAAATGGAATTCACCATAGAACTTACCGTTTAACATCGTCCGTGATGATGATAATAATGATGAAATAATTAATAATGATAATATATTAACCGAATTCCAATATATATATATATATATATATATATATATATATATTAAATAGAATGCTCTTTACTTTGCTATTCTCATATTTATATGACATATTCTTATGTTTCATTTGAATTATCATTAAGTCTTATTTTATTCCGAAAAGGTTAAACATGAATTATCAATTTGATTTTTATCGATCTCTTCTACATATGGTTCTCCATAATTTTATGGAATGTGCTTTTTCTCTTTTTCACATCTATCACTGATTCATTTACATTAACCTTCATAGATTGTTACACTTATATGTATATTGTACTTAGTGTTCACACTTGTTATTATTACTATTTTTAGCAAGTTCCACAAAAAATTTACTCCATATTTCAATAATCCTGTGTACAAAATTAAGATCTCATTTTAACTTTGTCTTTGTCTATTTGTTCTTCTTCTTTTGTAATTTATGATGGTCTACAATTTTTGTTAATAAAATTTTGTCAGTTATTCTTTTATCTTTTCTCTCTCCCTAATTTTAGTGAAAGTTGTTTTTTATTGACTGTTCAAATTACTATAAAAGAGCATTTGATGTTTAGTGATGTTTACCGATCTGATGTATATCGATATATTAATTAATATGACTTATTGAGATTACTTAGAATTTGAAATTAATGTTTTTTATGACTGACTACCAGTTAGTAAACTTTTAGGTCGTCAGATTTTGATTGAACGATATAAAGTGTTATGCTTTTCTTAAAACATAAGCGTCAGTTCCCTCAAGAGACTACTGATGAGTCCCGGTTCTTTCTACTGACTATCCAGCCACCTAACATCTCTGCATAGTCCACGCGATATCCAGTCACTAACGCTGGCGGCCACATTCCAACTTGATCAATGGAATCCGATCAGTATCAAGAAGTACTAGACAAGTATCACACTGATTACTCAATCAGTTACAACGTAGAACCTGTACGTATGTACATCGGTTCAAGTTGCCATACCCTATCAACACTGAGTTAAAATTGTCAGCCAAAATCGTAGAGGTATTAACTGTATCAGTGGTGATTGGGGAGATCGGGCATTGAAGATACGACTCAAAAAGAAAACATAAATGAGGGAAACAAAAACAATAAAGGAGTTACAAAGAATTCGAAATCTCATGTTTGCGGTAAGACAAAGAATGGATACACCTGCACCACTGTGAACGATTTTAAGCTGTGTGATTCAAAGTTTTTAACCAATAATTACAATAATCACGTTGTTTCTGACCGGGTAGTCTGTACATATTAACGTGGCTAGGTCTAATTGTCACTGACATGGACTGACGCCATGTTTTGGCTTGGCCGCATTGCTCCGGACGCTGATTGTACGAGGGGGACACCTTACTGCTTCCACATCCCTCTATAAACTTCGCTTTCGGGCCTTAAATTGCTGGTTTCAACCTTGCGTTTCTCGAATCGACCTGTCTGAGATGGTAGGACTTAAAGAAACATGTGTTCTAGCCAATATAGCTCAGCTGAGTAATCATGATAGGTGATCTTTACCTCATTACTGTCATACCTTATTATTATTTACTGATATTTCTATTTGAAAAATAAGCGACAGAGCTACGCAGCCTCACTAACTGAACATGTATGAAGCTACTTAGAGGACTTGTTTATTTTTATTCAGTAGTTTATTAAAATTTTATATGAAACATCAAGTTCGTGAAAAGAATTCAACTGTTATTTGTTTTCCAATATGTAAATAGCATTTAGTTCTCCAAATCCTTGTCTTTTTTTTAATTGCTTGTTTTTCAGGATCCCGCAATTATAAAGAAGCTCAATTTAGCTCCAGATATCAGATATGATTATGCTGAATTATTTCAAATCACACTATGGACTAGCATAGCACTGATCCTAGTTGTATGGGGCGTTTCTTGGGGTATCTGGAATATGGATCCTGGACGAGATGGTATTATCTATCGAGGTACAATGACAAGGCCTAAGCAAGATTAAACATTTCCGTTCTGTACCACAAATTAAATATATAATCTTTCTAACATAAAATTCAGCATAATTTAACTATTTATCGAGTATATTTCCAATGGTTTTGTTTGATTTTTTTAAACATTATTGAAATCTTTCGATGTTGTTTTGTTTTATAATGTTAAAAATAACATATTTATCAGCCCATAATGTCCTATTTATCTGTAATGTAATATTTGCTAAAATTTCTTTTATCATTTAATGAAAGTAAAGGCATGGTTGAAAAAGTATCTAATGTTTTCCATCCAAATTGTTTTTGTGTTTTTTACTTAACTTTGTTGATTGTTTTAATGTATAATCAATTTAATATCAATATATGATATAAACATCGCATAGAAACACACTATTTTCATGTGCATTATCAATATAATCAAAAATGTTTGTCGTGATTAGAACATTAGATTTGTCGAAGTCTACCGTCCAGTATTCCTAAAATCAAAACTTTATCACATTTGTCTGATTCATCTGTCTGGTTAACATCAGAAATTAGTTATTAGCCTCATTATTTTCCGACTATTTTACGTTAAGAATAAAAGAATATTCTTCCTATGCCTGATTTAGAATCCTCTTGCTAAATTGTAAAATACATAATTTCCGACTGATGGTAATCATGGGGAACTAGGTACAACGATAAACAACACTGAATATTATTAAAAAAAGAACTCAGGCATTCCTTTTTTTGCTTTGTTCGTTTCACTCCAACATATTTTTTCCTTGTCCTGTTAGTCTTAAGAGCCTATATCGTCTAGCGGTTTAATATGACTTTTGAGTCTGCTTCCCTTCGGAATACAGCTGTAAATCAAACCAAATAATTTTTATCTATTCTAGCACTATTTTTAAGTACTATAAGAACAAAAGCAATACAAATGTTTCTCTTGTGAGATTATTATTTCGATCACCATCAGTACAAGAGTATTGTTTTTTGGTAGGTGATAAACATGCTTTTAAATGCTTGCTTTACATGGTGCATTTCATTCATGGTAGAAAATTTAACTCAAAACTATTTGATTATTAATGAATAAAGACAGGCTGATTAATCGCTTTACTAGTATTTGCATTTACAAAATTCTCAAGGCTATACGACGGTGCTATACAAATTTCTGTCTGTATTAGTATGGTAAACAACAATTTATCGAATGCATGAATCAGCTATGTGAAAGTTCTTTATATTAAACTCACTAGATTAGGCTACAAGTGATCCACCAAATTACTACCTAGAGTGCTTATTTTCATATGACATGGAATCCTAGTGTATAGAATGTAAACTGGACATTTAATTGTCAAGTAGAATAGTCAATTTTAAACCACAAGTTACTTAACAACAAAGTATTTCTAGTCTATTACTTCTTACTGTAATATGGAAAATACTCAGTATGAATCTCTGCCAACTCATGATCATCTATATCCTTACATTAAAGGTCGACCCCCTAATTAAATAAATCAACCCATTCATAATTCTAACACGTATTATGCATAATTATTACTCTTCGTTCATTTACCATATTGAATTGTTTTCCGGTGTATTGTCAACTATCAGACTAGCTTAATTTTTATAATCAACGTTTCAAAATCGATGTACAACTTGAGAAGTTAGGTTACATTAATGATAATCATTATTTCATTGAGGGTTTTGTGGAGATTGTGATAAGTTAATAGTTGGATTCATGAGTCGAATATAGCCAGTCTACCTCTACAACAGACACGGTTGAACTAACACCATTGAGTGCCGTCTAATTGGTTTAGATGTTAAGTGTTGACGCGCAAGTCTGGGGTTCGAATCTCGCGTTGCGCGCTGCTGAGGAGTCCCACAGTAGGTTGGTTTCCTATGGTGCTCTAGCTTTAATCAACTCCTGAATTCAACTATTAAATGATAATCATGCCAGACAACAAAGCCTTTCATCTTATGATATTTGAATATTGATTGCGTTATATCGGTGAATGGCGATTCTCTATCTGCAACATAGCTTCTTGATTGGTTAGTTAAATTAACCTTGTGACACATTCGAGGCAAAACAAGCCTTAGTTCTATAACTAAGACGTACCTTTTGAACGACTCGCATTCATAAACTAGTTTGTGGTTAGTATTTGTTACTGTGTAATGATAATGGTGAAATAGTCTGAACAGTTTCTTAAATAAATAACCGAAATTGTAAGCACAGATTATGTATGGATAACTTAAGTATGAATACATGTCAGAGTTTTTGTACTATTCCAATCATACGATCTAGGTTATAAATGATTGATTTGTAATATAAAGAATTAAACACATACAATCAGTACTGACAACAAAACACTGACATCTTAATTCAATTTATATGTCACAAAAATGTTGAGAATTATAATATAAAAGTAACAAACATAACACACCATGAAACTGGTAGTGGTGTCATAAAAAATTTCGCACTTCGACTATACTTCTTATCATACACATAATTTTAGAAAAATAAGATTCATACGTCTCGAACTGTCAGCCTTTCTAAATTAATTTTATGAATGATTCCCGAAATTAAAATGCCTTTACGGAACGTCTTGAATGTGGTTTTTTAGAAAATCTGTCATTTTCTAGAATGTTATACTAATTTGTGAAATGAATCACTTCTCATATTATATTGTATTCTATAAATACGAATTTGATTGGTTTATTGAAGCAAAATATAAAATTCATAGTCGAGAACTGAACAAGTTATTCATATCCTATCCGTGCATATTAAAATAATAAGTACTGAACTCTTGCGTAAAATATATACATTAGTGTACACATACATGTGACATCCCTGATTGTTTGAATTAGAAGTTATCTAAGATTAATTCCGAAATAGGTGATAACTAAGAATGATGTTCAGGTTTCCAATCCATAGTTTAGCGAGTGGTCAGCAAAACTCATATCTTACAACTACCAATGTTGTAACCATCTTTATTTTAGTGATTAGAATTTGACAAACATTTATTTCACTAAAAATAAACGACTAATTGCTATACATCTCGATACCCGTTCATGTGAGTCTGTCGAATAAAATAATCTGTTTTCACGAGCAACCATTATTAACTCAGCCGATTGACCACATATTTAAAACGGAAAATGTCCCTTCATTATCGAAAGGTCCAGTTTATGGTGTTACTAAGGCTCTAATTCTCTTCGTTTATATAAATGCTAATACTACTTTTTTTCATTGCTAGCAGAAGAACATCGAAAGTGATTGAAGTTATTACAATTTAAATCCAAAGGTTAGTTAATTAGTTTGATCCTATGCTGAGTTTTGAAATTGATAGTGCATATATTCATCAATACTATAAAAGCAATGGACTGTCCTCATTTGCCCGAAATGTCAAAATACATCAAAATCATCGCTTGACTGTATGAATAGCTGGATACTACTTTTAGAAATATTTAGCGCTTGTGAGCTTATCGATATTATAGTATAGGCAAATTTTGCAACCGATGGTCATCTGCGGTTGAATATAATAAAATAGTGATGTCATTTACAAGAATACAACATGAAAAAATGTACTACTTGTAGGTAGTATGTCAAATATTATACCAATTTTTCAACAAATCTACTGCAACCAAAAGAGATATTTTGTATTTGAAAATATCCCCCTCTCCCGTTAATCATGTCTCATATCCTCATGGTTTTATTCATAATTGTTTCTGATATCCCTTCAGTTCATTTTTACTCATCTGTCATCTTTTAATGTGGTTTATAATAAAACAGAGAAAAATATGATAAAGCAAAGAACTAAGTTGAGGATTATCATATATACATTAGATTGATTTACAGAAAAAATCTCAAACAAAACGACATATACGTATATATTACTTCTATAAATCCGCCTGTAGCTCTTCTAGAGTTACAAAGGAGGAGGGTTGGGCATGGGGTTAGCGACCCCATCCCGTAGAAAAACTAACTCGCTAAAAAAACGCTAACCAGAAAAAATCATTCAAACCATTTAAACTCTGCCCTGAGAGTTGAAGGAATAATTATGACGCCTCATGATGAAAGCCATAATTTTTCGGAAGTCACGAGGCCGAGGCACCTTCTAACAACCAGAGCAACACTCTTTATAAGTACATGGAACGTCCGGACAATGTGGGCGACAGAAAAGACCAGTCAAATAACAACGGCAGTACCTGGAATCAGCGAAACCCATTGAACAGAAGCTAGACAACAAAGGCTAGATACGGGGGAGATGCTGCTGTACTCCGATCACCAAGAAGAAAATGCTCCACACACTCAGAGAGTTGCTCTAATGCTGTCCAGAGAAGCACGAAATGCACTTGTAGGATGGGAATTTCACGGATCCAGTATTATAAAAGCATCACTCAAAACAAAGGAGGGAATCACAATGAATGTTATGCACCCACCAATGATTGCAACGACGACATTAAAAATTAGTTCTATGAGAGGCTGCAATTAATCATAGCGAAGTACCCAAGAAAGAACGTCACCATTCTGATGAGAGATCTAAACGCTAAAGTCGGAATGGACAACACCGAATATGAAGATATCATTGGATGACATGGACTGATTAGGAGAAAAGAAACGATAATGATGAGAGATTTGCAAATATATACGCGTTCAACAAATTGGTTATAGGTGGCACAATATTTCCACACGAACGCATACACAAAGCTACATGGATCTCGCCGGACCACACCACAGGGAATCAGATAGATCATATTTTTATTAACAAGAATTCCGAAGGACAATGGAAGATGTGAGAACAAGGAGAGTAGCTGACATAGATTCAGATCACCATCTACCTGGTTCTGGCCAAGATGAAACCGAAGCTAAAGAAACACTAGACAAACAGCATTACAAAGGTTCAATACAGCCTTCCTTCGAGATACTAACAAGCTCAACGACAGGTTTCAGGCTCTACAGGATCTATGGAAAGAACAAGAAACTACTATGGAGGACAATTAGAAAGGTATCAAAGAAACATTTACTTCAACGTGTCAGGAGGTTCTGGGTTGCAAGGAGCATCACAATGAGGAATGGATCTCTATGGGAACCCTGGACAAGATTGCAGAAAGGGGGAACAAGAAAATAGCAATTAACAACAGCCGAACACGAGCAGAGAAAGTCAAGGCGCAAGCATAGTACACAGAAGTAAACTAGGAAGTGAAGAGGAGTATTAAAGCCGACAAGCAGAAATACATGGAAGAACTTGGAACGACGGCAGAAAAAGCTGCAAGAGTAGGGAATATGAAACAGCTATATGACACAAAATGAAACCAAAAGGTAAATAAAGTAAATTAGAGAGTCCAGTCAAGGACAAAGAAGGAAAGACGACAACGAAGATTCAAGGGCAGAGAAAAAGATGGGTAGAATACTTCGAGGAACTGCTGAATAAACCAACCACACTGAGTCCACCGGACATCAAGGCAGCACACATTGACCTTCCTATAGTTGTCACTCCATTAACGATCAAATAAGTCAAGATGGCCATCAGACAAATCAAGAGCGGGAAATCTACAGGACCTGACAATATACTAGCTGGATGGGAGAATGCTTGTTGGCGGCCTACGCTCCTCCACGAGGGGTAACAGGCGTAAGTAAGTATTACTTCCAAACTAACAATAAATCGTATTATCACATTGTTTTTAGGAAAATATACAGTTCGCTTGATAAAATTGGGTGCTGAGTATAGGGTGAATATCACCCTGAAGAAGTCCAGACAAATAACTGGACGAAACGTTGGAATTATTTAAATTTCAATCGCTGAGATTAGTTCAAATATAATTTGCACATACAAATATACAGTTAAATTACATTTTTGAAAAAAAGATGATTGCTACATAAACATGTAGCAATTTATAATTCTTAAAAAATAATGATAATTAAGTAATATGAGTCAAATGTCATTTCTGTCCTTCACATACATTATATATTACATACAAATGAAGTTATCATAAACAAATTATCACAAACGCGCTAGTTGTCTGTTCCATAAAAAAATTACATTTATTCCATTCACGTAAAATAATTGACAATTTAGTCCAGTTCAGAATCTTCAGTTTCCTCGATTACAGATTGCTTGGGGGGAACAAAAAAATAAATCAAAAGTAGTGAAATACGATAGAATATTATAATTTCCGTCCATTAAATGTTTTTCTTTAAACATAAAAACTTGTCAAAACTGAATCCACATCCAACAATATGGATTGTCTTAAAACTAACCTACATCGCAGATCAAAACAAAAAGTACAACCAATTTTCTTGAAACACACAAAGGCTGAAAACTTATTTCAATAATTTATAATGATATTATTTTTATCATCAGGTGAATGTAATAGTAGACAATGACAAGTTAACATCTCTTTGACTAGTCTAATAAGAAGACAACCATTACCAGAATTATATATATATATATATATATATATATATATATATATATATATGCGTTCGACGCAAACGGTACTGAGCTCGAGGCTCGAAATAAACATCCAGCTGACGCGTCCCAGATACGACGAAATGTGTGTCCTTGATTCCACTGCTAGTTATCACCTATCTTTGCTTATAAAGGAATTGTTTTCAATTTTTAACACTTTTTACTAAGACTTTAAATAAAACGGTGGCAACGGCTCTTTGTTTTAACTCTTTATAGTTATACAAGATTAGTTTGCTGGAGCTCCAATAGGAAGTAGTGATATGTAAAGTCAAGTATGTTGAGAATGAGGGTTACCTATCGATAACACAGAATCAATATTGTATTATAATACATATTGATTTCATGTGTGGAACATTTGATTATAACATAATAGTCTCCATCTTATTATGATTGCCTCGAAGCCTAGAGGTCATTCATTCAATGTCACGTTCAGTCCTCAAAATGTATACTAATATGAGTCATAAAAAATAAAACCAATGTTGATCATTACTTAATTTTCAATAACTCTTCAGCTGAGAAAAACTACATTTAAAGGGAGTAGTTAAGTTTAGAAAATATTACCTAATTATCGATGTTCTATTTAGTTGGAATTATTATGAACAATGATGTATAGTATTGGTTACATTACATGTTAATTATATCCATTGTAGTGCCGCGATTCGTTAACCGTTTACTTCGATAACCGTTATAATTCTAAACTTAACGGTGCGTAAAATCAGAAGACAAAGGATAGCAGCAACTACAGTTTATTGTCGAATGACTCAGGTTCGAAAGCTAACAACACCTGAGCGAATATGAACGAGCGAGTGAACAGGCAAACAAGCGAAGGAAACGAACGAGGAGCAAGCGAGCGAGCGAGAGAGTAGCAAGCAATTACATAGGCAATTTATAGTCAAATTTAATAAGGGCACAGCAAAGCAAAACAAAGGCTGATAATAATATTTGCGTGCGTACATATATGGGGAGGAGTATGAGTCATCGAATGATATTTAAGCAGTCAACATTTCGGCTAGAGTGTCATGTGCTCTAATGGTATAACAGTTCAAAGAATATGCAAATTGTTACTATCCAAATGACAATGTCTGTTAAGTAAGTTATAAAAAGGGCTTAACCAAAATTGGTTATAATCGAAATTGATTGTAGGATGGTTGCTATATTACTCCCCCCTGCAAACAAAGATATATGAAAAAATGTCTGTGTTTGCATAATGTACAGTAAATTGAATAGCATAGTTACAATCAATCGTAGATATGGGCTTGTATAAAATTAGAATGAAGTTAGTGTGTATTTAGTTCGTGCCCGTCCGTTAGGCTATACAAAATAGCTGTAAGGAATAGAAGGGATATGGTATCGCTTCGAAAAAAAAACTACACGTATGAGCATAAGGGTGTACATAAGCTGTGCCAAGTTTAATAGCGTATAGCATGAATTTAATAATCCATATGTATACAATGAAGAGGAAGAATTATAATTAATAATCAAAGTAGCAGAAAATTATCAGTAAAAGATTGTAGCGACATAACGTTGCGGCCATCTTACTCTGCGACCAGATTTTGTCGTTATCGGAGTCTCCTCGTTTTGGTGCGTTGGCGTCGTTGACTCCTGAGATTCGTTTTTCGTCGGTGTGATCGTCTTCGAGAGGCTTGTGCTTGTCGATTGAAAATCGCTATCGATGAAAGCTGGCTTCACACGATCGATACTGATTACGTCTGTCTTCCCAGCTTTTTCTACCGTGACTGTCTTATCTGTCTTCGTAATCACTTTAAATGGACCTTCATAGTTCGGCTGCAGAGGTGGTTGTACGTTGTCTCTTCTGATAAATACGTGCGTGCTATTATGTAGTTGCTGAGGTACGAATACTCGACGTTGTTGTAGTCTGGGAAGTGCTATTTTTAAATCGCTCATGTGTTTCTTCAGGCGTTGGACGTAGTTGGCTACATCAGTCGGAACACTTTTACCTGAAGCGAAAAATCCTCCGGGTAAACGTAAAGTAGTTCCATATACCAACTCGGCTGGACAACATCCCATATCCTGTTTAATTATTGTTCTTAAACCTAACATGACTAAAGGAAGCTTATTAGCCCAATCGTTATTGACAATGACAGATGTAAGGGATGCTTTCAACTGCCTATGTAGGCGTTCAACCATTCCGTTTGCCATTGGATGGTAGGATGTCGTTCGTATACGTTTAATTCCGAGGAGTTCTGTAAGCTGCTGGAAGAGTCGACTTTCGAATTGAGCTCCTCTATCGGTCGTGATAATTGCCGGTATACCATAGTAAGAAATCCAATTTTCGATAAGGGCTTTGGCTACGGATTCGGCTGAGGTGTCTTTTATTGGTACCGCTACAGGCCATCGGGTAAATCTATCGATGCATGTAAAAATATAGTTGTACCCGTTCGAAACTGGCAGTGGTCCCACGATATCGATGTGTATATGTTCGAATCGAGTGTCTGGCTGTGAAAACGAACCCATTGGCGAACTAGTATGACGATGTACTTTGGCTTTTTGACATTTCATGCATGCTTGCGTCCAATTTCGTATATCGCGATTCATTTTCGTCCATACGAAACGCTCACTGATTAATTTCATCGTGGCTTTTATTCCCGGGTGCGATAGGTTATGGATACTTTCGAATACTTTCCGTCGCAATGGTTTAGGAATGAATGGGCGAGGTCGGCCAGTTGACATGTCACATATTACTTTCGCGTTGCCGAACTGAATATCTTCGAATAATAATGACGTCGTGTCATCGAATCTTAGCTTGTTTAGTTCGATGTCTATCTCTTGTAACTTCGCGAGACCGTGATAATCAATTCCATTTGTAATAATCGCATTTATCGTTGTTCTGGACAACGCATCTGCCACTTCGTTATTATTACCTTCAATATACTGTATGCTAGAAGTAAATTGGGAAATAAATTCTAATTGTCGAATTTCCCTCGGCGAATAGTTATCCTGCTTGGCGTTTAATGCTTTCGTGAGGGGTTTATGGTCTGTATACACTGTAAAAATGGTACCCTCTATCATGTGTCGGAAATGTTTGATTGCCAAGTAAATCGCTAATAGTTCTCTTCCGAACGTACTGTACCTCGTTTGTGTAGGGTTTAATCTCTTCGAGAAAAATGAAATCGGTTCCCATGTACCGTTTACTAACTGCTGCAGTACAGCTCCTACTGCTATGTTCGATGCGTCCGTCATGATGGCTAGTGGCGCTTCGCTCTTTCGTCGAACTAATATCATTTTCTCATGAAGTGCTCGCTTAGCGTTCTCAAAAGCCTGTATAGCCTCTGTCGATAGATGGAATGTTCGGGTATTTCCTCGCAAAGCGTCCGTTAATGGCTGTAGTATTGCTGCGCAGTTTGGAATAAATCGCCTATAATAGTTTATTAGTCCCAAGAATCGTCGTAACTTTTTTTGTGACTCGGGCAACGGATAATTACGAATAGCAGCAACTTCTGCTGGAACTGGCATGATACCTCGAGAATTTATCATATGACCTAGGAATTGCAATGATTTCTTTCCAAATTCACATTTCTCCACGTTAATAGTGACACCATGTTCTTGAAGTCTCGTGAATAACTGTCGTAGATGTTGTAGATGTTCTTCGACGGTAGCGCTAGCTACTAATATATCGTCGATATATGCGTATACTCCTGTCAAACCTCTAACAACCTGATCAATAAATCGCTGAAAGGTTTGAGCTGCATTAGTTAGTCCAAATGGCATTCGCAAAAACTCAAATAAACCAAATGGAGTGATTACAGCCGTTTTCGGTATGTCTTCTGGGGCCACTGGAATGTGGTAGTACGCCCGAACAAGATCAATTTTCGAAAAAATCGTAGCACCTTCCATTTCGGTAGTGATGTCGTGAATATGTGGCACTGGGTATCTATCTGCTATCGTTTGCTTGTTAAGGGCTCTATAATCTCCACATGGTCTAATTTCTCCATTCTTTTTGGGAACCATATGTAACGGAGATGCCCAGGGACTATTAGATGGCCTTATGATACCAAGTTTCATTAGTTTTTCGAATTCTCGTTTTGCAATGTTTAACCTTTTTGGGTCCAACCTTCGCGCTCTTACTCTAGTCGGTGGACCTTTCGTGACGATATGGTGCTGTACTGTATGTTTAAGATCTTTGTTGTCGTATGATGACCTCGTTAAGTCGGCGAACTTATTTAGAAGTGACTTATATTGCTCGTTCCTATCTTTCGACACTACTAAATTCATAGATACATGATCGGTGGTCACTCCTCTTATGACTACTGAGCGTTCTCCATTCACTAGTTGGTTTCGTCGAGAATCCACTAATAGGTCAAAATTCTTTAAGAAATCGATACCAATTATGGGTACGGAAACATCAGCGATTACAAATTCCCAGCGAAGTGAAATATTACGGCCGAAATTCAAGGTTAGTTTTCGCTTGCCATATGTCTTTATATCGGATCTATTCGCTGCTTTAAGAGTTAGCGCAGTATCGATATTTTGTTTTTCGTTGCTCAATGGAGGGACGACGCTTATCTCTGCTCCCGTGTCTACTAAAAACTGCGCGCCCGTTACTCTGTCCTGAACATAGAATAAACGATTGCTCGTGGGAGCTGCGTTGATTTTCGTAGTCGTTACTGAGAATCGTTGGGATCGTTTAAATTTGCATGGAGACCTGCATTTTCGAGCTCTGTACCCAAATGTTTGATGGTACCAGCATATAGCAGGATCTGGTAGTCCCTTAGAAAATGATCGGTTTCTATCTCTTGATCTGCTGCGCGACCAACTTCTTTTCCTGTCGTTGTGATTTAGACTCGTTAATTTGTGGCATAGCGCATTAATTTCCTTTTGCAAGGCCTCGATTCTTTCGTCAACTGTGAAGTTGTGTGTTTGTGAAGTCGCATTTCTCATTCTATCGTAAATCTTATCGGCTATTTTAGCGATATTGTCTATGTCTACATCGCTATCTCCAACAGCGAGGATCTGCTGTACGTTCGGTGGGAGTCGTCGCAACCATAAGTGGTAAAATATATTTTTATCCACATTTCTGTCTCCAATTACGTTGCTCATATACGTTTTTAACTGCGAAGGCGTTCTATCACCGATTTGAACTTCACTGAGCAACTGCTCGACAGCTTGCCGGTCGTTTAACGAGAGAGCTTTTATTACTGCCTGTTTCAATACATCGTACGGATTTACCGCATCCGGCTTAGTTAGGACCTCTCGTACCTTGACTGCTACTTCATCTGGAAGTAGTGAGCTTGCATAGCCGAACTTATGTTGCTGTAAAATAATACGATTGGCTACGAAGTAATTTTCAAGTCTAATAAACCAGAGTTGAGGATCATTAACATTAAAAGAGGGAATAGTAACATTAATAACTCCCACGGATGGTGACTGTGAAAGATCGATTGTTTCGTTATTTAAAGACATTACTAATAATAATAATAATAATAATAATAAATTAAATAGTATGCGAATATAACGTTATTGTCACTAAGAGAAATGAATCGATGAAAAAAATGATAATAACAAAAGGTACAATTTATAAAATGGAACAGACTTACTAAATTGCACCAATATATCAATTGTTCGTGAATAATCGTTATTTATTATGAATATTATCGTTAAGTTCAATAATGGGATAATGTACGTACGATTAAAATTGTGATATAATAAATCCACAATTATGATTATAATCCAGATAATAATTCGAATAGAAACAGAGTACGTTGAATTTTAGAAATGAAATTATCTCGTCGAAAATTGTTTTGTGTTCGCTCGTCGAGGCATCCAATTCTGTAGTGTCGTGTTCGTATGGCGAGGCAACCAATTATATTGCGTCGTGCTCGTTCAGCGAGATATCCAATTCTATTGCGTCGTGCTTGTTCGGCGAGGTATCCAATTCTATTGCGTCGTGCTTGTTCGGCGAGGTATCCAATTCTATTGCGTCGTGCTTGTTCGGCGAGGCCTCCAATTCTGTAGTGCCGCGATTCGTTAACCGTTTACTTCGATAACCGTTATAATTCTAAACTTAACGGTGCGTAAAATCAGAAGACAAAGGATAGCAGCAACTACAGTTTATTGTCGAATGACTCAGGTTCGAAAGCTAACAACACCTGAGCGAATATGAACGAGCGAGTGAACAGGCAAACAAGCGAAGGAAACGAACGAGGAGCAAGCGAGCGAGCGAGAGAGTAGCAAGCAATTACATAGGCAATTTATAGTCAAATTTAATAAGGGCACAGCAAAGCAAAACAAAGGCTGATAATAATATTTGCGTGCGTACATATATGGGGAGGAGTATGAGTCATCGAATGATATTTAAGCAGTCAACATTTCGGCTAGAGTGTCATGTGCTCTAATGGTATAACAGTTCAAAGAATATGCAAATTGTTACTATCCAAATGACAATGTCTGTTAAGTAAGTTATAAAAAGGGCTTAACCAAAATTGGCTATAATCGAAATTGATTGTAGGATGGTTGCTATACCATAAATAAAGTGACCATTAATATTTTTGTTTACATCTTCACCACTTTAACATAGTCTTCTTTGCGTGTGGTATGTCTTCATTTAATTATCAATCACTGAAAATGTACTCTTCTCCTAAGTTCGATTTGCGTAACACTGTTTATCACTTACACTTCCTTTTACTGATCAAAATGTGTTTCTTTTCTGTGTGATTATATCTTTACTAGTTATGTCAATTCACGTTTCAAAACAGATAACGTATTAAAGATCAAGTTCTCCGTGTTCTACCTAATTACTTCAGGGATGAAAACATTTTTAGTTTGAATTCTTCTAAGAAATGACTGACGAATAGATTATAAGATAAATTATCTGATTTCAATTTATTATTCCTTCCCTTTTAGCATTGAGGAAAGGGACCTATTTAACATTTCTAAGTCAAAGAAAAGAATGTGATTGGTACATAAGCTATAACCAGCAATACTCCCCAAGACATTAAATCCTTAATAATTCCAAACAACGGTTTAGCAGATGAATGGATCTTCACAATTCGTGGCAACATCCATATTCTTCCGATTGCATTCTGGCTTTCTCCAATCTAATTAGTCCTGTTTCAAAATCTTTAGTAACTTCCAGTTGTGTTTTATTGTTATTTGATCATTTGTTAAACAAACAAAATATTTACTTATTTTGTAAAAGCAAGATATAAAAGTTATTTAAATTCCATCAAAATTATTAAAAACTCACCCAACCACCACGTTTATACACCCAATCTGCATACCAACGTGTAAAAAAAGTAATTGTATAATCTTTGATTCGGCCTATATTTGCTCGACATTGACCAGTATCACGAATTATTGTTTCATATGTTGAATTCGATGGATATAAATTACTTTGAGGCAATTTACTTGATGAATAGTAAATATGACTGAGGATTTCAGAAAAAAACAAAGAAAGGAATTACTATAAAATAGATAAGTTTATATGGTAAGCCAACAAGAAGTAGCCTAATAAGAAAGTCAATTGATGGCAATCAGAAGTGACCTAAAGATAAAGTCCATGTTACTAGCTAAGAAATGAATCAATTTCCAAGGGGTTTAAGTGGTATACATATAAATGAGTGTTTGTGCACTTTATTCGGTAGCTCAATATACTTTCTTACTCACTCTTATGTTGAATGGCTAGAGCGTAGCACACCGTCTATTAGTATCAGATTCGGGACACCGCTCATCACAACACAAATATTCTTCAGTTTATTGTTATAAAAGTTGGTTTTTTCATAAATATAAATAAAAGTTTAAAATCTGTCACTGTTGATTTACTGGTGAACATGATTTCATTGTTCTTGATGAGAACATTGTGCATAGATGACATATAATCACTCTACTGTTTTCCTTCTGTGAAACAAATGAGTAATAGTTTAAATTCACGTTTTAATGACTCATCGTGTATTAAAACCACCAAGCAGTACATTAAATCAATCAATATTACTTTACATTGAAAATACAAGACATCTAGATGACAGTTATTTTCTCATAAACGTCTAGGGCATTAAAAGATGTATCACTCAGTAATCACGTTGCATGGTGAATTCAACCTCAACACATCAACTAAAATATCCTCATTGAATGATCACTCTTTATTGAAAATTACGAAGCGAAACAAAAACGACCAATCATTTTGTACGGCAATACTTTAGGCAGTAAATCCCTTATTTTTGATAGACAAGAAAAGTCATTATAGATATATTGTTCTTGATTGGCCGATAATTAACAACCAATAGCAATAGTGCATGCAAAGAGCGTGTCTATCACTAATTATTTTCAGAAAGGGGATTTTATGGAGATTGTAGTTATTTAATGGTTGAATTCGTGAGTCAATTATAGCTAGACCACAATAGAAAACCTGTTAGCACTGGACGGCCTTTTCGTCCTAATATGGGACTCCTCAGAAGTGTGTATACACAAAAAGCCGTAACTACTGGAGTTCAACCGTGTCTGTTGTGAGGCAGTGAGTCACTTAAGACAACAGTGGACGACAGCCCAACTTAGTGGATTGGTTGAATTTAGACATTAACGCCGTTGGATGATGGCTCACTGGTCTAGAGGTTAAATGTTTGCGCGCGAGACCGAAGGTCTTGCGTTCGGGTCCCACGAGCGAGATGATAGTCTGATACTCAATGTGACTGAACCCTAATGGTCATAGATTTTAACGGGGAAACTGGGAATTACATCTCATAATTCATCGCTTTTGAGTATATAATACTTATCAGTATGGGGGGTTCTAGAAATAGTTGAACTTTAAATTAAATTAAATGCCAGCCGAGTGTTCTAAATACTAAGCTCTCGCCACAGGACATGAAGGTCTAGAGTTTGATCCCCGGTAAGGTCATAGAAGAGCACTGCTATGTTGCCTCATGTTAGGAAGAATCAGCTGTTCAGTGCTTCCTGGTTTTCAAGGTCATTTAATGGTGAAAACGTTAATATCGTTTTACCCAAACACTGATTTGGTTGGTATCATTTTGCGTATTAGACACTTAAATAATGAATCCTATTGGTAAATATGATAACAACTACCCCTTTATATTCAATGTTTAGGCGTAATGAAAACTAAAATCAAACCTGGAATAAAGCACTTGTCAACAATCAAACTACGAACTGCTGTAAACATACCAGTCATAGAATGATCGCTTGCGACCACCTCCCCAAATCAAATGGATAAAAACTATACACCAAACACTTAATAGTCAAATTTATTTAATTTCTATGAAATGACCTACCTTCCTGATGATTGTAAATAACTTTCATCAATTTCCTCACTATCTGAATTGATATTTATCGATTGACGTAATATTGATGAACCTGAAGTTGACTCTTGTAATGTTTCCAACTTTTCTATATGTAAATTTAATATGTGTCTAACTGAACATCTAGTAAGATAATAAAGAATAGCGATCCTATGCCAATTCGGTTGCCGACCTAATAAATCAAGGATATCAGCCTCGAAATTCGGATAATTTGTATGATTTACAAGACGACTTAATAAATCCTCTGTTATAGTTAACTAAATTAAATGTCAAGATAGTAATAATAAATATAATAATAAGAGCCAATAACCATGAATAGAATATGGATTATTAACAATTGGATTAGAAAATATGCAATTCCTACAATTATTAATGAACAAATTTGAATTTCGCCATAAATAAATAAATTATCATACTCAATTTGATTCTTTGTAACTAATTGGTTTTAGAAAAGGTTAAACATCAACTCATCATGTCTGAATAATTAAATGAAACCGTTGAGAATACAATAAATAAAAGCTTATTCATGTATGAGATTGTTCACGAAACTAAAATTAAATGAGCTAACCAGTTTTCTGACATATACAACAGACTAATCTATTGAGGAGGAGGATGTGAGTTTGTCTACTGGCTAGCATTACAATTCTCTAAAAATTTCAGGTATCTATAGTAACGTCACCTATTCCATTAGATTACAAGAAGCGTATCTATGACTGTATAAAGAGTCATGATAGGAATTAGGTGTCTCTCGGTTAATTAGTATCTGCGACTATGCTGCCTTATATATATATATATATATATATATATATATATATATCTTGCCATTATTTTCTCATATCCTATTGTGGTGTGGGTTACTTATATCCACATAAGTAGTATATGATGATGGTCATGCATAGAATGTATTTCAGAAGAACATGGATAACGAAAGGATGTAAACGAAACGCAGTTGCTATGATAATGTATGAACAATGAAATCAGAGACGATAGACTGATGTTTGTAGAAGGAACTATCAAGATTGAGACAATTTATTGTTATTTTGAAAATTAACTGTTAACTGTATGTTGTAAGATTTTAGTGAGATATTCTGTAATTTTGTGCTTGAATACAATCGATTGTGCCCACTCGTCTTCCTGTTCACTACACTACCCTCAAAGATTGTTATCGCGACCACATTATTACGGCTTATTTTGCCGTTCATCGTGTTAAATGTATCTCATTGTGCTGATGAGGTGTGGCAACTTTGTGCCAGCATCTACGTTGACGATAATTGACTGACTAGAGAGAATATGAATACCAGTACCTCAGTCACATGAATATAAGAGTACAGAGCGCCTAAACTACTACATTACAAATTACAACCTATCAGTCTAAAGCACTAAGATTTATGAATGGGCAGTAAATAAACGCATGAAAGTTAACATGTATAAAGATCTGATAAACAATGATGGTTTGTAATAACACCTTACTTTGTTTCGAAGTTGTAATCGTTTCACCTGTTCTAAACAAGAATACTTCAAACTACGTTGGCTTGATTCTAATGATGACACATTTTGTAAGTCTGATGGTTTTGTCGTAACAAAAAAATCAGTTACAGAATGGCATCTTCTGTTCTTTAATTCTTTTCTTTCTGTTATTTTATTTAATATATTTTCATCTGATGATGAATTGCCTCGTGTTGTATTTTGTAAGGAATTCTGACAACGTAAATTCTCAGCTTCATTACCAACCGAGTAGAATCGTTCACGTTTAACAGATTGAGCAGTTTTGTGTTTAGCCGCTTTAGATGCTTCTGCTTCTAAAATCTGAAAACGTAATTCTAAATCATCTTCTGATATTTTACCCATAAGACGTTCAGACAAAGCATCAATCATATCAGCAACGTATTTAGCATATGGATAATGTGTATTGTCATTTGTTGATGAATGATTGGACTTTTCTACTACTAATACACTTTGAAGTTCGGAATTGTTTGAAGAATTCCTCACCGCACAGTCTTCGAGATTTTGTGTTACTTTATTTAACTGAAATTTCAAAAACATGTCAACAACATATGTCAAAAATAGAATAAGTTAAACTACTCTATTAATTATGTCAAGAGTTTGTCTTAGTTTTTTGACAGATAGGATAAAATAAACAAACCTAGTTTGAGGATTTATAGTAAGAGGAAGATTGGCAGTACATAAACAAGATTTATCAAGATCTATCTAGATGGACTTTGATAAAGTGAAAGAAAAAAAGCAAAGACAAGAGAAAAGTAAAACGTAAAGACAAATGATATTGGAACTTGATTGATGAATTTCTACGTTTCAGGTGCAAGTTAAAAATAACGTCAATTTTTCTAGTAAGAGCCGCAGCAAGTATGCTCAGATTCGATAACCAGTCTACATCGGCAGTCATTAACCTGTTTCATAGACTTTTTTCCTTCAAGCAATACTACATATCCTAGTAATATACACAATATATTCTTAATCCACTTCAGCAAGTACATCTAGCATTGGTCATATACTGTATTTTTTTTTAATCAAAAACGAGATCTGTCGTGTAAATGGATCAGCTATCGCATAAATATTTCTGTATCAGATCATATATGTTCAGTGATTACGTCTTGTAATCCGAAAGTAGAATGAACTGACTGATGAATTGTATACTCAATACTAAATCATATAATATATAAACTTTCGGTATTCGTGACTTCTTTCATATCGATAATGAAAGTGAAACTTCTGAATGCTAAATAATAATTAACTTTATATTAAATGATACGGCAGGAGCGTACATAGTCCTATCCCAAACGATTTAGAAACGACAGATGAAAATTAACCCGTACATTAAGTTAGTTTCATCTCTAATTCAGACAGTCACATTAAACAATTCTCAATCACACATTTCTCTACATTATAATGAAATATAAAAGTACGAGAAACTTCTAAACTTATAATATTAAAAGGACAGTGTTCCATACCGCTTACATCAAAACGATACTACAACAAACTTCGATACTACAAATCTGGGTATTTACGCCTATTGATTAAGTGGAACATATTTTTCAGCTAATTTGTTAATCACAATTTGAATTACATCAAACCAATTAAGTACTCAAATAAGACAGGAGAATAAAATCTATGATCAAATAGAATTCACAACACAGATAGTTAAAACCAGAGAATGCGTATTATTACTCCAATGTGACCTTCGACCCTGATTCATGACATTCGTTTCCTTTAAGTAAGTCCTTTGTGGAAATATAAAGGGTCCCCTGACAACATTTTTAAATTACGGGTTGCAAAATTTAAGTAACATAAATCAAGAGTACATAGATAAATTTACTTTACTGTAAATGTACTGAACATCTCACTACTTGTCGTTATTAATTTATTTGCTTACTTTTCACTAATTATCTGTCTATTCATGCGCTAAATAATAAACATCACAACTAAATGACTGATATCAATTAAATTGTTTCTATTCAATACAGTTGGTAAGGAGAGATTATTAGGTATTCAATACATATATGAATAATAATGACTATAAAGTTTTATAAGACTAGTTCAGTAAAAATGTAGAATATTTTCAATAGATAAGGAGAGCCAGATATTAGATACGATTGGCAAATATCTAAGTGTTCACAATTTAGTAATAAACAGACAACCATTCGTTATATATATATATATATATATATATATATATATATATATATATATATATATATATATAGCTTGTTAAGATATATAAAGTCATCGATTCAGTGAACTATTTATAGTTGGGACAGTAGGACTGAAGAAACATTTATGAAAACACCTGAAAAAAGCATTACTTACAAACAGTTCATTTTTTGTTGAAGATTTATTTGCTTGGTTCGTTTTAGAACCGATAGTAGTATTTTTCAGTGCTTCATCAGTAACTTCCCTACTTGACACTATTTCATCCGTAACTTTTGGATGATTAGTATTAGAATATCGCATTGCAGATAAATCATTCAATGGAAAGTTATATGTAGATTTATTTGATTTATCACATTGAATTCTAACTGAATTCCAATTGAAAGACTATTCAATAAACATAAAAATAAAAATTCAGTTTAGATTCTTCATAAAAAATCCGAAAATTACATTACATTTCCTGTGTATGAATTGATCATCGAAATTCGAACAAAGAAGCCACACTGGTTTTATAACTAAATTAATATTGGTTTAACACTTAACTGCAATTCAAGATAGTGTTTCAATTGCAGGTTATTTAAGCTGGTATTCATGAATCTCTAGATCAATAGAATCCGGTCAGCATTAAAGACCACACAAGTAAATTGATCCTATTATTGTTTGTAACTTAAGGTGACTTCATGATATTGCTAAGAATTTATGAATTTGTGGCAAACTACCAAAAGTATCAAATTTGAATTCGTGCTCAAAAAGGAACTAGTAAGCTCCCACTAGATTTTCCGCTTCTTGATACTTTCCCATAGTTTGTAGTGTAAATGAATGTCATGGATTAAAAGGATAAATAATACCTGGCTGTGAGTCAAACCTTTGATGTACGGACTAGTAATACTGTGATGCACGCTACTTATGTCGAAAGACATAAGTAGTTTGTAACACAGAAGTGGAGGGCCTGACAGCAGAAGGTTGCGAAGTTCTAGTTTAAAACGAGGATGCTAACAGAGCGTAATTATTAAGACAATGAAGGAAGAATGAAGTTTAAGACAATTGATGGAAGATTTGCAGATGAGGTATTTAATGTATGGTTTTCACACTTTACCAAATAGCTCTATAACTTTTTTAAAAAGCCATAAATTGTTTGCCCCACTTAACTTCGTTCACTACAATGCCACCTAACTAATTGAACTAAAGATTGATTGATAATCTAAGGTTTATTCTACATTTCTGTTCGACAGCACGATAATAACTAGGCAGTTAGAATTACACTATCTGCATAATAAAACTGCATTCCTTTAATCAGCGCGAAATGGAAATACTTGAAAAATAATGCAAGTTGAAAAAAATACACTTCGTACACATAGATCTCAGCAAGTATAAGAACCACATAAGTATGACAATACTATCAGCGCCAGTAAAAGTTTTCAACAGAGTGTTGCTGAACCGGATGAAAGACTCAGTAGACGTCCGACTTCGAGATCAACAGTCTGGATTCCGTAAGGATCGGCCGTGCTCAGACCAAATCGCGACACTACAGATTAATGTTGAGCAGTCAGTTGAATAAAATTCGTCACTACACATCAACTTCCTTGGCTATGAGAAAGCATGTGAGTATGGATAGTATAATCTTACAGAGCTTTCTCCGACACTATGGTATGGCTGAGAAAATCATCAACATCAAATGGAATTCATACGACGGACCACACTGCAAAGTGGTACATGAAGGATACATGACAAATACATTCCAGGTAAGGGCTGAAATCAGAGAAGGTTGCTTACTTTACCTCTTTCTCTTTTTTCTGGTGGTCGACTGGATTATTCAGACCTCCACGACTGAGGGGAAGCACGGAATAAAACCGATAGCTCATATGCAACCAGAATATTTGGACATTGCAGATGACCTAGCTCTTCTATCTCATACACACGAATAAATGCAGATGAAGGCAACCAGTGTAGCAGAAGCCTCAACTTACACAAAGGAAGAAGCAAGATCCTTAGATACAACACAGAGAACACCAACCAAATCACACTTGATAGAGGAGCTGTGGAAGAAGTAGAAACTTTTACATACCTGGACAGCATCATCAATTAACAAGGAGGATCTGATACAAATGTAAAGGCAAGGATTGGAAAAGCAAGGGTGTCATTCCTACAACTGAAGAACACATGGAACTGAAAACAACTGTCAGCCAACACCAAAGTCAGAATCTTTGATAAGGATGTCAAGAAAGTTCTACCGTACGGAGCTGAAACTTCCAGAACTACCACTACCATCAAAACTGTACAAGTAATTATAAGCAATTGTCCACACAAGGTAATCAACGTCCGTTGACCGGATACCATTAGCAACAGCCTACTGTAGGAGCAAACAAACCAGCTTCCAGATGAAGAGAAAATTAAGAAAAGAAGTTGCTGGTGGATAGGACATAGATTACGGAAGTCATCAAAATGCATCTTGAGGCAAATGCTATCTTGGAATCCTGAAGGGAAGAGGAAGACCAAGGAACACACTGCTCCGAGAATTGGAAGCATATATCGAAAGAATGAATATCAGTTGGAAACAACTGGAAATGATTGCCCATGACAGAGTTCGTTGGAGAATCCTGGTGGGCAGCCTATACTCCACGAAGGGTAACAGCCGTAAGTAGTAGAAGTTAATATATTTCACTTGGGTACGAGACAGATATTCAAAGCACTTTGGAATTTCTATTCTACATTCCAATAGCCATTAAAATTGAGTAACAAGTGCATCGGTCTTCACTGGAAGTACCCTGGAACGTTCAAACAAATCTATTATGTTGATCTTTCATATATCCACGTTCTTTTAAAAAATAATTCAACACAAAACACTAGTGATGACAAGTCACAGTTCGTCCAAAATATGACGATTTCTATAATAAGTGGGTTTATTCTATGCATGTATGGGTATCGCTTCAGATCGATTTTAAAAGCCATACCTAAGATGATTGGACAGAAAAACTTTAATTTTAGACTACATTTATACGATATAGAAATGCTATGACTCATAACACATGCACACGAGTGCAGTGTGGTGGTAAAAAATAGTAAATTCGTAAACAAAACAGGTCAGATGAATTTAAGAATAATGTCTATTTTTTGACGTTATTATTTAGACACACAGTTTGACTATTAGCTAAAGCGTACAATCAAGCAGCATATACAATAATAACAGCATATAAACACAACTGTGAGACAAATGGCTTGTAACAGGAAAGGTGACTATCTTTGAATAGTAAGCTCACAGTAAATTCGCTTAAAATAATTAATGAAAATAGAGTGGGTGGGATGATAGATATAGAGCTATACCTTAACATTCACAATGCCATATGACTGTACAAAATAACTGGATATGGTGTTTCATCTGCTCAGTAAGTAAATATATTAATACGATGTGCAAGGAGAAATAATTACACCAAAACCTCATTCTAACATCATTCTGTCTGGCGACATTATTAAATGTTCTCCTGAAAAGATGGTTATCTCTTATAACAATATTTTTTGCAAAAAAAAATCCCCACATTGAATTATGCAAACATACATTTCTAGAAATGGCTAGCATCACAAAAGCAATGAACTAATGAAACACTGAAAAAATAAGAACACAGTTGATTTAGGTGGAGTTTTGTTCTCTGATCTGGATGGTTTGGTCGTGATCTTTCATTGTTCCTCCGAACAATAACATCAGCACAAACTTCAGGTAGAAGTGGTGTATTTTAATTTCTCCACATATGATACAGCTTTCCTGTTGCCCTTGATCTCGATCAATTTTTGTTGTCCTATAACCTGTTGTCATCTACCTCTTTATTTTGATTGTATTTTCAATTGATTTTTGGTCCTATATTTGTCCACAACTTTCTGATTGGTTGATAAATTGGATCGATTTCAATGTGTTTGTTGATTACTGATTGACCTGAGGCCCAAGACTTTATCCAAGACCTCAACATTTTCCCAGTTGAATTTGTGTCCACAATTGTCCACATGCATTGATATAAGCGGAGATATGTCATGGCCCTTGACAGCTAATTAATGTTTATGCAGGCGAAGATGAAGAGGGCATCCAATTCGTCCAATGTAGTGTTTTTCGCATTTGGGACAGTTTATTTTGTAGATGTTCGGTTTTTCTCCTTGTGTCATTTCGTCTTTTGGTTTGCATGGGATTGATTCTAGTGACTTTTTGGTTTGTGTGCTACATTTATTCCAAAGAGCTTCAATAATCTGGTAATTTATGATACGCATTTTACATATCTTAGGATGATCCTTTTGTAGGTTTCTGCTGATGCGTTTGGTTGATACTTTCTGATGAAGTTGATTGGGTAGCCGTTCTTTTGAAAGATAGCTAGATATTTTTCTTCATTTTTCTGCCCCCAGAGCGTGCTGCAGTGTGTTTTCATGTTCTTGAATAAAGTTTGTACGCACATGATTTTGAGTTCATGGGTTGTTGCTACCATATTTGAGAATTTGATCTGTATGAGCCGGCTACCAATATACTTGAGTCCCTGATTTTCCTGTGTTGTCTTTGGTGATGATAGGTTGCTGTTCGGATCTTTTCCCATTGTGAATCTTATGTCATCGAAGACGTTTCTGATCAGATTTTAGGTGATTTCCAGCTCATCTCTGTCATTAATGACGAATATGTCACCCACATAACGGATCTATAGTTTTTGCTTAATCACCGGTGATATCGAGGCTTCCAGTCTCTGTATCACTGCTTCTGTAATAAGTCCTGATATTAGTGATCCCATTGGTGTTCTTCTCATTTGTTCATAGATTTTGTTGTTGATTTGAGAATATGTTGTTAAGCATTAATCGATGGGTTCTAGTGAACTCCGGCTTTGAAACTCCGTGTACTCTTGGAGATTCATGTCACTGGTGAGGAGCAGTTAGATTTTCCTTTGCTAAGCTTTTTTCAATTGAAGTGAATAAGGACTGTAACATCGAAAGACATCATCAGTTCGTTGTTGTTGGTCTGAACCTCCTCAATCTTTGGATATAAAATCTCCACGACACACAACTTTCATTTTTATCATGGTCAAAGATGTAATTTTCAAAATGATTTATTGCTCCTTTTTTGCAACGCTTTTTTCCATAGTTTCAAGTTGATTATAATCATAGTTATATATACATGTCCCTTGTTTGAATAAATTTTCAATATATCACCCCTGAAAGATTTGTCGATAGGATTCGACGGTTCTAAGACGAGAAAAGGTGAACGAAGTATATGGTGTATCCAAATCGACGCTAGTTGTCACTGAATATAGACAACCATATCAATATTTTATAATGAATCAATTAAAAATAAAGGATGGATTATTTATTGAAAGACAGATTAGGATACGAGATTACCAAGTTCAATTTTCAATGAGAGGAGTATAAATGTGAATGACGCTGTTAGAAAGAAAGACGATAAAATAAAAATGCTGCACATGGTTTGAAAATTCCAACTATCTGAGGTCTTTTCCATCCAAAAAATAAACAAGTTCATTTGGACACTTAGTTTCTTATCGGATGAGTAAATTCTGTTTAACCAACTGGTAACAGCAACGGTAGGATTAATGGTAGATTCATCTATATTCATACTAAAGATAAACAATAAAAGCAAATGGAATAAAAGTTTGGGAGGAAATAATTTTCGGAAAACTTACAGGTACATTATTGTTAGTTGAAGACTGAAGTTTTCTGTGAGTGTAATGACTCCATGTTTGTGAAGTAGATTCAATCAATTTATCACTTCCTATTGTCTCGATCAATCCACGATAAAGACAAGCAATTTCGCCAGCTACTTTTGAGGTAGGTGATCCGGTTGGCCATGTTTTGGAATTTTTTATTGGAGTATTAAACGAGTCATTTTCTGAAAATTCTTTATCCGACGAGTGACTTGATCTGTTCAATAAGTTATGCTCTTCTTGTTTAACTAATAAGTTCCCTTTATTTTCAAATAATCCAACATTTCCATAATGAGAGAATCTAGATGGACGCCGTTTGGTATATAATGGTATTAAGTGAAACTAGACAAGCGAGGTGAATGGATTAAATAGATATTTATTACAACGGTTAATAAAAGAAATCTAAAGCAATTCACTTTACATTGAGAAAAAGAACTATATCGGATACAATTAGTTTAGGGATGAATGGATACCTAAAACTGACTAATTAACTGAAAAGCTATATGTTCTGACTCAAATATAATTTACTGAATGCTTTGTTCATTTGTTAGAGAATATTTTTACACGAATAAACTGGATATATAAACGGGGCTGTCACTTATAAAACTTGTGAAAAGTTGAGAGGCATCCAATGGGAAGAGCATGTAAACAACAAAAGACGTCGGTAAAATTTACAAAGCTCCGATGTAGGGAAAAGAAACCTTACTGGTCCTGAGCCATTTCTATTGTATCATCAAATAGTACTGATGATTGGTCTTTGCAAATAACTAACGTTGGTTAAGTTGTTCTGTTTTGCTCTTGGCTCTTTTTTGTTTATTTTCTATGTAAACTGCTAAATGACCGAACGTTTTGAGGTTTTCTCAGTGAATGATCATATTCATGTCAAAAAAGATATTTATATGAATAAAGACATATTCAAAATACATTGATCATTACGTAACCTACTTTTGTTATTTTAAATTTCGGACCACTTTACGATGTTATCTCTTTTATCCAATCTATAGACTCACATTTATTAAACAACTACAAATACGAATGTACAGCTTATATATATGATTTCGTTGAAAAGATTTTCTTCACTGAATACTCTTTATTTTTATTCAGTGACACAATGGGTTAATTTAATTACCACAGTGTATCAACTATTCAGTACCAACAGATCTCTCAAAAAGCTTTATTAAACACTTGGTTCAGGAGAGATAAATAACGTTTCTTTATAGAGTGAAAAATTAGAATAATTAACTAACATACTGAATCTGACTTTCCAGAATATTAGTCACTGTTTAAATTACTTCCTTTATTCTTTATGCCTATGATAGTTAATTTATAGGTTGATAAGCCTTAGGTTTAATGTTACTTGATGAGATTATGAAGTATCTAATACTGGAATATCGTTTTTACGAGTGGAAAAACATTTTCCAAGTAGTGTTTACGCACCTGACTGTTGGATACTAGCTTCTAATCTCTACGATTTATTGTAAAAAACCAACTACATGTTAGTAACAACTAAGTAGATATCTAAAATATTTCAGATTCAATTTACATTTTTTTATCATCAGGCTATATATTTACAACATTAGTTTGTCAGATGATGCAATAAACTGGTTGTAATCAAGTGCTCATATTATTCAGTAAAGTAACTAAAACATTGTCAGTCATCAACAATATAGAACGTTGCACAAAATGTATATCAGCTCGAGTGGAGAGATGTTTTATATCAGCATTGAAAATAAAGCAAATCATCAAGATGGAAGGTTAAGATTCTGAAATAACGATATAAATGATAGTGGTGGGTTGAACAAAGAATTAATTTCCAATGCAACTAATGACGTTAAAGAATGAATTGCAATGTCACGTTCAAGGTTCAAAAGAAGAAAGAAATTAAGTACATCGTCTCCATTGTTGCTAGTTTCGAACCTCAGGTTTTAATCTAAAATTACAGTTACCTCAAACGACTGTAACCAAGAACCTTAACTTCGACCTGCATATTACTCTGCTCATGGTCTGATGATATGTTTTGGTCTATCTGTCACTAAATTTTATCCAACCTATTCCTATGTTATTTAACATTGTCCCTTGAGGTAGCTGGTGGTATGGTATGACATAAACTATGTTTCATCGTCTATCATTACTTCAAGATTACTCACCAAACAAACAATAAACATTAACATTTGAAAATGATGTATAGAATATCTAAGCATTTGAACAATAAGACCTAACGTCACAAAAGATGAAAAACCCTACCTTTTCCTCTTGTTCTTCTACAGAAGCTTGAGTAGAAAATTTATCCAACCTTCTAGCAGTGCGCTTTTTTCGCTTTATTCGACGAAACGTATTTGTGGATAGCCTTTGTATTCTAGGCAAGAAACCACTTGATAAATAATTAGACGAAGACTCATTCTGACGAAATAATCGTGGAAATAATTGAGCGCATAAATTGATAAGTGGTGGATGATGAAGCCTTTCATCTGATTTGTTTATCATGTTTGTACTCAATTTTCTGTTAGGTATTGGAGGAAAAAGGTTACCATCGACTCCATCAGAGCCATTATTTTCCCTTTTCCCTAGAATTGATACTTTTCCTTGTGAACTAGTTTCCATAAATACACTCTTCGATTCGAATATTTCCTCTTCAGCTGTAGATAATTTATTTCCAATGTGAGATTTCAAGTTAAGACTGCTTTTGGGAAGCCGGAATTTAAACCACTTTTTGGTAGCACTTCGTTTAGGTCTTATGCGCACACAGTGGCGTACGTCTTCAGGGGCAGACTTAACACTGAAACGTCGAGTATATTCATTGTGATGAGAGTCAACTTCAATTGCTGACCATTCCTCTATTTTAGGTATGGTGTGAATTTTTTGTGTACTTTCATTGCATACACTATGATAGCGCATGATCGTTGAAGATACAGAATCATCTTTCATTATAAATCTCTTAGACAATGAACTACCAGTCCCTGTATGAGGTATTTGAGCTGGTATTTCAAACACTGGTAGACTGACTGGTTCTACGCTACCTGAATTATATAGTGAATCAGATTGTCGAGATTTAGCACTAAGACCATCAACACTTTCGAAACGAGGGTAAAGTTCATTTATTTTGGATGTCTGCGCAAATGATCCATCCATCGACTGAAGAGGAATTTTATTGGGAATAATTTCACAGTTTGGTGAACAAGCTAAAAACAATGAGAATGTACAAAATCGGGCTTGAAACGTCGTGTCTTTATCATTTTAATAAACTAGATGAATTCTACTAGACCAAGTGACTAACATTTTAAGTTGACAGTCAGTCCTTTTCGGAATGTTTTAATTATTTTTTAATCAAAACAAGTCTTCAAAATCAATGTTATGGACATAAGATTACAGATTTTTACCACAGTAAATTCAAGTGGTACATTAGCATTTGTCTGATGAGGAATACAACTTATTTGATTTATGAAAAAAATAAACTTTATGCCTTTCATAATCAATAAAATGAATTACTTTGTTGATCAGGGACATTCTTTACGACTACATATTAATCCTGAAGAGTTCGGTGATATTTGAAACATTAAGTTCAATTGCTATCTCTTGCATAGGGATTCTTCTTTAAATAATGCGGAGCTTTAAAGTAAGCATACGTTTACTTATTACCGTATGAGTTGTTACCAAAATCAAACCTAGCAATCTATTCATAAAATAATTGTATGGTATATAAATTAACTATTTTAAACCTGACCCTCATTTTATCTAATGGCATTAGAGTTTTATAAAAATGAAACTTGGCGTTAATTACAACTTTAATAAAACTGAGTACTCTTCAAACAATTTTCTAATATTTTTGGAGCGACGGATATTGTATTACTTTATCTGTCTGTCTTATTACACTGCATTTAAGTAGATCTTTGAACTAAACTCAGTTATAAAAAAGGGGAAAATATAGAAAATTTATCGGCTAAATATTTTTTCGAGTTTTACTTTTTACGAGAATGGGAAGAGTCAATCTTACAGAACTTAGGTGAAGTTCAGCAAACTAATTAGTGACATGTTGATACGATAATAGTTCTTAACTTTTTTGATTACAAATTACAAATGTTATATAATGCGTGAATTTGGACTTCATCCTGTATGAAGTCGCCTTAAACAAAGACTTAACTAATAAACGTGGATATTAAAGAAAGTCTACAGTATACGTGGTACCAGATCGAATTCTGACAGTTACAATTAACTGGCAATGTTTTTGATTAGCACAAATCCATTGTGTATTTCTGACTGCTCTGTGGTCGCCCACCAACTATGCGGTTCTGCTGTTCCTAAGCTAATGCTTTCAAGTTTCGCACGAATTCTGATAGTACATATGGATTGGTAACAAAATATTCTGCAGGAAAAAATCCACTCACTGGGGAAAGCAACTCATGTCATGAAATCCAACTCTCAGTGATTGCCGAGTAAACTCAATAAAGCTTACTGTACAGTTATCAAGCTTGGAAACAAGCTTAAGGGTAGATAAAAATTTTTATGCATTGGTTTCATTTATATCAGCACTAACCAACAGACATTTCTGCAGCCTTAGCTTCAAAAAAGCATGAAAAACATGTCTAAAGCCTTTTATAGTGTTTCAAAAAAATATATAATGTTGGTCGTAGCTACTATCTTGATGTGACTGAATTTGTCTATCGTGAAGAGTAAGCTAAACCAAATTAACTTTAAAACCTAAATCCTGAAGTTCGGCCAAGTTGGGATGGTCGGTTGCAGCCAGTATAACGTATACGGGCAAACCTTTACTGCCTATCGTACTGGCTTGCAATATTAGCAATGTTTCACGCATTAATAACCAGCATATGCAAAGATGCTGCCATTCCGCAATGTAACGAAGGTTCAGAAAAGGCTGACAGTAGAAGCAGTATATTTTAACTTGCCTGTATGCGACCGAACTCAAGCAGTCATGTCTCAGACACAGTGCTTATGACCATAGATCATCAAGGCCATTATTAACTCAATTTCTTTCATAGGTACTCTAAAAAAGTATCTTTGCACGGTGTGAACAACAGGTAAGTGAAAACTGTTTACAGACATTCGATAAAACTTGAGCCCATATTGTTCACAACAAACATTAAATTCTTGAATGTACATAAAAAAGTGATAACTTGCTTATTGATAGCTTTATATAACTAAATGTATTTTCATTAAATATGAACCTACTATCTTTAAGATGTGTTGTCGTATCACTGGAATGTGAAGATTCGTTTGTGAATTCCTTTAAACGTTCACTCTCATCAAGAGACATATTCGATATCCGATTTACATAGACGGCACTCGCGCAAATCTGGCAAGTTGATTAATATATTAATATGTGTTTTCCTTACTGTTGTTTGATCAGCCTCCAAGATTTCATTTGTTTTCGTGTACTCTTTAAGGGGCAGTACGCCTATGTCGTCATGGTGGACATTTGGCCCTCCAGTTGTTAGATCATTAGGTATGTAAGGATTAAACACAAAAATACTATCAGATTTAATATTTTTTCGCCTTTTAAGAGACCCTATGTCTAGGTAAGCCTCTAACATCCTAATAGCTTCTTGTGTAACATGTAACGGAGTTTCCGGAGGATGCATGCTCAATTCAGACCTGAAGTAACAAAATTTTGACGGCGGTGTTTTAGAATCCATAATGATCCTTCCTATTTCCCATACAGATCTATAAAGAAATGACAAAAATAGCTAAAATTAGTAAAAATATTTCTACCCTTTATTAAATTTTGTTTGATCGAAAAATAGAATGTCACATCAAAAATTTACTACGAAAAATAAAAAGGGGGTAAACTAATAGGACATATGATTTATTTCTTAGTAATAATTTAGATTTAGTCAAACTTCTAAAACAAATCTATCAATATTTGGCTGAAACGGCCATTCTATAGCTTAATCGTCAGATCGGAAGATAAGTAAAAACCAGTAGATCCAATTCAAGAGAGGTGAAGCTGTTAACTGTTTTGTGGCTGAGGCCAGTAAAACGTTTTTCACACGGCCGTTGTTAGAGATAAGAGACCGTTACCAATTTATGGACTTTCGATCGTTGCAGTCAGGTTTACAGGAATCAGATCGAACATTATGAGACCAAAATACACTTATACAAACAATGTATGCGCCACCTATATTAAGCTACTATCTACTCCACTTTAAAGTTATTTGAAAGTCTATAAAACAGCCAACGGTGATGCAGTTTTTTTCAAGTTCCATCAGCAAAATATTTAAACAGCTAAGCGTGATCTAGGTAAACCTGTAGCAGTGATCAATACTATCAGTATGACAATCACTCCCTCTCACTGTCACCTAGACTTCCTCCTATAATTTCACCAACCCTTCCACACGAACTTAGTTTGGAATCGTGAAGGAAATCTTAATTATTAGGGCTTACAAAAAGGGTCTTACGGTTGCACGAATAGCAACCTTAGCTATGCCTCACATGTTATTTTGTTTTAAGCCTTTTTAAATCAAAGACCGAATTTCGTCACATGAATGGGAACGTCTGGACATGTAAGGACATTTGTGCACGCAGTTGACAACTGTGGTCCTTGATGATCACTTACTGAGGGCAGTTCGAACGACATAACTGATATTTTAAACATAATCAAGAGACTCCCATGTATTTATGATGCTTCTTACATCATGATTAGGCATGAAGAATAATTCAAGTTAGAAAACATCAAAGACAACATTTTGAATTGCTATAGGTCGAGCAGCTAGTTCTGACTATTTGATCCAGCTGTACCATATGAACGCACTCACTATGACTGTTGAAATGTCATTCAATAGGATCGACCTATTTTTCAAGATATAAAATTTTTAAAATTCACAAGACATCGAAATGCCCTGCCTTATAAAACTGAAGATCAAAAAGATAAATAAAATATGACTTCTCTGTACATTCACAAATTTTGAGCTTGGACTAATTTTTCTTGATTTAAAAAAAGCAAGAGATCATAAATATCGTCTAACATAATGTATGAAAAGATCTTAAATAAAAGACTGTCGTCCCAATAATTCTTTGTTTAAATTTATTGAACAGAAATCATAAATGTTAGAAAAGTGCGGTCTTAGATAATTTCCTTTAATTTCAGAAACCTTCCCGTAAAGGTAACGTTTAGAAAGAGTGTAGTCGGCAAGAAAGTCAATGAGAGAGCGATAACTGCTACCATCCTCAAAAATAGCGGCTCAAACTGTATTTGATGTCTGAACACGAAATCAGCTAGTGACAAAAAAAGTAAAAGAAAACTCTTACGAATTAGTAGTAAATGGTTACTGACATTTCATGAAGGAGAATCAGCAGAAGTAAACCATATTGATGATATTAGAAAATTCAAACCTTCCTCAGTGCCAATATTAAGGCAGAGATAAACTTCACGCTGTCAGGTAATCAAAGTACTTCGTTCTTGGTAATTAGGGAAATTATCGCAAACGTGGCTATGCTCTCACACCATTAAATCAAAACACTCATTGATATCGCATTAGATGTATCCAACTAGATTATCGGAGTGGTCTTATAGCAATGAGTAGACAATACTACGTAATCCTTGGCATTCTATTCAAGACGGCTAACAGACATTGAACAGAGGTATCTTTTTTTGTTAGGGAACTCCTGTTCATGTGTTGCGCTATGCGACATTTCGACACTCAGTGGAAGTCCGGAAACTCGTAGTCGTATTGGTCCTGACAACATAATCCTTAAAGCTGAACATGAGATAACTGGGAAAATAAACTTTCAAAGTATGATATCAAAAGACGGTCAATTTCGGTGAATACGAGAAGATTCCTCCAATTCAATTCAATACAGCCACGAATAAGACTTCGGGAAACTTCCAAGCCGGCACGCGTTAACGGCAACCGTAGCCGGCGAACATAGCCGTCTGTTTTACGTCACGGATGTGACAACGAAAGTTCGCTACCTCGTCGACGCAACATCTTCAATACGTTGCACAATCTTTCTCATCCAAGTGTTCGTGCATCCATAAAGCTTATGGCAGAACAGCTTTGCTGACCTGGTATGAATAAAAGCGTGAGGGGGTGGGTATACTGCTGTGTAAACTGCCAGAAATCTAGGGTGATTAAACGCAACAAATGTCCATTAGGCTCGTTCAAAGCTTCTGATGCTCGTTTCGACCATGTTCATCTGGATTTGGTAGGACCCTTACCCGATTCAAATGGATACTCTTATCTTTTAACCTGCGTAGACCGTTTCACACAATGGCCAGAAGCAGTACCTATCAAGGTCATTACTGCTGAAATAGTGGATCGCGCCTTCGTCGAACGATGGGTAGCAAATTTCGGCTGCTCTTCAATCATCACTGCAGACCACGGACGCCAGTTTGAATCTGAACTTTTCCATTGTCTGACCATACTACTAGGAATCACTCGCTTCGGAAATACCGCCTACCACCCACAAGCAAACGGGTTGGTAAAACGTTTTCATCGACAACTAAAAGCTTCTTTATCAGCTGCAAACGTTTCACAGTGGACAGACGCTCTTCCACTCGTCTTGCTAGGTATCCGCAATGCAGTGAAAGCTGACATTGGATACACGGCATCTCAACTCGTTTACGGAACGACACTCCGACTCCCAGGAGAATTCGTGGATCCTTCAGCTTCTTCATTGAACATGGATCTAAACTCTTACACGAGTAGGCTTACAAACGCTATGCGTTCAGTTAAACCTGCTCACACTCGACCTCAATCAACTGATGTTTTCATTCAACCCGAATTACGACATAGTACACACGTCTTCGTTCGTCGAGACTCACATCGACGACCCCTCGAATCAGCATACGAAAGACCCTTCAAAGTTCTTCAACGCAAACCTAAGTACTATGTAGTTGATAAGAACGGTACGAAAGATAGCATCAGTATCGATCGACTCAAAGCTGCGTATCTAGAAAGAAACCCTAGCTACGTCGATTTTCCTTCGGTATATTCGAACGACACGTCTCCCACACTCGTAGTACCCCACACGACAGTCGACACACACCTTGATATTTCGTCAAACAAACATAAGACAACACGTTCTGGAAGAAGAGTAAGATTTCCAGAACACTTAAACGACTATTGCCCGTAGGACACAAACTTAATCTCAAATTCCCATTGCATTACATATTATAGAAGAAAGAATTTTATAATATGCTCGCTTTTTCTATACATTTATTTTAAAAAAACAATTTTTTTCTAATCGCTTTTACGCTCTCGCAAGTGTATTAGTTTATATTTTTTTTTCTGCTCACCTTGTGTCCTTACGCAAGTACGTGTATTTCGACATGCACTAACACTTTCTTTTTTTTCTTTTCCAGGACGGCTGGAAAAGAACGACAAGGTTTCACAAGGAATCGAAATTTTCATTGTACTTTGTTTCCTTTTTACTATGTTTTACTACATGGTCCCTTGGTATAGGGAAAGACGACCAGACGCTGCTAAACATAGCAAGCTATCAGAAGAGTGTTTACCAACGACCAACTCGTTGAGTTTAAACTTCTGGCTGGCCAAGTTTTAGGGGTCATCACTGCCTCACTAGGGAGGGAGTGATCTGTAGCTGTAAATAATTCCCCAAAATCAATAGCTCATTAAATGTTCGACATTGGATGCTGACCACATTGTTGTAAGTGGACTTGTTTAACTGAAGGCTTTCGGTAATGCATCCGTACCAGATCACGTTACGAACCAGCGTGGGACACAGCTCCTACGTTCAGTAGCCAGATTAGAGCAAACGCTTCTCGATATATTGATAACGTATCAAATATATCTTTCCTACCTCTTCGCATCTGACTTCTGATTTCGATTGGTTGGGGAAAGCTTTCAATATAGAAAGTGTTACTGGTTTATTGTTATAAAACTAGAAAACTAGTCGTATCTTCAACATCTACAACTAGGGATTGTTCGATGGTGCCGAAACATTATCGACGCACCGTCTTCAACATGCCTCACAGGCTTCCCCAACCATCGAGCTAATCGCAGAACGATTTTGCTGGCCTGGTGTAAATGAAAGCGTGAAGGAGTGGGCACGCCTTTGAGCAAACTGTCGGGAGTCTAGGGTGATTGAACAAAACATATGCCACAAAACTCACAGCGCTCTTTTAGAACACTTTTATCTTGGTCTAGTAGGACTCTTACGAGATTCAAGTTGACACTGTTACCTCTTAACGTATGTAGACCGTTTAATATGATGGCTATCAGTAGTACCCATCAAGGAAATTACCATCATTACAGTGGCCTGTGCCTTAGCCAAACAATGTATAGCCAAATTTAGCTGCCCCTCGATTATACCTACATACAGTGGACGTCAGTCGGAATCTGGACTTTTTCGTTGTCTTACTACATTACTAGGATTCGAACGACCGCCTACCGCTCAGAAGCTAACGGGTCGGTAGAACAGTTTCATCGACCGTTAAAAGCTTCACTCTGAGCTGCAAACGTCTTACGGTGGATCGAAGCTCTTCTACACATTTTACTAGCTAGTTGCAATGCAGTGGAAGCTGAAGTTGGATAGGCTGCTGCACAACTCGTTTACGGAAAAACACTACTTCATCTTCAATGAATGTGGATCTAAACTCCTACACAAGCATGCTTACAAACGCTACGCGTTCAGTTAAACGGCTTTCCACTCCACTGAAGTCAACTGATGTTTTCGTCCAACCTACCTTACGACATAGTATAGACGTTTTTGTACGTCACGATTCAATATAAAAACCTTTGAAAATAGCATACAAAGGGCTCCTCACAATCCTTCATTGTGAGCCTAAATACTATATCATCAATAAAAATGGCTCTAAAGACGGTGTCAGAATTAACCGTCTTGAAGCCACACATTTAGAAGGAGACCCTAATTATGTTGATTTTCCCCTTGTACACTCGAGCAACACGAGCCTTACAATCGCAATACCCCACTCGATAGTCAACAACCATGAAGAAAATTCGCTTGTATCTGACAGCTGGCCCGGACTAGTGCTTTCTGGGAGAAGGGAAAGGTTTCCAGAACACATAAACGACTACAATTCGTAAGACACTTCATGAAATTTTGTTTTACTTCGTTTGTTCGTACAAAACCGAACATTTTTATATGCTTATATATGTGTGTATTTTTTCCGAAGAAAAATCCGATAAAATCATTGTTCAAAAATTGTTTTCACGCTGTTGTATTTTAAAGAAACCCATATGTCTCAATGTATTTTCCTCCTTTCTTCCGTTTTGTGTCCTCACGCACGTAAGAGTGTATTTCAACATTTACTTGCATATCCTCTTTTCTTTTTCAGAACTGCTAGAAAATATGAAAATCCAACGAAGATTACGATGACTAGAAACTGTCATTGTACTTTTTTCATTACTATATTGTACCACATGGTTCCCTGTATTACAGGAAGACGAACAGGTGCTGCTGAACATAGCAAGTTATTAGGAATCTTTACCAGTGACAAGCTCGTTGGGTTTGAATGTCTTGCTGACGACGTGATGGGGCCATCACTACCCCACTAGGAAAGAGTAAGCTGTAGCGGCAAACAGATCCCTAAAACCAATAGTTTTGCAAGTCTTCGACATTGATGCTGACCCGTTAGTTTTACTGGACCCACTCTAGCTGAAGACGCTCGATCACACATCCGCACTAGATCGTGAGTGGGCACGTTGTGCTATACGTCCCTTGCAACTATCATCCAGCTTAGACCAAACGCTTCCCGATATATCGATAGCCCTCTAGATATGTCTTTGAACCTCTTCATCTCCGACTGATGATTTGACTGTGTGATATACTTCGATTATAAAGGTATTACATGTAATGGTGTTGTCAAACTCCGAATACTTGTGGCATCTTAGGTTTCATTACACAAACGTGTCCAACACACTGTTCCTATATTCGCTCAAGTATTTTCTTATCGCGTTTTGCTGATTTGTTTCAAGCATAAACCCTTTTTGTAAGCTATCTATCATTTCTGTGAAAATGGGCCGGATGTGATACGTCAGGAACAAATTTTTACTGTTATATCATATCATTATTACTATTCGATCATAAGAACGGTACTCTCTAGTGAATTTATTCATTCATCACTTTGTATTTGTAGTTATTAAATGTAGTGTAGGCCTTTGACCTACAAGAGTATGAGGAGAGACCAATTACCACGCAACACCGGAATCTATGCGTGAACTGGACAAAAATTAGACGACGTAACAAATAAATATAGGGAGAGTATGGATAAAAAGTTAGGATAGGCGGAAAAATTTGCACGGAAGACTTGGAAGACGGGGATTATAAGGAGACTAAGGTGACCAGTGAATTCATATCCAATTTTAGACTTTTGTTCCCTCTAATTTCCGTGGACGTTGTCTTCGGACTGTTACCTTTTGCTAATGATAGAAGGCTTTGGAGTCAAAGCTGCGACCAGAGGGAGAGATAAACGATTAAGAGAATTTGATATGACTTCGAAGTTCGGTGGATAACAACCAGGTAACCTTCAATCCAGAGAAGCTTAAAATCTCCCACTGGCCGTACAAAAGGAACCACAAAAGTAGCATAAATAACTATTCGCTGGATTTGTCTTGGACGGTAAACCATTTAGCACTCTTGTTTCTTTACGATCCCAAACCATATGGTGACTGTGATGAAACTGCTTTTAGAAGCTACCTTATGCCTAAAACTCTTAAGTACATTTCAGTTATTTTAAATTATAAAGCTTTTCGTCTCACTTTTAAAATTTATTTGCTATACTTGACATACGGGAAAACAATGTTTTCTTCTTCACTCTAAAGGAATAACTTGGAGCACATCCCGAGGATGACTACAAAATGAATTCGTGGTTTAAAGTGGTTCCAATCTTTGAAAATACAAGATCTACATCGTTGACAACTTATGAATCTCAGAGGCAGTTTTGTGTTGACCTACACCATCATAAGCATTCAAGAGTATCCTCTGAGGCACTAAAGCCCAGTCTTGATACAAACCGCATTGGAGGAACTAGGGAATTTCATGTATCATTTAGTAGATTAGATTATGGGCATTTTCTTCTGTTCTCCAGAAGCAGTAGAGTCTTTAGATCATTTGAAGTAACATTAAGTTCAAAAAACCTTATTAGACTTCTTCAAACGAAGAAGGAAGACGAAACAACATAGGCTATTCTAAATATTCTCCATATGTGTTAAATAATGTCAAATTAAAGTTTTTTTCGTTTCTGCCGTCTCCATATACCTTGGTTTCCACTTTGACTCGCCTACGACCCACTGCACCCGGGCTCAAGTTCGTCAATTGAAAGTTTCCCTATTCCACCCTCAATCATCCGACCCATTCGTACGTTTATTTGATATGCTGCGCTACACAAAGTAGTCTGTTGTTCAGTAGATTGCGAATCCCATAGAAGTTGACGTTCTCCTGGTTTATATTCTTTTGAACAAGTAATTAATAAACATGACTACAACTATAAATAAATTATCCAGCCTACTAAAAGGTTTCGATACGTATTTATTTGTATATGCTTGCCAAATAAATAAGTATTCCTATTCTGATGCCTTATAAGACAAATTGTCTGAGTCTCTAGAGCTCTATATTTGTTCCCGCTCGGGATATTGCTGAAAGACAAGACTTGGAGCTGACTTCCGTTCATCTCAGATACTAGTGGATAATGGACACCGGTATTGTAAAAAGAAATTGTTAAATATCTCTCTCATCTGTCGCCAAATCGTTTTATGTTCAACGTCTTCACATTTTACAGAGTGGCTAATAGGTTATAAAGGAGTCAAGTTCAGAATATTTGCTCCAGATATTATATATATATATATATATATATATATATATATATAAACCATTTAACGTTAAACAATACGCTTTTTGTTTTCAATAATTTTTTTTGAACATATACGATATTTTACGTACATTACACTTTTCGTGTGCTGTGTTGTGGGAATGAAGGTGAACACAGATGTTTGCAGTAATGACAAAGGTGTTTTAAGAGTGGATGCAAATCGGCGTACATTTAGGCGAAAAATAGACAATTCGGCGGATATTTAGGAGTTTAAAGAGCTTTGTTTCAAAAGAAGTTAGGATTTCATGTCTTGTTTTCACATCATATTTGAACTACGAGATGTTACAGAAATTCCCTCCTTTTCAATCCCTAATATATTCAGCTCTGATTGGAGGTATGTAACATGCTTATGTGTTATCGAAAATTACTGAATTCCTCGCAAATCTAATCGCTAGCATAAATTTGATTGGTTCAGTAGTATATTAGTTTTACTACTAACTTATTTTTCACCATGTATGCAGCTAAGATATGTACCTTTGTAAAGTCTAAAGCACAATGTTTGGTGCTATCTAAGTTTCGGCTTCGTATGACTTCAAACGTCAAAGTCTACTACTGATAGATTTTCTTCTAGTTTTGTAATACATTTGTTTTCTCAAACGTTTTAGCTGTTGTTATAACTCAAATGACACTGCAATTGACGTGCAGAATACCAAGATTTTGTGGCACCACGCGACACATCTCATTTTCTCCAGTTTTATTCAAACAACCGTTTCATGACAGACTACGATCTAAAAGGGCCAACCCACCACCACACCATTCACTCCCTTTTTATGATGAAGCACCAACTGATAGCTTCCCGAGTAAACAAGTGGATATTGTTGGTCAATGGGGTTCTACCGACAGTAGTATAAAGAAATTAAGGTAATTACTCGTGTGTTTGTATTATACAAATATATACATGATATAAAAAATAACATACTGATCGGTGACGAATGAATTATTTTATGTTCAGCTGAGTTTTTATCGTTTTTCAACAATGTCCATATTTCTAGCTAGTAGATTCCTCAAGAAAACATTTGGAAGTTCATATTCAATTGTTATCTTAATTAAACAGTTTCTTGACTCGAGTAGTCATTACAGATGCTGTACGGGAAAGTTTAGGTTCGGGAGAGATGCTGTTGTACTCCAGTCATAAAATGTAATTATATTTAGTGGTAAATTTTTGTAATGTCTACAGTACAAATTTTTCCATTCAGAGCTATAAGGCTCTGTGTATGATTTCTTTTTAATTTTATAACGGATTAGAGTTCAAATTAAACTTAAGTGGTATATCCGATACTCAGTACCTTGTCAATTTTCAGGCCATTCTATGTAGTATTTCTGAACGTCAAATCACTGGTTTACTGTGCATTTAAATTATTATACTATAGTTACAGTATTAATTATAAGACTGGATTCACATTAACTTCCAAAATCTTATTTTAAATCACTTATAGGTTTCGTCATGGTGAATTCCTAAAAACTATACCAACGTCATTTGAAAAACTCCATGAGTTGTATCATCTTGAGGATAACATGTGGTTTCATTCCATTGATATTCCTTTACAACATTCTGAAATGTTAGAATTTTCTCAATTTGTTACACGTACAAAACTCATCCCATGGATACCAGAGTCATACGACAGCAACCCAATTTTGTCGAGTTATTTAAAGTATCTTTTTTCTGAAGAGTTACATTCGGTCAACAGTAAGCCTGTTAATATCCATGATCAAAGTGTTAATGGACTTAATGTACGCGCAGATTATCGGCGCAAAAAAATATCAATGATTATGGAAACCGTATATCGGTCATTTTTATCTGCTGGGACAGAATCACTAGTTAATGAGTTATCCACACAAATTGATGAACGTGGTACCATAGAAATGTTTTTAAAACGACTAGTCGATCATAAAGTATTCGAAAACGAGGATGTCAATGAAGATGTTTATGAACCCGTAAACGAGACAATTGTTGACGTCGAGCGTTGTGTACATTATCGTATTCGGTCTGAGTTAGCTTGGCAGTTACGGGGACCATTTCCTTTAAAGCCTGTAAGTTAGCATGCTTTCACAAGAAAGTGTATTTTGCATACACTGTAAATAATAAATCTAAGTATTTATATACCTAGGAAGTTCGTGGTAAATAATACAGTAATAATTAACATCTCGAATACAAGCCGACAATGGGCTCGTTATAAAAATACTGTGCACCAACTGTGTGATATATATATATATATATATATATATATATATATATATATATATATTGTGTATACTGATTCGCTCAGAGAATCACTTTCAAAGTCTCATGTCCCCACTTATTTTCCCCATTCTAACAGAAACTGACATATGTAAACGAGCTATAAATATAGATCAGTCAGTCAACTACAACGTAGGACCAGGCACATTTATGCATCGGTCCAAGTTGCCATACCTCGTTAGCACAACAAGATGAACACCGGGTTCATAGAAGTAATTAATTTAGTGGTGGTAGTAGTATACAAATTATAGGTTGTATATAAGGATATAGTACAGGAAGGAAGAGAGATATGAAGCAATTTTAGTCTCAAGGTTTAAAGGAAGATAAAGAGTGTATACACCTACGCCATTGTGATCGATTCTGAGCCATGTCACCTAGAGTCTCCAACCATTGGTTACGATAGTCACGCGGACCCCAACCAGGTAGTCTGCATCTACCAACATGGCTCAGACTAGAAGTTAGTGACTTCAAACACTGATGCCATGTTTTGCTTTGGCCGCCCCTAACTCTCTTCCAACAATCCCCTACACTAGTCATCATAGCGCGTCGTGGTAATCGGTGTTCAGGCATACGTAACACATGGCCCAACCATCTCAGTCGATGAAGATTCATCACCTCATCAACTGATTTACCATCGTTCCCTAATACCCTGCGTCTAACCTCACTATTACTTACCCGGTGATCCCAGCAGATGCGAGCAATATTTCTAAGGCATCTGTGGTCAAATACTAGTAACCTACGAGTATCTTCTACTCTTAATGGCCATGTTTCACAACCGTAAAGTAGAACAGAGCGAACTGATGCGCAGTATACTCGTCCTTTAATTGATAGACGGATATCTCGTCTTCGCCATAGGTGACGTAAGTTGGCAAAAGCCAAACGAGCTTTTGAATCCGTGCTGAGATTTCGTCAGACACCAACCCATTAGGGCTGATCAGACTTCCAAGATAAGTGAAGTTGTCAACGCGTTCGACTACTTCACTCCCTATCCTTAGTTCAGGTGTTGATGCAGGCCAGTCCTGGAGTAACAATTTACATTTGGATGGGGAGAATCGCATCCCAAACATCCTGGCATTATTACGGAGTTCCAACAGAAGACTCTGCATTTTGCCAGCGTCTTCACCAAACAGGACTATGTCATCTGCGTATTCTAAGTCGCTTAGTGGTCCCCCCGGTAGGATATCAATTCCTGTAAATTCAGTCGAAGAGAGTGTTATTTCCAGCAACAGGTCTATAATGAAGTTAAACAAAAATGGGGATAGTGGACAGCCTTGACGGACACCACTTGAGGTTGTAAAATCATATGACAGTTCGCCATAAGCTCTCACTCGACTGGTAGTGTTCGAGTAAAGAGCCTTCACAAGGTTTATGTACTTCTCAGGTACACCTTTCAATGACAGACACTGCCACAGAACCTCTCGGTCTACAGAGTCAAATGCTGCTTTCAAGTCAAGAAAAACTATCATTGTCGGACGCCGATAAGCGTGTCTGTGCTCTAAAACTTGACGAATGGTGAATATGTGGTCGATACAGCCACGACCAGGTCTGAAGCCAGCCTGATTTTCTCGTGTTTGCAGTTCACGAGTCTTAGTTAGGCGCCCGATAATTATTGAGGCTAGTATTTTAGATGCTATGTTGGTCAGACTAATCCTTCTATGGTTATCGCAGGATGATTTTGACCCCTTTTTATATATTGGGACAATCAGTGATTGTGACCAGTCGGATGGGATTACATCCGTCTCCCAGATTTTAGCCAGAATATTAGTCAACCTAATCGCTAAAATCGGACCACCATATTTTAAGACCTCTGGAGCCAATCCGTCTGGACCAGCTGCTCTTCCTCGTTTCAGATTACCTATAGCCTTTTGAACTTCAAGTAGGGTCGGGGGGCCTACTTCAATGTTCCATTCAGGTTTTCTAGGGATAGTGGGTAGTTGTGCAGTAGCTGAAGTCCAGCTAAACTGCTCCTTAAAGTGTTCCGCCCATCGTTCTAAACGTTTGGGTTGAGAGCAGATAAGGGTTCCGTCTTTTTCGGAGATTGTCTCACGTACACTTGGCTTCTTAATTCCGGTTTCTTTTATTAGTCTGAATAGTTGCCTGGTGTTCCCTACAGCCGCTGCCTTTTCCATCTCTTTTGCTTTCGTTGCCCACCACTGCTCACGATCGTTCCTTAGACTTTTAGTTAACCTAGATCTAATTTCTCTACGCTCTTCGTCATGTTCAGAGCCTGATGGGATGAGTTTACGCGAATCCATCAGTGAAATAGACTTAGAAGAAATCCATTGGTTTTTTGGAGCCCTATGGTTTAAATGACTAATAGATGTAACTGCTGTTTCCACAGCTGTTCGTATGTCTTTCCAAGCAGCATCTGTGTCAGTCTTGTTTACAGAACTGCCTAGATGTGAACTCAGAAGTGTACTGTAAATTGGGTAAAGACACTATTCAACTATTTCTCGCTTAAAATGCTTGATGCAGTTTAGTTGCATAAAACTATTGAATTTTTACGTTTTTAACTAACGGTAATGCAAGAATAGATTTATGTGCATAAATTATCGTATTCTTGCATAGGTCCAAAACTATTCCTATCTCGGCCTATACTGTTGGGCATGATCAGCCGTTATTTTATTTGACGAATTATCCAATATATATATATATATATATATATATTACAATATAGGATTCAACTTATTAACTTCATAGTGACTTGTATACTTATGGCCATTTATTGTGTGATGGCTAATCAGTTAGGTTATGCATGAATTCATGACTGTCAAAATTTAGTCTTTTGATCCCCATTTGTGCTATGTAGTAGGACGAATAATGAGAAAATATATTATATAATTACGGGTGATCTTAGAGCACTTATTATTTTTAGTTATAATAATTTGGTGTTTTAGGATACTTTTGTGTAATGGGATAACTAATTTTTATTACCAGGGAATGATTTTTCGGATGAACTGGTAACTTACAGCTTCATCTCTGATTATAACAAGTATTTGTGGAATGCGTTATTTCATTTCATTTGTGTTTATGTTGATGAAGATTTTCACATTTTTAAATCGTATAACACAGATTTTCACACAATTCAGTCATTTCCGTTTTTTTTTTAAACAATTAGCATTTTAATTTAGACGATCCAATTTGCTTTCTGGAAAACCCTATTGTATGCAATTATCGCCCAGAAGCATTTGATTTACAACTTGTCGAGTGTTATAATTTCAATTGTTTACCATTTGCAAGAACGATCGATTTTTCCGAATTCGCTCGATCAATTGCAGGTGATTCGTGACAACAGCTACTATTTTTATTGTCACTTCTCTAATTATGATTAAGACTTTGGTGTTTCATATTTTAATCTCTTCATTTTAAACTGTCATTAAAGTGGACTTTTAATATTGATTATCGTAAGGAGTTATAAGGACTGTTGAATTTCATAGTCTACATCACAAACTGACCATTGAGAACCTGAAAGCAGTGGACAGCTATTTTATCCCACTATGAGACGAAGCAACGCACATCTATGATTACCCCGGGAATCGAACCCAAAACTTTCAGGACTGACCTCGAGCGCTTATACTACTGGGTTGATATTCACTGGTTTATATTTTTAATTTCAAGCAATCTGTCATATTGGGCAACAATCCTTCAATCCCAATGTTAAATAACTGCCTTACACTTAACATGGTCGAACTTTACTGGTCACATTCCACAAACTGGTTGAACTGTAGTGCATTGCATGCTGATGGCTGAACTCTATTTTCCATAGAATTGGCTTGATCATATAAATTAGTTATGACATCTAATAATCAAGTTGAGATGGTATAGAAGATTTGTAGCTCAGGTGGATGATTGTGGTGGAATTTCGTTCTCTGAGCTGGATGGTAGGAATCACGTTGATTGTCTTTGGGATTTTTGTTCGCATAACTAATTGTATCTAATCATTTCTAATTTGTGTTTTGAAAAATACAGGCTATTGGGCTCGTACACCATTCTGGGAAGGAGATCCTTGTGAATTTGGTTTACTTGGAGTTCTTGATTTAAATCGTTCTGAATGTGTACGAAATGAAATTAGTTGTTCTCATCTTCCAGATAGTGTAAAAAATGATATTTTAATACGACATGGAATTGCTGAGGGTATTCTTACAGCATTTGCATGGGCTTCAGCCCAAGCTTACAATCAAGGTTAGCGTAAACAATTACTCACGGTTTTTTCATTTCAATTTCGTTTACTTATTAACCTAATCAAAATGTAGGCAAAATAGTTTTTAAAAGTGTTGATCATTAACTGTTGAATCTTAGCTGTTTGATTCCCGACCGTTGCTGCTACCTTGACGTGGTGGTCGGGCTTACCTATCGTGATGAACCAATCGAGCTATACTGGCTGGAACAATCGTTCCTCAAGGTCCTACCATGCCAGACAGGTCGGTTGAAGAGCGGTGAGACTAAAAGCAGCAAACCCAAGGTCCGAAGGCGAAGTCGTACTGTCGACTGTACAGAGGTGTGACGGCAGTAAGGTGTTTCCTTCAGACAACCAGCATGACAGCGATGCTGCCTTCCCACGAGGAGGGGTGGGGTTAGAAAAGGTCGGCCCTGAAAATGCACACCTCGCCTTATCCCACGGATATCCGTCTCCGGCGGTAAGGTCCTTTGAAGAACGGAGCTAACACAAAAACTACCCACAAAAAGGTCGTGTGTGACCGACCTCAAGCAGTTGTCCCTTAGGCACTGCGGTCACGCTCTCAGGTCATTAAGACCACTTCTAACCCAATTTCCTTTTCAGGTACCCCCAGAAGAACCCTTCCACGGTGTGGGCAACCGGGAAGTGATAACTGCCCTCATACCTCTAACAGCACTCAATACCACCGTATTCATAATCAATCTCCTTCAATTCCTACTATTCCTTCTACCTTGACTTTCAACACTAAACTTCCTGTTCCGGTTTCCTCCTCAAGTGTCACCATGGCCAACGATTCTAGTGCGCGAAACGCTGTCCCAGGTCTACTTAAACCTCGCTCCAAACTACACATTGGAGCCTTCAACGTACGTACCCTATGCCAAATCAGTCAACAGGCCTCCTTAGCTAAAACCCTAGAATCTCGTACCATTGATGTATTCTGTGTCTCCGAAACACGCATGCAGCATCCCAGTGTGGTCATTCACTTGACCTCACCTCGCCAAAATGGACAGCCAACGAAATACACCCTCCGTATATCTGGCGACCCGTTGGCTAGTTCTCGCGGACTTGCAGGTGTAGGCATAGCACTAAGTACAAGGGCAGAACAGGCACTATTAGAATGGATTCCCGTTAACAGTCGCCTGTGTGCTGTCCGGCTGAATGGCTCCGTAAGAACTCGGAAGGTTAGGGACACACGTCGTTGCCTTTTCGTCGTTTCTGCCTACTCTCCCACCGACTGCAGCCATGATGAAGTGAAAGATGACTTTTACAGAAAGCTCTCTGAGCTTCTTCAGAAAGCTAAGCGCTCAGACATAGTAGTCGTAGCGGGTGACTTTAATGCCCAGGTAGGCAGCTTGAATCAAACAGAAAGACATTTAGGTGGGTGTTTTAGTATTCCGGCTCAACGAATCGATAATGGTGATCGTCTGTTGCAACTATGCTCAGACAATCGTTTATTTTTAGCAAGCACTAATTTTAAACATAAGGAGAGACATCGTCTAACATGGCGACCACCTGCACCAAACCAACGATGGACTCAAATAGACCATATTGTCATCAGTCATCGTTGGAGAGGCTCAATAGAAGATTGTCGCTCGTATTGGAATACTTGTTTAGACTCTGATTACGCTTTAATACGAGCGCGCATTTGTCTGCGCCTCAATGGACGCAGGAAAAGTACACTAAGAAGACCCATTAGGATTGAACTGGAGGACGAGAAAGCCAAATGCGAATTCCAGAAACAACTGAGTTCACATCTAGGCAGTTCTGTAAACAAGACTGACACAGATGCTGTTTGGAAAGACATACGAACAGCTGTGGAAACAGCAGTTACATCTATTAGTCATTTAAACCATAGGGCTCCAAAAAACCAATGGATTTCTTCTAAGTCTATTTCACTGATGGATTCGCGTAAACTCATCCCATCAGGCTCTGAACATGACGAAGAGCGTAGAGAAATTAGATCTAGGTTAACTAAAAGTCTAAGGAACGATCGTGAGCAGTGGTGGGCAACGAAAGCAAAAGAGATGGAAAAGGCAGCGGCTGTAGGGAACACCAGGCAACTATTCAGACTAATAAAAGAAACCGGAATTAAGAAGCCAAGTGTACGTGAGACAATCTCCGAAAAAGACGGAACCCTTATCTGCTCTCAACCCAAACGTTTAGAACGATGGGCGGAACACTTTAAGGAGCAGTTTAGCTGGACTTCAGCTACTGCACAACTACCCACTATCCCTAGAAAACCTGAATGGAACATTGAAGTAGGCCCCCCGACCCTACTTGAAGTTCAAAAGGCTATAGGTAATCTGAAACGAGGAAGAGCAGCTGGTCCAGACGGATTGGCTCCAGAGGTCTTAAAATATGGTGGTCCGATTTTAGCGATTAGGTTGACTAATATTCTGGCTAAAATCTGGGAGACGGATGTAATCCCATCCGACTGGTCACAATCACTGATTGTCCCAATATATAAAAAGGGGTCAAAATCATCCTGCGATAACCATAGAAGGATTAGTCTGACCAACATAGCATCTAAAATACTAGCCTCAATAATTATCGGGCGCCTAACTAAGACTCGTGAACTGCAAACACGAGAAAATCAGGCTGGCTTCAGACCTGGTCGTGGCTGTATCGACCACATATTCACCATTCGTCAAGTTTTAGAGCACAGACACGCTTATCGGCGTCCGACAATGATAGTTTTTCTTGACTTGAAAGCAGCATTTGACTCTGTAGACCGAGAGGTTCTGTGGCAGTGTCTGTCATTGAAAGGTGTACCTGAGAAGTACATAAACCTTGTGAAGGCTCTTTACTCGAACACTACCAGTCGAGTGAGAGCTTATGGCGAACTGTCATATGATTTTACAACCTCAAGTGGTGTCCGTCAAGGCTGTCCACTATCCCCATTTTTGTTTAACTTCATTATAGACCTGTTGCTGGAAATAACACTCTCTTCGACTGAATTTACAGGAATTGATATCCTACCGGGGGGACCACTAAGCGACTTAGAATACGCAGATGACATAGTCCTGTTTGGTGAAGACGCTGGCAAAATGCAGAGTCTTCTGTTGGAACTCCGTAATAATGCCAGGATGTTTGGGATGCGATTCTCCCCATCCAAATGTAAATTGTTACTCCAGGACTGGCCTGCATCAACACCTGAACTAAGGATAGGGAGTGAAGTAGTCGAACGCGTTGACAACTTCACTTATCTTGGAAGTCTGATCAGCCCTAATGGGTTGGTGTCTGACGAAATCTCAGCACGGATTCAAAAGCTCGTTTGGCTTTTGCCAACTTACGTCACCTATGGCGAAGACGAGATATCCGTCTATCAATTAAAGGACGAGTATACTGCGCATCAGTTCGCTCTGTTCTACTTTACGGTTGTGAAACATGGCCATTAAGAGTAGAAGATACTCGTAGGTTACTAGTATTTGACCACAGATGCCTTAGAAATATTGCTCGCATCTGCTGGGATCACCGGGTAAGTAATAGTGAGGTTAGACGCAGGGTATTAGGGAACGATGGTAAATCAGTTGATGAGGTGATGAATCTTCATCGACTGAGATGGTTGGGCCATGTGTTACGTATGCCTGAACACCGATTACCACGACGCGCTATGATGACTAGTGTAGGGGATTGTTGGAAGAGAGTTAGGGGCGGCCAAAGCAAAACATGGCATCAGTGTTTGAAGTCACTAACTTCTAGTCTGAGCCATGTTGGTAGATGCAGACTACCTGGTTGGGGTCCGCGTGACTATCGTAACCAATGGTTGGAGACTCTAGGTGACATGGCTGAGAATCGATCACAATGGCGTAGGTGTATACACTCTTTATCTTCCTTTAAACCTTGAGACTAAAATTGCTTCATATCTCTCTTCCTTCCTGTACTATATCCTTATATACAACCTATAATTTGTATACTACTACCACCACTAAATTAATTACTTCTATGAACCCGGTGTTCATCTTGTTGTGCTAACGAGGTATGGCAACTTGGACCGATGCATAAATGTGCCTGGTCCTACGTTGTAGCTGACTGAGCTGTTTGATTCCATTGTAAATTTTTTGAACTCTACTCGTCTATGATCTATAACTGTTGAACTGCACTATCTCAAACTTCCCATTGAGTTATAATTCCATTGTTTTATTGGACATTTTTTTATCATAATCCAGTGTTACTTGTTTTCCTCATCACGGATCCTTTAATTAACTTTAGAATTTCTAACTTCTCACTTCATTTCGAGACGTCATTTCTTAAACCAGTAAATGATTAGTATCGAAAATTGATCTAACGTTGTGTAAATTTCATAGCGTCTAATTTAGTTACTTTTTGTAATCCTATTCTATTGTTTACATTTTTCAAGGTTTTACTTTATATAATGAGTTAACTTATCCATTTTGCGTTCAACTAATTCTAATGGATGGGAACTATATTCAATTGTTACGCTTTCAATTGAATTCAATAACATCGTTATGGAAAGCCGAGAATTCAATGTTACCATATAATTTAGCTTGGTATTCTCCACGGGTAGAATTGTGTAAATTACAATCGGATTTAGAGTACGTTTTAACCGTTATTGTATCTTATTGTTGTTACTGTTATTTTATGCAATGAAATAATCACTGTTTATTGGTAACATATTAAAAGAAATTTCATCAAGAGTCATTTTCATCGGTTGTTATCAACAACTGGTTAAGTAGTAATAGTTTGCAAAGTAGATTATCTCTACTAACAGTATATTAGTGGTTTAATTTGATTGGTTATAAATGACACGGTTGGAATGTGGTTACTATGATAGGTGGAGCTCAGGCGGAGTTCTCCGTCAACTGTAGGCAGAGACGTGTAAGATAATAGTCTTTCCAGACGGAAAGTTTATTTAGCTCCATAGTTTTTATGGCTTAGCAGTGACCCGAACCAGGTTAAAAATCATTGTGTCCACAAGGTTCTTTCTCTAGGTTGCATACAGTATTTAAGAGGACATTGGATTACTGTAGCCCGCTAAATCAAGTTCGAGTAAGTTTAAATCAGCTTGTGCTTAATGGTACAACCCTGTGAACGTGAATTATTGGAAGGACATGGTGCACTGCAGTTAACTCAACAGTCATAAATGACGTCCACAACAACCGGGAGCTATCTGAATTTTTTTCTGGATACGGAACTCATTCGTCATCCTCCAAAACCACCATATTATCATAATGTCTGGAGCGCATCTAGCTTGGTACGCATTAGTACGTACAACGGGGAACACTTTCTCCCCTGGGTTATGATTTTACACTTTGCTAACCGACTAAAGGAGCTTTTGATATGTTTAAAATGAACCTGTTTTCACCTCTAGATCGGTTGTACTGGGTTGATGATAGTCGAAATGATCGTAATATTTTCACTGACAACAACAGTGTTGTTTTAGAGTCCAAGTACGGCGCTCCGCAGCACGATGATGGTGGTTTCTTCCTAATGGATGTAGACGGGCTTGGGTGTGGTACATCAAGTACTATGTAGTTCTAAGGATACCAGATTATGAACGGAAATCTTAGGATGAACGGATAGTGAAGACAAGAATAGGTTCTTTTGGCGAAATAACATATTTCTGTACAATATAGTACACAGAAATAAGCCTGGTTATATGTCATTTAACAAATAAACCAATGGAGGATATGAATTTCCTGATTCATTTGCTAATGAAATTAGTATCTGGCTATCAAATCACAGTTCCAATAAGTGCTTTTTAGAGCAGCAACACTGTGAATAATTATACAGAATTTCAGAATATGATTCACGTTTAGTATGTCATGTGTAAGTAGTAGAGTGGGTGTGACATTTCTTCAGTATAGTTACTACACAAAGGGATATCCGTCCACAACCTTTATCCCAACGAACTATCATCTGCTATTATTGAAGCGACGTTAAAAGAGTATACTCGTCAGCTTTTTTTGTAAATATTGAAAGAGTAAAAATTAATACTGACATTTTTATTATTTCACTAGACATAACAAAACATTCACTGTAAATAATGAAGCTATCTCACTCTTAACATCTGCTATGTTGCATCCTGTGGATAAAATTACTTCTAGCGAGTCACTTCGTCCTTATCTTGCTGACGGAATAGCACCAAGAAACTATCTTATAGATAAATCATCAGCTAAACATTTAATCCCATCTTCTGAAGAAGATAATTATCACGAGAAATTTGGGGATATAAGCAGATTGCAACTTAGTGAAACAGAAAGGAAAGCCTTAAAATCTAGTGGCGAATTAACCAAATCAAAGAAATCAACGCGTTTGTATACTTCAAAACGTCCACATCCAAATGATATATTCTTTTTTAAAGTATGTTTCCCTTTTATATAAAACTATCTTTGTAATCTACTTATTATAAATACTATGCATGTTTATTATATATCTTATTTATTTATTTGAACACATAAATATTGGTGCAAAGGGGCACCGAACACATGCGCCGCACAAATCTCATTTGATTTGTGTGAAGGCTGTGATACTGCCCAAGTGCCCAAACTGAAGCAGATGGTTTTCTTAGGGGATCACACCCGGGGCCTTTGACCTAAAGGTCTGATCAACAAGGCAGTGGAGCATCGTGAGGAGATGAAGTCCCATGGTAGTCGGTGACCAACGATTGATTCATACGCCATTTGTTCCCTCAGGATACTGGAGCCCATGTGCACCATTGGTTTGGAATCAGGGTTTTCCAACTCCCCTAGGTGGACCCTCCATGTCCACTGTTAAAGCGCCGGACATTTGCTTTTCGTCCTCTCACTTTCGTAAACAACACCCCCGCCACGAGAAGGAAGTGAGTAGGACTTCCTTGGCAGAGGCTATACACGCGTGACCGTGTGAGAGCATTTCGAGAGGGAGAGCGAACTGTCCCTACTCTCGGCCGTACCAGGGCATTTAGGGGCTTGTTTATTGGAATTGTGTCTTTCATAGGCATTTTAATGCAAGGTGAATAGTGTTACTCTTCGCAATCAACGATAATATGAAATCTAATAATCAAACTAACAGATTTAAGCATAAATAGCCCAGAAATGGACGACATATATACTGAAGTGTTTCTTAAGATAAAGATTAGTTCTTCAGTATTGTTCTTTTCATTTAATCAGTCATATTTTTAAAAAAGAAACAACCATTTTCCTGTGGTTTTAATGAATTTATCAAATTGAACAGTGGTATTCATTTGTATTTTCATTTTCTCATTCTTAATATACATTTGTTTCTGATAGTAATCAATATCGAAATATGTTCAAAAGACCATTAGTCATTATATTATTTTGAAGGTGTTTGTTTAAGAGGGTGATCCGATTGTTCTTTTATTTACAAAATGGGAAAGATTTCGTAAAATAGGGCACTATGAAATTCATCGCTCACTTTGAAGTTACAATGCCGTGAAAGTTGTTAACGGCGAAATTGTTGAATAAACAAATAAATAGAATATTAATTTAGTATGTACCAAACAATGTAGTACAACCGAACCAAGATAGATTTCTCTCATTTCATAATACAAAATTCTTCTTACAAGAAATGTAGTAGTGAGCTATAACAGGTTGACTCTTGGTTTCTATTCGTATCCACAACTGATTACTCCTAAAACCATTGACTTCCCTAATCTTCAGAATCCAATCATGGTTTTAATGGAACACTGTTGTTCTTCATTACACGATTCTATATAATAAAATGACTACCTGTCAGATTTATACAGTCTCAGGCACACCACGTGATGGGTAATTCAAAGGCTGTGTAGCCAAGTCACAGAACCCGATATTCCACTTATTGAATTACCGTCTTCCCCGTATATGCTTCCGCTAAATGAGAGGGGTTAGTCCTCTCGTGACAACAGTTACTGAGCATAAAGAGTCGCTAACGCAAATGGTGTACGCTTGACAGTTTTCAACCGGCCTAACATCGTTGCTTTTGACAGTATCTTACTTGAAATACAAATATTTTGTGTGGCTCATGCAGTTTTTGATGTATGTTGGTAACAAACTTTATATGAATTAAATAAATAAACAAGTATTAGAACAAAATTACACCTAGCTTGGTCATCATCAATAAGCTTTTGATTTATTGTTTGCTGTTATCAGGTTCACGTCCCAGAGATATGAAATGAATGGTCATTTCGTACAGTTTCTCAATAAATGTTTCCTTTTGTAAAGGCAGTAATTAAACAAGACCAGTTAAATAGTAGTTAGTTTCAACCTATCATTATTTGTGAAACAATTGATAATCATAACATTCTTGTTACATTTATAATTTTTAGCAGCCTTATGCGTTTCTCCCAAATCTTTAAATATAATTTAAGAACAAAACAATCGACTCATTCACCAAGTACTTGAATATGAGTCATAATCACTTCGAGGAGTAACGATGCTACCTCCATTTGCCAAAATAAAGTATGTGGAGCGATGTTCGAATCTACGGTCGTTTATCTTATGTTGTTAACTCATATCACTGCTTGTATTGGGCACTAGTGATCTGAGAAACATAACAAGGAATATAGACTAAGAATAAAGCTAAATAATTTGCAGATAAATTTCAGGTTAATTTGTTTGAGAGGGTAGTCAGGATGTGTTAAATTTACTGGAGTAACTCACTGGAGGTCGGTTAAAGTCAAGACTTTCTTGACCTCTTGGAAATGCCCTGGTACGGCCGAGAGCGGGGAGAGTCAGCTCTTACTGTCGAAGTGCTCACAAATGGCTACGTGCATACAACCACTGCCAGCGAAATCTTACTCATTGTCTTCTCGTGGTGGGAGTGTTGTTTACGAAATTGAGAGGGCGAAAAACTAATGTCCGTCGCTTTAACCGGGTTGGTGGATACGAAGAATCCATGGGACTGCATCTCTTCACGACGCTCCACTGCCTTGTGGATTAGACCTTTAGGTTAAAGGCTCGGTGCTTGGCCCCCTCAAAAACCACCTGCTTTGGTCTGGACACCCGGACAGTATACCAACCTTCACAAAAATCGAATGATTTGTATGGTATATATCTATTTGGTGCCTCCTTGTATCAATGTTTGTGTTTAAATAAATAATAGTATAAATAATAAATGGTTCTACAATAAATAATGATTCGCTCAATTTAAAACTCATGTTCGAAGGGATAAACATAACGATCAATCCTCAACACGGTCAAGGACAAAAATAACTGATTCAGTATGGTTGGCTTAACAGAACATGTTAATTGATAAGAGTTACTTCGACCTGTAAAATAATAATAATAAATAATTTCTAATTACTCATAAGTAGTATAGTTATAGTACACGAATTTCACTTGATGTCCCTCATGCTTGTTTTCGGTTTAATTTGTGTAAAACTCAGTCTGTCTGTAATCCAAGAATGGTTTTTTCTTGTTTTATGATTGAACTTCTACTTCATGGAATTGATTTAGTTTTTCTCACTTATTTATTTATTTAAACACATACATATTGGTACAAAGGAGCACCAGATACATATGCACCACACAAAGCAATGAGAATGGGAAGAGAAAGAACTAAAATTTACAACCAGAAGACTCTTTCAGTTAAGAAAGTTATAACCACTCTTTATGAAGAAAGTAAAATAAGGTTACAGCAGGCTTTCCACTGGCTTCTATTCTGAGCCATATCTGATAACGTCTCTAGCCACTGTATTGCACCATCTCTCAGACCCCATCCATGGAGTCGTGAAGGATCAACAGAAGCTATCCCTTTGCAGCTTTCTTTCATACCACGACACCATGTCATACACTAACCACCTCTCCGTTTTTTACAACCAGTCCCAGCGTCAGCAAATAATGCACGACGTACAATTCTCTGGGACGACATTCATTGAAACGAACATTCATTAATTCTGTCTATAATTTAATCATAAGAGTAAATCTTACATAATACAAAACCTTTCTTCAATCATTTAATATTGGGTCATTCTTTTTTATATTCTATAACTATTTAATCATTTCATATTGAATGTATACCGAGTTAATGATTGTTATAAATAATTATTTGTATGATATTTTTTAAAATGGGCTTTGTAATTTATTTGATCAGTGTTTTTATAACTTGTGGCCTTATTCCCTATTAATATATGACGTAATCATACTTCCGATATAATAAAAATGATTTTATCGATCGGGTCAATAACGCGTAAAACTCGTGCCAGCAGTCTAGAGCCTTCATCGGTCCTTATTACTGCCTAGACCTGCCTGTTAAGTCTAGAACACCAATCTCAGCCTCTGCGATATGAATCATGTATTTCAAACATACTAGATTTATATGAAAGCCAAATAGACCACATCGTACCATAAAATAGAAAACAACATTTGTACAAGATTTAGCCAAATGTTGCTGTGAATATGGGAGATAGTAATTGTTAAACTGGACATAACTCAAGAACGGTAAATCGTATAATGATAGTTTATGTGTCAAAATAAAGCCTGTAGAAAGAGGAAAATGAATATCCGTAGTTTAGCTCCTTAATAATTATACAATAAGAATATATTTATCGTATTGATCCATAAATAGTTCTCACGAGTTACCATTCATAATTCTCATCGGAATATAACGAGTGTATTATTGTGTAGTTTTCTAAAATAAATTATTTTATTTATCTTCTTTTTATCTTGAACACAGTTAACAGACAGGAAGACTCTTATAAATGAAATCAAAGAAGAAATGCCTGATTTCGGCGGACCATTTGGAAGAGTTCCAGAGCCTTATGATAGTAAATTAAAAGAATATCAAGCGTTCAAACGTCATTCACAACCACGATTACGTGTTCAGCCTCCTCCACGTCGTTGGCGTTGATTAACCTCAGGCACTTCAATTCAATAATTACTTGTAATAGTTTCTTGGATATTGTAAAACAGAATATAACTGTATAGAAATATGAGTTTTATTTGCACTTCAATGTTTTTTTTTGTTAGTCAATGTAATAGTTATGAAAGGACTAATTGTATTGATCGTCATTTTTTTGAATTGCCTTAGACAAAATTCAACGTTTTACTTTTTATTAGAAAGAAGGGTAACTTTATTACACCAATTATTTTGTTCTATTGAACATTATTTCAGCCTCTATTTTATATAATTTTGTTGTGTATAGAGTCCCAGCGATAACGTCACGTTTCTAATTCATTTCTAGTTGGGTTTTTATAGATTTCGCTAATTATATTAATTGTCGTCGCTATCCTGAAATCATAGGTGTCATTTAAAATTTCAATATTATGCTCAATAAGAAAGAGTTTATACTTGAACAGTAAGTAAATTGGCTTCTCGTACCTGTTGCATTTCAGTGACTCATATTTGTGATATCGGATCTACTAATGTGTACGTTTCCCTTCTTTTATTTCGGAAATATGTTAAGTTTTCGTTTAGTCAGTGACGCATCATTATTAACTTTTCTGCATTGGTGGTACAGTAAATGCGTCAATCACTTGGATTCTTATTGATCACTCTATGTTATAAAAGTGAAAAGGTTGTGGTTACACTTCTGATTATATGTCTAGCCTACAACCCAACTAGTTGGAGCAGGATAAACTTACAGCCAAGTATGATAATGTAACTTAATTTGACCCAAACTCTATGCAAACACACTGTACTGTAAACTGGCATTTTGCATTTATATGCAGATCTTAACAATCACTTGATTAAAGTATTTACAATTTTTCAATAATTCATTCAAGGTCGACAGCAATGAACGCAAGCTAGGGACATTTTTGTTCCACTCAAATAACAATAAGTAATAGATCAGTATCTCTTTCTGGTAATCATCAATTCTATTGGAAATAGGAGAGAAATTAGTAGTATATTTGGTAATTAATTAGACTTGTCTTCTCATCTCACTTTTACATTGATTGTTCTCTCTTGTAATCAACAAGATTTAATGACTGATGGATGTATTGAAGCAATCATAAAATAAGTGTTTATATTCGAATTTGTGTGTGACTGTAGTTTTTTGTGCCTACGATTTTCTTAGTCTGTCCAACTGATAAGTATGGATTTGTATGTTCATTCCCCTGTTATGTCAAATATTTTTTAGTAGAAAAATAAATGTTAATTTAGCCATAATTATCATCATTTAATCCCTCAATTACGTGGTGGCAATGAAGTTAATTAGAGTGCTAGATAACTTGTTTGGATATATTATATTCTGAATCAATAATTGACGTGTTAGGGAGACCCAGAATATTCCTCAAAAAATCCCAAAGGGGGCCCTTAAAACGCTGGGAAACATTCTATCCAATCAGCACTCAATGGAAATTTCTCAGAAACATCTAAAAAGTGAAGAGCCACGTGTTACATTTCTGATTGAATGCTTACCTATCCTGTTACTATATTTAGTGAGGTTTCAAAAGCCCAAGGCCATCTAAAATACTATAAATACGCTAGACTTTCTGTACATAAACAAACTTTGGAGTAGAGCGTTTTTTCCATCTTCTGCTCCCTTTCTCTCGTGTTCAAGATGTGTAGAGTTAACCTGGGGTTTTTAAAAGAGCCTGGAAAACCGATTTAAGCCTTCATTCAGAAGATTTATCACGAAGTATTAGTATAATAGGGACATATACTAGATCGTAAATTAATTTAACTTGAAATCTATCACTAAGTAACCGATACTCACTTGTTTTATTTAGATTCAAATCTGAAGCGTTTTTAATCATATGAAACCAATACTATGACTGATTATACGACTCCCATATGACCTTATCGCCTATTTTCGTCTGCTGACTGAAAATTGATTTGTTTTATGAAACAGTCTATTCTAATGAGTTGCATATCGATATGCGCATTACATACGGCTAAAAGAAACAATGATAATCTGGGCGCTCCACCATATATGTGATAGTTAATAAAGACAAATTTAAGGTGAGATATTTATCTGTCACAAATATCAAAACTTTGTTCTTAATTAGCAATTGGGAATTGCTCAAGTTCTCCGAGGTAACATTAAATAGTATTTAAAAATTAAATTTAGTCAAACTTCCTTAGGTTTTACACTTATCTGGTAGACTAATGTAGTGGGGAATTCTTCGTTCAACATATGTAAAACAGCATATCACAAAATTAATTTAGTAAGTAGCAGTTCTTCAGAAAACCACATACTTGTTATTTAGATGAAATTAAGATCGTATTCACAAATCCGAATGATAATTGTAAGCATTTTAAAATTAATACTCGATATGGGTTTTTGACTATCCTCATAAAAGTCTATAGTCTTATCGGTAGTTTACATCAAACGCCACTGATGTATCTGGTTATTGAGGTTCAGTGCAGATTTAAAATACTTCAGAAACTAGAAAAACGATCCACATACTTTAATAAGATCAGTTCTCTTTGTAATCGATAATTGCAACTAACATAAAACACATCAACATTTGACGGTTAACATAAGGAGAATTTGACGAAAAATTTGTTATTCGAGGTAGGACGAATAGTACAAAAAGAATTGGTGTATATCCGTAGTTACATAGTAACAAAAACAATAATCTTTAAGCATGCAGAAATTTAATAGGCCATAAGCAATGACAACCAATCAGGAAAAAGGTACTTTTGGTAAGATTTCAGGACTGTCAACAAAATCTGTAGTCACCTTATAAAAAATGCATTACCCTGTTAACTACAGGGTAGTTAATAGAAAATTTTTTTGTAGACCAATTAGGTATAAGTACCAATACCACTTACATGATTATTCAGATTTATCTAAAATAATTGGATATTTATTTCATTAAAGATATATCTATCGTCATTATTTCTTCACTAATATCCCATGGCTTATTTCCTAACCAAATAATGAGTTTTTTTAAAAAAAGAAAAAGCTAAACAAATACAAAGTCATGATTATAAAATTACCAGTTATTTAATAATTGATTTATATAGATGAATATATGTATATGAATTCATTGTCTTATCTCGTTTCATACAGTTGAGTATTAAGTAGTTTGTTATAATACATTCATGAACTATCATTTGCCTTTATAAGTTATTAGACTGAAAAGTTATATGATAACGTTTATAATAATAAATTATTTGATTTTATGGAAATAGTTTCTTTCTGTATAAGAACTTTCATCTAAATTAGAGCGAATAGTTTCACAGTATTTGGCGCCGAGTTGATGTAAGACATTAAATAGGAATAATATATTTGTAAAATCTCAGCGAATGAATTTGTAGTAAATTCAACGTTTCGCTTGGCAATCTAGTTCAAGCTTTTTCAAGGAAAGATTGACAGACGAAACGTTGAATTTACTTCAAATTCATTCGCTGAGATTTTACAAATATATTATTCTATTTAATGTCATAGTTTCTTCCTGTTAATTATAATGACATACTATGAATTTTAAGTTATCTAATGATTAATACTAAAAAAGTGAATAATCTCTAATTTCTTAAGATCCTGTTGTTAATTGTTAGGTGAATATATGATTGTATCACAGAAAGCTGTTTGACTTTATTGTATGAGTTTGTATAGTAAGACATAGTTGTTTGATATTGTGATCACAAAATTCCTAAGAAAGACTGAATCTATCCATAATAATTTGTAGTTCTGACAAATAAGCAAGTTGACATAGCCAACGTTTCACAATTACCACTCTGATGTATACTATTACCTGATTAGTTCTTGGCTCTTTTATTCAACTATTTAGTTATGTTTTTTTTAACAAGATCAGAGTTGTCATCAATATAGGCAGAATTAGTGCGTCAGATTTATGAATTCTTTTGGAAAAAAAGGCTCTCTTGCCAAGAATCACCTTCTCTTCTCTTTTATAGCAACGTTGGAGAAACCACGGTGTAAATGCTGATATTCCATAGCAGAAGAAGCTAGTAGATGAGAGTAAAAGGAGAGAAACTCCTCACTAACATTGGATTCATGGTAGCTGGATTTTAATGACTATCAGAAGGCAGTGATTACTTTAAATGCTATCAAAATGATCGTTTAACATATCCGTGTGCACGCATTTTGTTTTCTGGAAGTATTGCTTAATTAATTTATGTAACCATTTCTAGGTGAGTTCGAGTTAGTTGAATTCACAATGATATGCATCAAAGAATTTTAAATTCAAAACCAATGATATTGTACTATACCTTAGTTACTTACTTACTTACGTCTGTTACTCTCAGTGGAGCATAGGCCGCCGACCAGCATTCTCCAACCCACTCTGTCCTGGGCCTTCCTTTCCAGTTCTATCCAACTTTTGTTCATTTTTCTCATGTCTGTCTCCATTTCTCGGCGTAATGTGTTCTTTGGTCTTCATCTTCTCCTTTGACCTTCAGTATTCCATGTGAGGGCTTGTCTTGTGACGCAGTTGAGTGATTTCATCAGTGTGTGTCCTATCCACTTCCAGCGCTTCTTCCTTCGCTGGGATCTGGTTTGTTTTCTTCCACAGTAGCTTGTTGTTGATAGTGTCTGGAAAGCGGAACCGAAGTATGTTGCGTAGACAACTGTTAATAAACACCTGTATCTTCTGGATAATGGCTTTCGTAGTTCCTCACGTCTTCGCCCCACACAATAGAACTATCTTGATATTTGTATTGAAATTTCTGACTTTGGTGTTGGTTGACAATTGTTTTGAGTTCCAGGTGTTCTTCAGTTGTAAATATGCTGCTCTTGCTTTGCCGATCAGCGCCCTCACTGTACCTTGGAATAATCACAAATTCAAACAAACAATAATAAAGTATTTAAAGTGTACTATGATTAAAATATTCATCATTGTCACTTATGAATTTCAGTGTTGATAGCAATTAGCTACAAATAAATCGCTAAATACTTTGGAAAGTATGATCTTTGTAAAATCATACTGATAATTTGTTTAAGTGAATAAGACAAGATTAAACGTTTTAATGATCTAATTTCACACATTTTATTGTATTATATTTTATTAAGGTTTATTTCGTAGATGAGAGAAGAAAAAAAAGAAAGTCTTTCCAACATCTATGATGCATATTCCCTATTAATTACTTTTTATTATTCTGTACAATAAAGACTGACAATCATCATTTAATAACTTTTTGTTACGTCATACATTATATATGTAATAAATAAGGGCACACAACTAGCATGAAAAATCAAGATTAATGTGATGATATTAAAAGTTAACTGTAAGTGAATAGTTGTAAAAGTTTTGGACATAATTTTCCTCTTTTTCATACATCATTACTTAAAATTAATAACTGTAACAAAGATGGTATCATCAATAATGATCAAAGTAATAGTACCACTAATACTACTACTAACGGATATTAGTAATGGTAGCGTTAAGTGATATATTGCCACACGGCTTCAACATAAGAAATAGAATTATTTAGAACTATAGCATTTAATATTAATGTCTTTGAAGCCTACTAACATTAAAGTTTTTTTTCATATTTAACTTGTAATATTCTGTGAATTATTTTAATTAGGATTAATTTCCGCCTCCGCCATTTTCAGACATTTTTACCGTCTTGAAATAAGACACACAGATACTGTTTAAGCAAATGAAAGCTTATATTGTTTTTCAACTTTTATAGATACATAAAATGCAAAATTGGCGACAACGTTTAGTATGTCTTAGATAATTAAAGTTGCTTAAGTCAAGATATTATGTTATTGAAATGAAAGAAACTGAATTGTGAAATGAACATCATAGAATAAGACTTAGTGGGTTACTCTCAGATCTCAAGGCTTTATACGTGACCGAATGTCAGATTTTAGATGCACTCTGCCGAGAAGTTCTAAACCTACCTAAATAAGCTTCTTAGTGCTTTTTTCTTTCTTTGATTTCTCATAAGATGCCAGCTTGTAATTAATAATCTCATCAAAATTAACACATTTTCAACTTAACGATATCGAATTCGACTTATAAATATCTTTAATAGAGGAATACAGTAAAAAGAAAGATATGATCGGTGGGATTCGATTTGCACTAAGAAGGACCTGACATACATGATATTGATCACCATCAAGTGATCAATCAATTGTAAATACATCTCAGTCCTAGAGGAGGTCAGTCACGGCCCGGATAGCTCAGTGTTAACGTCTCTAACTGTGAAGCTGGGTGACGCGGGGCCGATTCCATCAGGGAGCATCAGTTCCCTCCAGATTACAGGTATACCTCGCTCATGAGTGCCAAGTAGCACGATACCTAGGTCCAGGATTTCCTGTCGACTACCTTCAACCATCTTATCTCAACATAGTACACGCAATGTCGAGTCACC